TTGTTGTTACTACATTTGAACAATTTCTTAACTACATTTGAACAATTTCTTATTATATTTCATTAGTGAAATTACTATTATAAAAAACTTCTATTTGAAAGTTTCATTATTTTTATTTTGAGTAAACTTAATTTTTTTTAACATATTAATTAAATTTTACATTAGTAAAATTGTCATTATTTTTGTAGTTCTTACAAACTTATATTATTAAATTTATTAATTTTTTTTCTTATAGTTTATAAACTTTTTATTTTAATGTATTCGTTTTCTATTTTTATTTATTTAATAAAAGTTTTTTTTTATAAACTATTTTTTTATAAAAACCTTTTATTAATAAAAGGAGTTTTGCATAAATATAACGAAATAACGCAATCAGCACCTGCAGAAGTTTCTAACGATGCACAACTTCTTAGCTTTTTTGTGTATGCTTCTTTTCAAGATTCGGAGGAGTGCAAGTATTTTTTTTATTAAAGTTATATTATTTATTATTAGAAGTTTTATAATATATTTTAAAAGTTTTATTATTTTTTTGATAGAATGTTTATTTATTATGAATTTTTTTGTATATATAAAAATATTATACTATTAAAGTTTTATTATGAAAAGTTTTATTTTTTATTGTCAGTTTTATTTATTATGAAGTTTTTCTATATATATAGAAATAATATATTTTTTAAAAATTTTTATTTTATATATAATACTTTTATGTTTTACTAAAGTTATTGTTTTATATATATCTTTTTATTATGGAAGTTAATGTTTTATCTATTTTCTATATAATGTATTCATTTATATTTTTTTATGTATAAAATAACTTTATAATAAATAAAATGTTGACAATAAAAAATGAACTTATTTTTAAAATAAAAATTTAAAAGAATATTGTTTTATATATTAAAAAAAAATCTTAATGAATAAAGTATTCTTAAAAAAATCTTAAAAAAACTTTTATCAATTTTCATATAAAAATAAAAAATGTATAATAAGTTATTGAATTTATATATTTTTGGTTACTAAAACTTTTGCATTAATGTATACTATTTGTTTATTACAAAATTTATAATTATATAATTTTATTATTATTAATAAAAGTTTTGTATCGTTTTTATATATTTTTTTATAATAAATATTTTTATATATTATATTTTTTATATTTTTGAATTATTAACATTTTTTATTGCTTTTGTAAATTTTTTCAGTTTATATTAAAAGTTTTATTTTTATATTATAATATTTCCATTGCTTTACATATTTTTTATATAGTAACTTTTTACATATACTTTATTAAAGTTATTACTTTTACATATAAAAAAGTTTTTATTTACATATTTTTTTTTTATTTTTTTAAGCTTTTTATATTTCATGTGTAAGTTCTTTTTTGTTTCTTCTAAAGATTTCTTATCAAAAATATTTTGAGTATTTAATATTTTTATAAATTTTTGCTTGAAAATATTTTTGTTTATTATAAAATTTAGTTTTTTTTTATAATTTTTTTATAAATCTTAAAAGTTATAATTTATATATAACTTTTGATAATTATAGAGTTTTACTTTTCATATATTTTTGTTTATTATATTTTGTTTTCTTATAATTTTATATAAAAGTTTTATTATTTATATATAATTTTATTCATTATTATATTTTCATATATAATTTTTATCTTTATTTTAAAGTTTTTATTATATACTATTTTTTATACGTAAGGAGGTTTATTATATTATATAATATATTTATTAATTATATTTTATTTTTATATATAATTTATATTATTAAAGATTTTTATTGCTTTTATATATAATTTTGGGTTATTTTGAATTTTATAATACATCTTATATATTTTTAATTAAATTGTATATTTATTATTAAAGTTTTTATTTCACTATAAATTTTTAAGTTTTTTATTAATAATTGTATTATGATTAGGGTTATTTATATATATAAACTGGTTTACTTTTTGATAAATACTTTTAATTTTTTTTCTTATTCATTATTACTTTTTATTATTATATAATATTTTATACTTATTATTAAAGTTTTTTTATATATAATTGTATTATCATTGAAGTTAATTATTTACTTTTTTTTTATATTTTTTATACAAATAAACTTTTTGTCTGCTCATTTTGTTTTGTTTTTTTAGAATATATATTATTTTTTTGAAAGTTAATAAATATTATTAAATAAAAAAGTTTTTTATATTTCAATTCCTATATATTTATAAATATTATATTATTTTTATATATTATATAAAAATTATTCATATCTATAAACTAATTTCCTTATGGAATACTTTTATATACTAAAACTTTTTTTTTTGGTTCATTATAAAAAAGTTATAAGAAGGGTCTCGACATTTTCGATAGGATTTTGAATAAAGTCGATCATAAAAAAATAAAAGAATGTAAGAAACTTTCTAAGCAGTGGGAAAGTTCGTTTTCTTCTGTTATACGGTAATAATTATAAATAATAAAATAATATATATAATAATCAATATTAATAAAGATTTTAAATTAATATAAAAATAATAATAATATAAATAATTAATAATAAAAATAAAAAATTAATAAACGAATAAATAAAAAATATCTTATAGTAATTTAAATATAGTAAAAATAATAAATAGTAAGATAATAAAAATTATACTAAAAATAATAATTAATATAACAGTAGAACTTTTTGTTATACTTCTTTGTAATTTCATTGGTTAATACACATTCCATATTCCATATGTCCCAATCTCCGTTGAGAACCACGTACTATCAAGCGAGAGTAGCTCGCACGTGTGTATTCATTTAGTAATATGTAAATTATAAGCCCAGGGGTTATGAGGGTGGTGAGTGATGTGTTTTGCAGAATTTGAAAAAATTATGATTTATTTTTTATTGTATTTTAGTAAAGAAAAATTTTGCGTTTGTTTATTTTTGATATTAATTACTATAATAAGCAAAGTTTAAATATTCTTAGAAAAAAATATTAAACTTTTTTTTTGAAGGAAATAATTATGAAATAGGATAAAGTTTATAAAGAAATTTTTATTATTAAATATTTTATAGAAGTTTATTTTTTATAGTATTATTAGAATTATTATATTATTATTATAAGTAACCTATAAATACAATAATATAAAAAAATTTTTTGTAATAAAAAGAATATTAAAATAAAAGACTATTAAGGAAGTTTTCTTGTATTATAAAAACTAATATTAATAATATTAAGTAACTTTTCAATACAACTATTTAAATAAATCTTTTACTAACAAAAATAATTTTTAAAATATAAAAAAGTTTATTCAAATTTTTTATTGTTACTTTTTATGAAAAGTCTAATATTTATAGTATTACTAAAACTTCCTTTATGATGAATATAATTATAAATATGAATTTTTGAGAAGTTCAGTAATTTCTTAGTATGAAAAACTATTATTTTTGAATAATATTTCTAATTAACATTATCATTATCGTTATTATTATTATTTATTATCATTGTTAGTTTGGCCTCTTTACGCTTAAAAGATCCTCTTCGCGCGTATAATTATTTTTCTATGATGGCGAAATTGAATATAACACCTCTTTTACGCTCGCTTTCGCCTGTTATTATTGCTTTTGCCAATCAAAATGAAGTTGAGCGGTGCAAGTTACTTGTAGGTTTCTAATATAAATTATAGTAACAAATAATAAACTTTAGTAATATATAATAAATAATAGTAATGAATAATAAATTTTAATAATAACTTTTTTTATAATAACAAGTAATAAATAATAAATTATAGTAATAAAGTAATAAGTAAATAATAATTATAGTATTTAATATTAAATAATATTAATAAAACATACTAATTAATAATAGTAATAAATAATAAATAATAATAAATAGTAATAATCATAATTATAGTTATAAACATTAAATAATAATAATTAATAATATTAATAAATTATAGTAATAATATTAATAAATAATAAATAATGATAATAATTATTAATAATAAATTATAATATTAAAATTATTAGCACTTATAATCAATAATAGCAATAAATAAAAGTATTTCTAATTAAAAATTATAATAAATAATAAATAATTATAATTTTTGAAGGTTAACGAATTAAAAGATAAATATAATATACTAATAACTGAGCGGGAGGTTTTACCGATCTGCGCAAGTTTTTGTAGACTTAATAAAAATAGTGAAGGTCAACATTTTGATTTTTGTTTTGTAAATAGTTATTATTTTGGAGTTTAACTTTAATATTTCTATGTGTTCCTATTTATTATTGTAATAACAACATAACTTCTATTATAAGTAAACTTTTCTTATTCTATTGATATTTTTAAATATTATTTTTACTATTAATTATTAATATTCCAGCATTCATTATAGTAATGAAAGAAAACTCTTTCTTTTTGGAGATTTTTAACATTAATAATTTTTTCCTTATTTTTTATTATTATTACTATAATTATTATAACGGCATTATTTTTTTAAAAAAAAAACTTTTCTATTATCGGAGTTTTTAGCATTATATTGTTCGTTACCTTTTTTTTTTTGTTAATATATATATGAAGTTTTTATTATAATACATTATATTATTATAATCACTATATTATTATTTTAAGAAAATCTTTTTTTTATTGGAGATTTCTAACAAGTTTTTATTTTATTATTTTTATAAATAATATTATAACCGCATTACTTTTTTCTGAAAGACTACTTATTAAGTTTATTATTATTCCTATTAATATCATTGACACTATAGCATTAATATTTTATAAAGATAACTTCCCTATTATTAAAGTTTTTTAACATCATTATTTTATTTGTTTACTGTTTTTGAATATTTTTAAAGTTATTACTATTTTTTATAATAATTTTATCACAACAGCATTAAATTTTTTGAAAGAAAACTTCTCTCTTATTGGAGATATTTACGGTATAATAACGGATAAAGAATGTTTGATTCTTCTTAGAGAAATTTTTACTCACTTACGATTTTCTTTTAGTTCGTGCCAAATTTCTGAAGAGTTCGTATTATTATTATTATTATTATTATTATTATTATTATTATTATTATTATTATTATTATTATTATTATTATTATTATTATTATTATTATTATTATTATTATTATTATTATTATTATTATTATTATTATTATTATTATATATAAAATAATAATACTAGAATTCATTTGTGTGTTGATGTTATTTTAGTGAAAAATATATTTTTATTAAGTGGTAATCACAATGAATCTTTTATTTGGCGCTTTTAAACAATAAAGAGCCAATATTAAAGCTTAATTTGTGACTTTTTATAAATATGTTTGTGCGTTGTTATTACGTCTAATTGGTATCTTTAGTTTATTAGTATCAATTAAAGAATTAATTATTCAGTATTTTAATATCGTTGAAATTTTCAGAAAAACTTTTTACTGGTTATAAAAATATCTCGTTTATTCGGGCTTTTAAACAATAAAGAGCCAATTTATATTAAAATTGATTATTTTAAAAAAAACTTTGAAGTGGTAATAATTATACTAAATATGCCCGTTTCAAGAGCCAATTAAAACATCCCTCAAGTCTTTATATAACCTTGTGTTTTTTAAGATCTTTATTATGACCCTGTGGTAATAATAATTTATTAGTATCAATATAGAAAACAGTTTGTCTTTGTTTTATCTTTGCTATACGCTATTAATTTGGTCTTAATTAAGTTTTTTGCTGATCCATTTCCTTTATTTGATGTTAAATAATTTATTCGATTCTTATTGGCTTTTGTTACATTTTTATTTCATTTTTTGCTCATTATTTAATGGTTGAACTTCGTTTCTAACAGTGGTCAATGTTCTTCTTGCAAAGATCATTTGCTTTCCATTGATCTTTCCAATGAACAAGTCAAAATTTTTAAGGAAGCGATTTATAAAATTGCTACTGGCTCAGGTGGGTTTCAAGAATTTTTATGATAAACTTTTTTATATTTTTATTATCATTTTAGTTTTGTTGTAAACTTTTTTTTATTTTTGTATAATTTTATATTTTACTAATATTAATGTTTTATAGAAATAATACTTTTAATATAATTTTTATTGCCTATATTTTAACTTTCATAATTAATATTAATTATATAAAATATATATAATATTAATAAATTTTTATTTGGATCATAAATGTTTAAAGTTTATTATATTTTTTTTTAGTAACGACGAAAATAATTATATGACAAATATTTTAAGTAAATAAAAAATGATGTATTATTTATAACTTTAGTTTTTGTTATGAATTTATATGGATTTATATTTTTTAAAAATTTACAATTATTCTAATATTATGTTTATTAACTTTTTATATTTTATTTATAAAAATATTAATTATATTTTTTAAGTTTTATTAAAAAGTTTAAATATTTATATATAAAATTACTATTTTTTTTGACAAAAATATAAAAATTTTTATTTTTCTAGTTATTTGCAATAATAATTTTATTATTTTTTAAAACTTTACTATTTTATTATTGTAATAAATAATAAAATATTTTAACTTTTAATATTTTGTTAAAAAATAATTGGATATATTATATGTATATTTTATAAAAAGTTTTGAAGTATTTTTAATATTATATATAAAATCGCTAATATTTTTTATCTTTTTTTTTTATTTTTTTTATAGAGAAATAAAAATTTATATTTCTAGTTAATTGCAATAAAAACCATTTCATTTATAAGTAAAGCTTTATTATTTTTATTATTGTAATAAATAATAATTAATAATTAATAATATTTTTTTTAGCTTTTAATATTTTATTAATAAAAAATATCGAATATATATAATTTTTTTTAAAAGATTTAAATAATATTATTATATAACTTATAATCGTTATTATTTTATTTTATATATTTAAACAATAATTTGTTATAAATATTAATATAATTTATATTATTCGTCTTTTGGTTAACGAAAGTGATGTATTTTTTATAAATAATATTATTACACATTAAATATATCAAATGTTTTTTATAATTATAAATAATACATAGTTATTATATTTTTTTTCTCGACTATAAATATTTTTTTTAAAAAATTTTAGAAAGTTTTTAATAATATATAATATTTATAAACTTTAATTTTTTTATAAAAGATAATAAATAATTTATTATAATAATAACTTTATTATTCGTTAATATTATTTTTCCAACGAAAGTGTTAAAATTTCTGTTTTTTTTTTTATAAAAAGTTTTTATTAATATTTATGTTATATAATAAACTTTACTAGTATTTTATTTTTATTAAGAAAATATAATAAATAAGTAATAATATCTTTTATTATTCATTTTTTATTAAAGTTTGTGGCAATATATATTGAAATATATTTTTTTTAACGTAATAAATAATAAATAATAGTTCTTATATAAAACTTTATTATAGAAGAGAAAAAAGTACGTTTCGATGAGTTTGTTAACTGGCTGGACGGCACTGCGCCTTTTGATAGTTTATTATTATTATTATTATATTATTATTATTATTACTATTATTATATTATTATTTATATAAATTTTTTATTATTACTATTATTTTTTTATAATAACTTTAACTTTATTAATGTTTCAAGTTTATATATATTTTTACATTTAAGTAGTGAATATATATTTTTATAAATATATAACTATTCTTTATTTTTATATATTTATTATTACATTAAATAAATCTAACAAAATAATTTTGTTGGTTTTATATAATATTTTTATAGTGGATTTATATATTATTATTTAACTTTTGAGTATTTATTTGTTATTATCTCTAATAAATAATTATAAATAAAATTTTATGTTTATTGTTTTTTAATATTTTTATTAAAATTTCAACTATTTTTAATATTTTTCATATGATTTATTTATTTTTATTTGACTCTTGCATATAATAATTTTTTATAAATATTTTTTACTACTTAATATATTTTTATATATTTTTTCATTAAATTTTTACTATTTTTATAATTTTATAGTGAAATTATATATATTTATATAACCTTTAAATATTAAAAAATATTATATAAAATAAATTATTATTTTACTTGTTTTTAAATGTTTTCTTCAACTTTTCAACTATTTTTATAGTGATTTATTTATTTATATTTAACTTTTATATTTTTTTTAAATTATATCAAATAAATATTTTCAATAATTTTTTATTTTTTTTCTTTCTATTATTAATTAACTTTTGTATATTTATATTTAGTATAATATTCATTATATATTATAAAATAAATATTTGAATAACTTTTCAAATATTTTATGATAAAGTTCTATTTTTTTTTATTTTATATATAATTTATATTGTTTTCATTAATACTTTGAATTTTTATTTACTTCTTATAAATTATATTTATATATTTTTATTTTATTTTTATCTTTTTATATAAACTTTTAACTATTTATTATTTTTTCTATAAATATATATAATAATATTTGAATTTTAATATGTATTTTAGAAATATTTAAACTTTTATATTATTATCTTTTCTTTAATTTCTAATATATTATATACTTTTTTTAAAAGTTTTTATATTTTTTATATTTATTAATTTATTTTTATATATATACGTTATTATTATCTTCTTTACGGTATTAACATGCTATTTTACGTTTCATAAATTTATTATTATAAATACACTTTTATTTTTTATATATATTTATTTTCTTTTGTATAGATCTTAAAAGTACTACTATTATTTATGTTATTTCGACTTCATTATTTCTAAATAAAATTCTTTAAGAGAATATCTAGACATCTTTATTTTTATGATATTTATATATTTTTTATATATTCTTTATTTATTTTTATGTATAAATTTTTATTTATTATTATATATTATTTTTATCAATATATTTTATGAAAATACTTTTCATTATATATAATTATTTAATTTTTATTTAATGATAAATTTTTATTTTTCTTATGGTCGTTTCTTTATAAATTTAGATTTGTATATATAATATTATTTTATAATATATTTTATGAAAAATACTTTTATTTATATTTTTTCTTTTAGTTTTAAATTTTATTTACTTTTTTTAAATCTTTATATATTTAATTATATATTGTAAAATAAAAATTATTAATTTCTTTATTAAACTTAAAATATTATTTTTTTTTTAAAAAATATGTTATATTTATTTATTATTGCCTTGAACATTTTCTTTTAATTATTTATTATTTATTCTAGTAACATTTTATATATATATCTTTATATATTTTTTTTGTTAATTATTATAAATTTGTATTTATTAAACCTTTTAATAATTATTTTTATATTTATTATATATATAATATATATTTTATACATACATATTCTACTGTTAATTTTTTTATATTTTATATATATTTATACAATATTTATTAATATGATTGAATATAAATAAATATATATGAATAATAATATAAGATATAAAAATAAATATAATAAAACATTCATTACAAATAAATTATATTATATAATTTTATTAATAATAATAATGATATTTAATGTTTATCTTAGAAATGTATATAAAAATAGTTATTGTAGTATTATTAAAGATATTTAAAGAAAGTAATAAAGAACTTATGAAATAAATAAAAATATCTAATGAAAATTGAAATAATTAACGCAAATTTTTAATGAATAGTAATAATTATAATATTTAATAAAAAAATAATTTAAAAAATGCCAAAATATATTTTTATTAATTATTTCTTTATAGAAAGAAAACCATATATTTAAAATACATATTTTCAGTAATAATTATGCACATAGAATAAAAGTATCGATTAATAATATTTTTCTCTGTTAATTCAGTTTAATTATTAACTTTTTATTTTTAATAATAATAATAATTAAAATTGGCTTTAATATATTCATTAGAAAAGTATAAAGAAATTATTATGATATTAATAAATAATAAAATATCTAAGAAAATTTATTAATGACATATATAGAAAGTAAATATTTTTATTAACAATTATGAATGTAGAATAATAACTTTAGAAATAATAAGTTATATTTAAACCCCTTAAATTTTATCACTTCTATTTAATAAATATAATAAAAATAAGAATTAAATATTTTTATAAGAAGGAGTTATGAAGAAATAATAATATATAAAAAGTAAGTATCCTCAATAATAACTATGAAAGTAGAGAAATAAATTTTTATATAAATCCGTTTAAAAATGTTTATTTCTTTAACAACTATGAATATTTATAATAATAGGAATATTTTCATTAGAAATAAGTATAAAGAAACGATATAATATAAATAAATACCTTATAAGAAAATTTATATTAGAAAATATTTCGAAAGTAAATCAATATATCCTGTATTTATAAAAGTAAATAAGTTAATCTAAAAAAATGAAATTTTTATATGAGTTAAGTGTCTCTTTTTTTTTTTCATAAATAATAAGTATAAGAATTTTATATTTCTAAAGAAATAATATTATTAATTAATATGTTTAAAGAAAACTTAAAAATTTATATAAAACCGTTAAAATTTTTTACTTCTTTTTTTATAATTTATAGTAAAGATAAGAAAATATTTATATAAGAAAAGTACAAAGAAATGATAACATAAATAATTAGTAAAAAAGTATTTATTCGATTACTAGTAATAAATGTTGGAAGAATCATTACTTTAAAAAAATATATTTTTTATTCAGTAGTTAAAATTTTTACCGCATTATTTTTTATAGATACTAAAGAAAAATAAGATCTTAACACTTACATAAGAAAAGTTTAATGAAATTTTAATTATAGTAATTACTAAGTTTGAAGAAAATTTATATAAATAATAAATAAATATTTTTAATATTAATAAAATAAAATAAAATTGGAAAAAATGAAACAAAAATTGTTATACAAATCATTTTTTACTTTTTTTTTTATAAATAATAATAAAAGTTTACTGAAATTAAGTATTAATAAATATTAAGAATAATATAGAATTATATATATAATATTTATAAACGGAATATGATAATTATAATAGGAAATCGTTATAAAATCATATAAAAAAATTAAATATATATTTTTTATTTAAAATTTAATTATTACTATTATTTTACTTTTTATATTTTTATTTTTTATTATAAAAATTATAATTATACAAAAAAAGTATAATATATATCAATTTTATTTTAAGATATTATATATGGATATATATATATTTCTAGTTTATATCGACCGGATTTTATATTTACATAAGCACAGTATGGAGAAATATAATTAATAATTATATATAAAGTTTTATTCATAAAGAATATTTTAACTATAATGAAAAAAAGTATAAAGAAATAAAATTCATTAAAAATATTGTTTCACTAATATATATATTTCTAGTATTTTCGGACGAAATATATTAATATAAGAAAGGTATATATTTATAGTATTACTTTTTGAAAGAATATGAAAAAAGTAAAGAAATAGAAATTTTTAAGAATGTGGACACTCAAATATACTTTTTTTTAGTATTTATTGATGGCGCTAACGTTGCTATGTACAACCAAAATTTCGAAACGTCGAAGTTCAGTTTTTACCAAATCGAAAAAGTGATTGACTCAATTGAGAAGAATTTTGGCGGGAAAAGGGTCCTTGTAATTATCCACGAAGGCAGACTAAAGCCTCATCTTATTAATCGTGAAGATTTACAGGTTTTTCTTTATTATTCTTTCTTTTTATCATAATTATTATTGATATGATTATGATGAATGCTTTAACTTATTTATTTCTTATAATCATTATATTACTATTATGATATTATAGATACTATAATTTATTTCTTATTATAATAAATATTTGCTGGAATTAACATGTCAAATCGCGTGCTTGTACCAAGTAATACTTTCATTGCTTTGTACCTCTGCTTTTGTCACTTACCATCGCACATGTTTAATTAGTCCTTTTTAATTATATTTTTTCGGGATACTCCATTTTCGCGCACCTCCTTTTTCCATTATTATTATTATATGTTTAATATTTATTATTTCAATAAAAAGAATACTATTTATATATATATGTTTTAGATTCTTAATAAACTAAAAGCCAATAAAAGTTTGTATGTTGCCCCATACGGAAGTAATGATGATTGGTATTGGATGTTTGCTGCATTAAATTCCTTGCATACTTCGCCGTTCGACGTAATTCTTTTTGCTAAATAATTATAATATTAAATTTTTATTAAAAAATTTTTACAAAACGTCTTCTTTCTTATTATTGTATTAGGAATTTTCATTAACCAATAAGCAATTAAATAAAATTATATACTCGATTGTTCGGTTTTAATTTTTTCTGTTCATAATTTTATTAATATTCAGCGTTAAAACGTGTATAATGTAATAATTTACTAAACACGTGGTTTCCGTTGCCCAATAACTGAGGAAAATTGTAATTTTTTATACACAAGTGACATTTTTTTTAATGAAAAAAGGGAAAAGTTGTTACCAACGACCACATGCGCGATCATCACTTTCAACTTCTGCATCCTTTTTATTTCAGACTTTGGAGAGAACGCCACGTGGTACTCACTATTATTATCGCTTCGTTTACTTTCTTCAAGTTTATAATTTTAAATATATTTAATTTAAAAACTCATTATTTTTGATGGCTATTATTTATATTTTTAAATAACGTCAATTTTTATCATTATATTTATTAATGACTATTTACTTATATTATTTATACAAATTTATTCACTACTATTTGGTTCAGTTTTTTATGTTTATCTATCTTTGGTTAATTTTCTAATCTATTACATTTCGTAATAACTTTTAATATTGACTTTTATTCCTTTACAGATGTTTTTTATTTAATATTTATTATTACTTTACTTATAATGCACTACTTTTATCGTCCTCTAAAAATTTTATTAGGATATAACTTCTATCATTGATTTTATTTTTTTTACTTTACAACTTTATATTTATTATTATATTTTTTATTACTTTTCAATCAATATATTTTCAAATTTATTATTTTACTATTATATGGAATCTTTTTATTTTACTATTTTTGGTGACCTCTTTCACAACTGTAATTAATATTTTTTATCTATTTTTATTTACTTTTACATTCCACTTGAATAATACACTATTTTTAATTATCTTTTTTTAATATTTAATAAATATTTATTATATTTAATTTAAATGAATTACTATTTTGATGTATGAAATATTATTTTTTATATTATTTATTACTTTTATATATAATGTTAATAATTCACTATTTTTGGTGACTTTCTATCAAAAATTTTGAAAATGTTTTTTTATATTTTTTTATTAACTTTTGTTCAACTTGAATAATTCATTATTTTTGATGACTTTTTTTTTTAATATTTTATAGGATTTTTATGTATATATTTAATTTACTTTTATATATAATATCAATAATCCCTATTTCATTGGCCGCTTTATGTTTAAATTTTAATAAATATTATTTTTAATATTTTTTATTATTTTTATTCCTAATATTAATAATCACTATTTTTAGTAAATTTTTTTTTAAGTTTAATAAATATTTTGTCTTTTATATACTTTTACTTATCATGTTTTATGTATATATTACTACTTCTGTACACTATAAAATTCACTATTTTTTGTGAATTTTTTTTTTAGTTTTATGCAGGTTTTTTTTTATTTATTATTAACTATTACTATTAACTTTTTTATTTTTTTACTTTATATTTTTTATTATTTTATCTGTGATTCATTAATGTTATATATCATTTAAAAATTCATTATTTCTTGTGATTGTTTTTTTGAAATTTTCCAATAAAAATTTAAATATAAATTGTTGATTTTTACGTTCAATTTTGTTGTTTTTATGAATTTTCTTTAATTATTTTCACATTTTATTTTTCTTTTTTAATGAATATTTACAATTCACTATTTTTTTTGAAATATAATTAACTATTAAATTTATAAATATATTATGATAATTAATAATAATAAATGACTTTTTATTACTGATATTATTTTATTTCTATTACTATTATTATTATTATATTCTTTTATATAACTACTTTTGATTTTATATTTAATTATTATTATTTTTTTTGTTTATCTTTAGTACATAAATTTATTTATATATCATTGTTAGTGCTCGTATATATAAATATTTATTAATATTATTTAGATCTTTCAATATGAATTATTATTATTGTCACTATTATAGTTTTATTATTATTAATTATTCTTATTATATTCATTAATTTTTTTATAGTTATTATTATTTATTTATATATCTATTATAGTTACTATTTATTATTTATCGTTATTATTATTTATACATTTTCGTTATTTTTTTTGTAGTTGTTAATATTGTTATCATTTAAAATTTATTATAAATTGATACTTTATTATTATTATTTTTTATGAATATTAGTATTTTATTTATTATTATGTTTATACATTATTGTTATTATTTTTTATAAATATTATTTTTCTTTTTATTTACGTATTATTTTATAATTATTGTTTTTATTAATTCCATTTACAATTCATTGCTTATAATTTATATTTCTTAACTTTGTTATAATCATTATTATTATTAAAAGGTTCGCTTTGACTTTGAACGAGGCCAACTTTTTTTTTATCCGCCTTCCAAATTTTCTAAAAGAAGTCAATTCAATAATAATAACTGGCATTTTGCTTTCGATGCTGAAGTTTATTCTTATTCATTTTTTATATAATTTCTTTTGTTTTATATAATTGTTAGGATTTTATAATAAATAAGTTTTAATCATAATAATTTAATAAAACTTTTATTACAAACTTATGCGTAAATTTGTTTACAAAAAAGGATAAAGTAAATATTTTTTATATAATAAACTTATGTGAATAAAAATATTAAATAAAAGTTTATTATTATTATTGTGAAAAAAATTTTATAGTTAAAACTATTAAAAGAGTAAAACGTTACATATAAAAATTGAAAGGTCAGTCTCCACGTGGGTTTAGGTTGTCTTTTCACGTGCGCAGCGGTTTTATATTATAATTATTATAAAATTATTATCATTCTACTACTTTTAAATTTAATTTTTTTTTCTGTAATTTTAAAATTATTTTTCATATATTATCAGTTTTTTATTTTTTTTTTAAAAAAATATAAAAATTTATATCTTATTTTTTTCATTTTATGTTTTTTCATTGTTTATTTTTAGTTATTATTAAGTTAGTAATTTTTTTATAAGGCATTTAATGAAGGCGAAAAAGTCATTGAAAACGCTGCAAATGAATTTTTAAACGCAACCAACAACTTTGCTTTTAGCGGAAAAACGGAATGGTTTTGCGCCAAATGTTTATAAATTTTATATTATAAAAAAAATATAATTTCTTTATCTTTTTTTATAATTATTAACATATCATTACTATTGCTTATATTGGAAGTGGTTGAGTAGAATTTAGTTTAAAGTGCCTTCAAAAATTTTTTGGAAATTAAAAGATAATAATGTCTGATGTTGCCTATTTAAAAATTTCTTCCAATTTGCTATTAAATTTTAAACATAAAAAATACTCCTATATATACTTTTATTTCAGCTATTTTATAAAAAATATTTTTATGGTTAAGTATAACCCACAAGGTGATTAGCAACAAAAAGTAGATATTTTTATAAATACATTTTATATGTACTTTATTATCTTATAAAATATTATATAATTGCGTTTTTTACTTATGACGTTGATCCTAACATAAATTATTATGCAACATCCTTGGAAGGGCTCCGCAAACGCTCGTTTGCTTACTAAGCATATTAGAAGTGCTTTTGCAATTATAATTATAGTATAATCACAAGATGCTGGCGCACCATGAAGAATTTGCGCGCCCTTTGTGGTTATTATAGTCCATGACGGCGATTATAAAATCCCGATCAAATATTTTACTGAATGAATTATAAGATTAGTGTGTATATGCTTGAGTAACCGGGCCTTCTACCCCACTTTCTTTATAAGGGTGCCGGCGGAAAGCAATTCTATAAAACTCTTTTGCTTCTTTTTTTTTTACTCCCATATTATTGACGTAGGCGCTATAGTGATACATATTATTCTACGCGTGCTGAGGGTAAGAATGAACATTATTAAAAAAATAAATAGTAACACAATTTATTACAATTTTGACTTATATGTTTTTGGTTTATAAAAATTTTAAATTTTTTAATGTTTACTTGTATCTCTCTTTGTAGAGACAGGTTTACTGGGTGTCGCTCAGTGGATTAGGTTTATTTAGGCTTACAAGTGCCAGTGTTATATATGGTTTGCGTGGCGTCGCTTTAGTTAATTTAAATATGCGTGTAAATAACTTAACTCACTCCAAGCTCTTCTTAGGTGCGGGATGTAAAGCAATTCAATAAACCTATTTTACCCTCTCCTCTTTAACATTCTAAGTTATAGGCGTCACAGTTTAGCCCTGACTACGCGCAGGGGGGTGGAAAGGATTAACATTAAAAAAATTGGTATAAAATATAGTGTGGCAGATCTTTTCACTAGAAAAAAAATATGAAGTACTTGGCTATTTTTTTATAAAAGTAAAAATTTACTAAATTTGTAAGGAATTTGCTAGTCATTAAGTTTGTAGAACAATAACTTATGTTGCGCGTAAAAATTCCACTTGCATAAAGTATGAGACGGTAGGCATTTTATCAGCAAGCATATTGGAGATCTTTCGCAACTTAATTTTTTGAATAACATTAAAAAAAACATTTAAATTTTCAAACACTTTGTTAATGACTTTTGAAGAAAACCTGCTAACCTTTCTTCTAAATGGATCTTAAAAAGAATTAAAAATTAAATTTAGTTGTACAGAGCATGACGCGGTGGGCATTCTACCGAAAAGTATTTTAAAATGCTTGTGCAAAGTTTTGTTTGCCAATTGTTATAATTTAAACTTATTTTTTCTATCTTTAATAAAAATTACTAAGTTGTTTCCTTTAAAGTTTTCATTTTTCCAGGCCTATTTTACTACTCTGAAGCCATCTTGATGGACAACACAATATTTTTAATTATCGCCTTAAAATTATAATTATCTTTCAAGTACACATTAGTGGTACATATAAAAAGGATATTTGAATAACGACTCATTTATTTTTTAATAATAAAAGTGAAGTACAATAGCGTTTCAGATAAGAATATATAAGATTAACTTTACTAAAATGAAAGCAGAACGCAAATATTATAAATTTTTATAGAATAAATTAATGTACAATGGCGTTTTTTACTATATAACAACTACAACGCCGATAGTTACTTTAGCTTAACTTTCTGCTTTTTAATTTTTTTTTTTGCTTTATCCAAGTAAGAGTAGGCAATGAAAGTTGCCTTCGGTGATTTTTTTACTGGTCTTAAGTCCCTGAAACCGGTATATTATAAACTATAAGTTATACGACATAGTAGATTGTATAGTATAGGCTACAAGATATTAAAATATAGAGTTATTAAATGCTTAAAACGCGTTATAATCTACTTAACAAGTTTAAAGACTCCTGGGAAGCCCTACACTTGGAGCAGAAACCACAGATTAACCCTTTTGCGGACAAAATTCTGGAGTTTAAAATGTTTTTTTCTGCGAACTCACTTTCTTTGTTGAACTATAATTTAAAGTTCAATACTTGTTTTCGAAATTTGATTTTCTATACCTCTTGAGCGCTGAGCTAGACGACAACTCTTGACTGTTGAGGAAAGACCCCAGCTTATAAGTTTTAAAGCAAATTAAAATTTTTAGGCAATGTTTATGATTATTATTTAGATTATGTCATTGCTTAGTTGTTAGTATATAATGAAGGTTCTCGAAAAGTAACAGCAGTCGTGTTAGTTTTTTTTCGTGCTTTTTTTGTTTTAGTCATCACGTCTGTACGTCTCCACTATATATATACATTGTTTACAATTAATTTTAAAAGGCTTAAAGGTTTTAATATCAGTTAGCAAAGGTTTAAATACCCTAAACATTGACCCCGCTATGATGGTTTTACGTATTGTTAGAACCGGCAACTAGCAAGTACCGACCCATCAGTCTCTCCTGTCAGCGGTCGGCAAAGTGGGTGATGCCGTTTTATTGCGCAGTCTAAAAAAGGTTGTTGAGTCTCGGGATGCCTTTCTGGAGTTTCAGTTTGTATTTCGGCAAGGCCCTCAACGATTTAGCAGCTCCTCCACTTAACTGAATGGACCACTCGCTCTTTTAAATTCAAGAAGGGAACAGGCGCTGTCTCCCTTGACGTTGAAAAAGCATTAGTTCAAGTTTAGCACGAAGACCTGCTGCACAAACTGCACTCATTATCCGTTCCTTATGACCATTACAACGTGCTGGAGCCATATCTAAATGGCTGCATCTTCAGCAGGGGCCCCTACTTTCGACCCTTTTTTATGTAAGCAACGTCCCTTGCCATCAAACCCACACGCTACAAATCGCCCTCTACACCGATGATATGGCCATTTACTCATAGTCGAAGGCTCCCAACTTGCTATACAGCATCTACAGCGCTCTAGACGATCTTGCTAACTGTTGTCATAATTGGAAAGTATCGATAAGTGAGCTGAAGAGCAAACTTCTTATTACTAAGAAACGCGTTCCTTCCCTAGTGCCTTTAACTTTTAATGGCATAAAGATTCCGTGGTGTTCTCAAGCTTAACACTTGGGAGTCATCATTGACAATTAACTTTACTGGCAGCGGACGTGAAGTATCTGGTGGCGAAGGTCAAGGCCGCACTCAGGCGCTTTCCCCTTTACTATGCGGCAAGAGAATGCATTCCCTGCGAAACAAAAGGCAATTGTATTTGTCTTACATCCAGCCGATAATGACATACGCGTCTGCTGCTTGGAATTACGACTCCACTACGATAGCGTCGGCAGCTCAAGTGCAACAGAACAAATTGCTGAGCGATTTGGCAGACACTCCGTGGTTTGTGTGTAATGATGTTCTTCACTGGGACCTTTAGATGAACCCTTTCAAGGTAGTGCCAATGTCATGCCAATGCTTTTTACGGCAGGCCAGCCAAGCACAATAATCGCCTGCTGGTGATTGAACTTAATTACGAGCCATGAGCCGGGGCACATTATCACCGCCACGTTATGCGCGTTAGCGCTAGTTTTTGTTTGGAACTGTCAAAAAAGTAATGACACCTTTTCGATTGAAAGCTATTAAGTAACATGTCTGCGATCACCCGGATTGTGAGCTCGAGTATTCGAAGTATTTTGACTCGATAGAGAAGGAGAAATTGTTATTTGTATAGAATAAATAAAATCGACCCTAATTTTTTATTTCTTTGTTTCATTCTAATAAATTATACAATTTTTTTAAGAAAAATAAATTAGAATTTAATTTTTATATATTTGGCTTCCATTTTAGCATAAAATATGACGTTTATATATTTAATTACTGATTTTTTTCTTACTTTAGTCAACTTGAAGTAGTCTTCTTTAGCGTATTATATAATCAAATAGATTTTATTGTAATATATAAAAATTAAAAATATAAAAGTATTAATAATCTTCAAATTAATAAATAGAAAGAATAAATATTTTAAAAAAAAAAAACTATTATTTGCAGTTATTTACTCCAAAGGGGATATTATGCAAGAAGACTATTTTTCATATCTCCTCTACTTGTTTGCAAAAGTAATTTTTACATAATTTCGAATAATGAAATAATAATTTTGATATAAAATATTTGAAGTTAAAAATTAAACTTTTAATAACTTTTACCGAATTTTTTATTAAAAATTTATTTCAATAAAAAAGTAAAATACTGATATATATTTTGTTTTAAAAATTTTAAAATAAACTGAATTAAAAGTTTATAAAACCATTTTAACAAAAAATAAAAAGATTTTAAAGTAATGTTAAATAAGCTTAAATAATATTACGTTGAATACTAAGTTTAATATTTTTTAATAGCCTTTTACCACCCGTTGTGTCGTATTCTGTAGGGTAACTTTTGCATTTTTTCTAAAAATTCGTTTGCAACAATTGTTCAAGGTTATATATATAACGTGTTGTTCTATTATATATATATATACTTCTTATATACAGACATATGCACCTTAAATACAAAGAAAAATTTAAAAAAATGTTAATATTAAATTCCTAACATATCAGTTAGATTATTATATAAAGGAGAGAGCGGAGACACTAAAAACATCTATTCTTTTCTCTTCTTTTCTCTTATAGTAGAAAAAACTTTAAACGGTAGAACACGAAATTTGAATCATCGCTTGCAATGTGGCTCGCCTTTATTTAGTTAAATTTTTGTTATTAAATCTCATTATCTACTTAACTTTTTTTAATAAAGTAATAATTTAAAATCTTGTAATTAAGCAATAAAGGTGATTTTTTTAATTGAAGAAGCGGTACACTTAATTAGCTTTGTCGCCTTGCAATGTGACTAGTCTTCTTTTAGCTAAACTTTTGTAGTAATATATAACATCAGCCCCGTTTTTTTTTAAAATATATTAAGTTATTTAAAATTTCGTATTCAACCAGAGACCGGTGATACAAGATAGCGTTATCTTTATTTTTCTTTTAGTAAAAAAAAAAGTTATACACAACAGAACACGAAGGTGGCGTCGCTATTAAGACTCATTTTTATTTTAAACTTATTTATTTCTTCCTAGATTATTAAGCTATTTAAATTTTTTTAAAAAGTAATAAAGCTATTTAGAATATCGTAATTAAGCCAAGAGTGGAGGTACTAAAAAGCGAAAGCTATACACAGTAGAACACGATTTGGCAAAATCGCTAAGCATTGTGGCTCGTACTTTTTTAATAGTTTATATGGTCATACCGCAAAGCAATAACTTCTCCAGTTATTTAAAAGTCAAAACTCCAATAATAAAGTCAATACTTAATATATAGCTGTACTTATAATTATAATATTTTAGCTAGCACCGCTTCCTCATAGACTTTCCCTTAATTTGTCGAAGAGTAGGAACAAGTATATTCATTTTCCGCTCATCAAGTAGAGTTTCAGAAGCGTATGATCATTGAGCTAAACTTTTGTTTTTAAAGTTAATTTACTTAAATTTATATTTTTAAAGATGTGATAAAGTATTTAGAAATTCTTACTGTATATATATTCCTCCTCGTAGAAAATAACTATTTACAGTAGAACACGGCAATGGCTTTGTCACTACGCCTTTGTGGATCGCTTCTATATACAGCTAAACTTTTGTTCTAAACTTCTATTCTCTACTTAATTTTTTTTGAAAGTAATTAAATTATCTTATATATATGTAATAGTATTTATTAGTACTTCATTAAAAGTAGTTAATTTATCTATAAAACTTTAAGCGCTTTTTAAATTCTTTAATTTTACTAATTTTTTTTTTTTTACTTTTTAACTTAATTTGCTTTGGGGAAGGTTTTTAATGCATATGGCTAAAAATTTAAAGTGCAGGAAATTAATTCTACTGCCCCTCTTAATACTGTATTAACCAAATATTTCTAATTTTTAGTAAATGGATGTGTTCAAAAAGAATTTTCCGCAGTTAATTTTATAACTATTCAAGATGAAATGAAGTTATTAAATTATAAAGTTTTTTTAATTAGTAAAATTAAAAGTTTTTATAAACTTGAATAATAATAATTTACATTTATTAAATATAACTTTTACCAACGAAGTGAAAATCTCGCGAGTAACTTTTGCTGTTCATTAGAATCTTTTTTTACTTTCTTTCTCATATAAAAAATTGGGCAATCGCGACTTTAAAAAAAATAATTATAAACCGGAATTGAAATTAAAGAAATTTAATAATTAATTCTAAAAGTAAAAAGAAATAATATAAGCTACTAAATAGTATAAAAAGGGGTATATACAAATATTATGATAATAAAAAATAGTAATTATAATAAAAGTATATATACAGTTCTAAAAGTATATATATATATTCGAACTACGAAAGTACTTATTTAAATAATAATATAAAATTATAAAGATATATAAATTATTTAAAATAACTTTATAATTTCTAAAAAAATTAGTTAGAAAAATATAGATTATTTTTATAAAAATAAATAAAAGTAAAAGTAGTTCATAGTGTACATGATAAAAAATATATATATAATAAATGAAAACATAATAGATAACAAAAATATAAATACCTCAAAAATAACAAAAAAAATATAAATTTACTTTTATATATTATATAAAAGTAAAAGTACTTCAGTTAATTTAAAAATAGACGTCTCAATAAAAATAATAATACGAATTAACAAAATAGTGGCTAAATAATAAAATTAATAAAAAATAAAAATTATAAAAAATGAATGAAAAAAATTAATTTAAAAGAATTTCAATTAAAAATTTATTAATAAATTATGTTAATAATTTTCCCAAAAAGCTGGTTTAGTAGGGCCTTGAAAGATAGTATTCGGTAGTGTATAATTTTAAAGTTAAGATAAGAATCATAATTAAAATTATAATATTATATGACCCTCAATAATAGTAATAATGATAAAATTGTACTATATTAGAAATAATAATTTAATTATAATAAGATTAGATGATGCTCGATAATAGTAGTTATAATAAAAATATATAATATAATTCAACAATTAATAGTAATAATATATATAATTTAGTAGTATAATTAATAATAAATATAATAGAAATCTAATAATAATAATAATAATAATAATAATAATAATAATAATAATAATAGTAATAATAATAATAATATATTTAGAGAAAACCTCGTGCATAGGACGTCATGATGGAAACTTCCTTGGCAGCGCTGGCATTGCGTCCACAAACGTGAAAACTTGTATTCCAAAATTCTCATATCGTAAAGCTTTATTATTATTTAGTATTAGTATTATAAGTATTGTTTTTGTTCTTGCTGTTATTATTTTTAAGTAAAAAGATATAATGCTTATTACCTCCTTTTGATAAATTTCCGCTTCTCGAGACTTGCAGTGTTCACAGACAGCAAAGCCTAATAATGATTATGATAATAATAATAATAATAATAATACTAAAATCAATTAAAATAATAATTTTAATAATATTAAAAATAATGGTATGGAAAATGCAAAGTTATAATATTTTTATAAATTAAATAAAAGGTTAAAAATTTTTATATATGATAAAAAATAGTGCTATATTATTTTTATCATTATATCAAAACCTTTAGGAATGGAAGCTCTACAGCCAATACAACTTTCTATTTTTTTAGTAAACTTCATTAGACCGCCAGTCACGGGTGTTGCTATAGAAATGGAGCGGGTGTGCTCTCCCGCTAAAAAAATTCATTAAAAAAAAAGTCAAAGTCCATTATTTTCATAAGAAGAAATAAGTAAAGGTAAGAAAATAAATAGCATTTTGTAAATTAATATAAATCTAAGCCAAAAAAATGTAATATATATAAGTCACCCAATAAGGACTGAAGTTTTGTTTTCCCGATGATTGGTTCAAATAAACGCGTGAGCGGTTTCGATAGCTGTTGGTAAAAATGAAAATCATGAAAAAAAATAGTTTTATTTTTTATATTTAGTATTATTACTACTAAAAATATATTATTATTACCTATTATTATTATAATTATTATCACCATCATAATTTTTTATTTATTATTAACCTGGTTTTGCAAATAATAGTTAGTATCAATGGGTATATTATTTTCTAATACGTAAATTGGGTCTTCGGACTTTTCATAAGCGGCAGCTCCCTTGTAATTATAAGTAACAATAATAATAGTAATAATAATAACAATAACTTTTTTCGCTTTGATAATAACGTAAGGTACTCTATCTCCTAACGTTGGGGCAGTCGCTAAATATATAAAAAATATAAAAATATTATAAAATATAAAAATAATAACAAATAATAATAATAAACAGTTAAAAAGTAGTGTAAAAATAAAATAATAATTTAAGTTCAATAAGAACATGAGTCGCGTTGGCGCATGCGCTCAGCCAAAGCCACGTGCGCCTGCTTTCCAGAGTATTCAGACTCCTGCTTGCTTAAAGCTTTCGTAATGACTAACTGGGAAATGTCAATCTTTTAAGATAATGATGTTTTTATAAAAAATAATGAAGGTTTTTTTAAGAAAATACTTTATTCTGAAGTAAGTCGGCGATGGTCTCGCGGCAATATTGCTTTATAAAAAAATAACAAATTTATTAATAACAGTAATTAAGAAATAAATAGGCGATATAATAAATTAAATTGTTAATTATTGCATTAGAATTAATAATTCAAGACCGTAAATCTTCAGTCAATAATCATTAACTACAGATTAAATTCTAAATTATCAAAAGAATTTGCAAATTTTTTAATGATCGCGTGTTAGCCAATAACTGTTGACTGTATAAACATGGTAATACAAATAGCCAACCGAAAGCCTTTCACAGAACATTTTGTATGTTATTTTGATTTGTTTATATTATATATTTCATAAGATTTTTCTTTGAATAAATTTTTTTGAAGTTACTATAAAGAAAATCTTAAAGAAGATATAAATAAATTAAATTATATAAATAGAAGTTAAACAATAAATATATGTTTCATATGATCAAAAATTGATATCTAATAGAAGAACTTTAATAAAGGTTAAAAGGCGGTTCACTCGGTTTGTTTGTGCCGAGCAATAACAAAAAAACCGGTTATCCCTCATAAAAAAGGTTTAAAACACATTCAAATAGTAATTTTTTCCGATTAAGTAGTGAATAAGCTATTATTTGGTACCAAAGCCGCTTAAGTTGGTACCAGTTCACATCTTTTTTATACAAAAGCCTCAAAATTCCATATTAATAAAATTCAATGTTCCTGATTAGCTTGAAAAAAATTTGTTTATTGCTTTGTTTGTACCCAAATGATAAAAGGGTCAAGTTTATTTGTATGTGTCGGTGAAAAAATGTGCAGTGTTGCATTTTATAAAATATTAATAGAATATTTTTCTAAATTTTTATAGCAGGACTCCACCAATGAGATATTAAAGATTAGTTATATTTCAAGTATTTTAACCCTACAGTAGTCGCCCTAGTTCTCTCAGATGTCTTGAGTTTTAAAGTTTCACTTTTATATTAAATAAAAAATAACATAAATGTTTGAACACTTGTTGTTTATTTAAATATAAGAATACAGCCCACACTAAATTTAAACTTCTATTTTGAAAATTTAGAAAACAAAATAATTTCCAGATCTGTGTAACTCCCTATGACTACTGTAGAGTGGATTTTGCTTGTATTTAATTTATAATTAGTCCATCATTATTATTAAAAAGTTCATAATAATTTAAGGAATTCTTTTTAAACAATGCAATATTAATATATAGCATATATAAATTATTTCTGAAATAATAGTTCCGTGATTTTTACTGCAAAGCACGGTCAATGAGGTATTCAATATTAGTTGTATTAATTGATTGTTTACTGTTTTTGTTATAAATAATATTATAAATTCAAGAAATTATCAAATAAAGCAATATTATATTGTAGCATTAATAAACTAATAGGAATGTTTCCTTATTAAGACCGGTCAATAAAAAGAACTTCACTTTTACTGGCGGCTGTGATTGATCCCTTTTTAGGTATATCTAAATTTGGAAGCCTTTTTTTTTTTAAAGGTACTCTTGCGCCCATATAAACATGTTTTTTTTAAAAAAAGGAGAGTTCACCAAGTGAAAATATACGTCCGTAACAAAAAAAATTATACAGAAAAAATAAAAAAATTGATAATATCAAAGTTGTACAAGTTTTTTCCTAGACAATAAAAGCTTGCTGTACAGTATATTACAAAAGTAGGTAAACCAACAAAAAACTTTAAGAAAAGTTATTATTTTAAAAAAAAAGTTATTTAAGTCCATACAAAAATAACCATCATTTCTATATTAAAAACAATTTTTATTATCTTGAACTATAATTTGTATAAAAATTGTAATTAGTATATTTATATTTATTTCGGTTATTAAGTTATTATTTCGTTGACATTTTCTAAAATGTTATAATAGATTATATTTTTTTATAGTAAATACTATAAAATTTTACTATTCTTAATATATTTTAAAAAAAAAAGGTTGCAATAAATTTATATATATTATTTCGTTAATATTTTTAAAAAAAGTAATAAGTAGTAATTATTATCATGTTATTTTTAATAACTTATTTAAAAAGTTATAACTAATAATATTATTAATATTCATCATTATTAAGTTGCTGTGTTAATATTATTAAAAAGTATATCTCAGTATTATTTCCATAGTAATTATTATCAAATAAGTTTTACTTTGTTGTTATTCTCAAAAAAATTTGCAATAAATAATGTTAATTATAATAATAATCAGGTAAATTATCAATGACAATAAAAAAAATTACTTGTGCGCCCTCCAGATTTCGGTCTATAAGTATTTTATGCAAGCAAACGTTGATAACGTTTTTAACCAATAAGCAGTTGTCTCTGCGAACAGTTTCGATTCCTTTACAATCCATCTGATAATAATAATAACTGTTATTTAATAAAATAGAAAGACTTCTTTTAAAAGTTTCTTTTTGCTTATTTTCTTATAAATTAATATTTTTTATATTTTTATTATAAAAAATGTCTTAAAAAGACCTTATCATAGGAATCTTCTTTCGTCCAATACAAACCAGCGTATCGTTTTTTACTGATAAGCAAATAGGGAAAGTAAACTTTTTCGAATTCGAGCTATTGGTGTTTACAAAAAAAAATTAAACCAACCTGAGGAAAGAGAAGAAAAGTATATTACTTTAATTGGATGAGCAAAAAAACTTGAAACATAAGAGGCGGCTTCATGCCCTCTAGCCATGGCCGTAGCAAGCTGAGTAAGTATTTCATTGGTTTATTTATTACTTTAAATTTTTATAAACGTTTTTATATTGGCTGAATTTTATTTTTTTAAAAAAGTAAAGAAATTCTTTACTATAAATTTTATATTAACTATTATTATAAATCTATATCTTTTAAACAATATTGTATGATGAATTATAAATTTCTAGTATAAAGTTATTTTATTTATATAGTTAATAGATTCTTTATCGATCACGAATTCTTACGAAATAAAATTTATTTATTAATTAATTGTCTACAAAATATTAAAAAATTTTAATAAATTAGTTTTTTCAATGAGACATAAATTTTTGTGGAACTAAATATATTAATATTGATTTATTATAAATTTTTTATTTTTTATTTTAATTATAGATTAATTAATAGCTTTTTTAATGAATCATAAATTCTAGAAAACAAAATTTATTTATATACTAACTGTCTACAAATTTTATTATTAAAATAAATTCATATCCCCCAATAGTTTTCTAGTGAGCCCTAATTTCTGTGAAACTAATTTACTCATTAATTGATTGGCCAACAGATTTTCCTTTTTATTATTAATTTTTTATACTACCTCTTTAATATGAATATTTTAATTAACATACAAGTTTCTTTTTGGTTTATTTCAGTATTTTACTGATATTATAATATATTTTTGGGCAGTTTAATTTTTTTTAATAATTATTGTTTTTTAAGTTTTTCTTTTAGTCTAAATATAATTATATTTATAAGTTAATTATAAATATTCGATAAAAATTTTATTAGATTTTAAATTTTTACATTGATATATAAAAAGATTCATAACTTAATCTAATTCTAAACATCGCTATTAATCGGTTAATTACATGTACTCGATAATTTTAATTTTAAAAAATTTTTTTGTAGATATTTTTCTTTATTTTCTAATAAGAAATATATTATCGTCATATTTATACCAACTATATATATTATTGTAATATTCCTTAAAATTCTCGTATGTTATTTACGTAGTAATTTTAATGAAATATGGTTTTATTTTTACTGCCTAAAAATTTTGTCGATTTCATAATAATTTCAATAAAAAAAAATTAAAAAAAATCAAAAATTTTTCTTATTAATTATTCCGTTAATTTTTTTTATATATAAATATTTTTATCTTCTAATATCATTCGTTTATTATATTTATATAAAATTTATTTATTTTTCATACTTTAAATATTAAATATTTATATTACATTCAAATATTATTTATTTCTTAGAAAAATATTTTAAAAAAAAATTATTGGATTTATTTTTATTTTTAATATTTTATTATCACTCAATTAATAATATAACTTAAATTTTTAATTATTACTACAATTATTAATCTATTATTTAAAAAGTATATAATAAATATAAATTTTTTATATTTTTTTATTTTATTTACCAAAACTATTTATATTTACTATTATATTTTATTTTATTATAAATTAATTCATTTATTCAATATTTTATTTATTTAAAAATTTTATTTATAAATCAGTTATTATAATTATTATTTTATTTTATAAAAAATTCTTTTCTATATACATTTATGTATATTTCTATTTTATATTTTTTTATTTCATTTGTCAGTCAGTAATTTTATTTACTATTATATTTATTTTATTATGAATTATTCTATTTTTTCAATAATTTTTTTTAGCACATATTTTAAATTTTATATTTAATTATTTATTTCTTACAAAGAAATTTATTAATATGCAAAATTATATTTAATTAATTGTTTATAAGTTTCTTATTATCAATCAACAATTCAATTTCCATTAAATTTTATATTATTTTTAATATTTTATTATATATTTCATTATATTTTAAAAGTTTATTTATTTTACTTTATTATAAATACTGATAATTATTTTTTCATATTTTCTTTCTTTAAATATATTTTTATTTTTAAATTTTTCATTATTTCAATAGTTCAACTATTTATTATTCACTGTATTTTTATAACATTATTTTTTTAAAGTAAAAATTTCTTCCTCAATTCAATATTATTTTACTTTTTTGTCTTTAATTTTATATTTCATATTATTTCATAAATTTTATTAATAATATAAAATTTCCTATAAAAATTTATTTTTACATTAATATTATTTTATTTTAGTAAATATATTATAAATTATAAATTTTTTTAATATTTTCTTATTAATTTATTATTTACTTATGATTATATTTTCATTTTATTTCTTTTTATAAAGTATTATAAAACTTTACATCATCACAGCCAAACTTGACCATAACCGAATCAGTATCGCCATAAATAACTTTAGCGTCGTGCGGATATCCTTTTTTTTGGAAAAAAAATATTCATATAAAAAAATTATAATCATAATAATTAAGCATTCTAGTTATATATACAAAATTGACGAATAAGCAATTGAAGAAAAAGAAGTACATAATATTTATAAACTACATACAATTTTTTTCTACCCAAAAAAAAAAGCAAAAAAAATTTTAGAAAGAATTTTTTAAGCTAAAATTATAATGAAATACTTTACAAGCAAACTCTATAAAGGAATATATAAAATATTGATAATAATAAACTATATATAAACCTTTTTAATTCTGTATTCTTATTTTAAATAAAATTTTAATAAAATATTTTTGAGCAAATTATATAAAGAAAAATAAAGATAAAATATCAATAACAATAAACTAGATATAAACTTTCCCAACTTTGTCTACTTTTCTTTTATACAAAAATAAGAAAAAATTTAAAAAGGATTTTTCAAACTAAAACTTCAATAAAATACTTCTTAAGACAAATTTTATAAAGAAAAAGAAATGAAGATATGAATAATAAACTAAATGCAAACATTAACAAGTTTATATTGTATAATTTATTTATCATTTATACCAAAAGTATATAAAAAATTATTCACAAAAAAATTTTCATATTATTATATAAATCCCAAATGTTGGGGTGAATTTCAAATAAGATAATGAATTCTAGAAACTAAAATTATGTAAAAAATATTTTTTAAGGAAACTTCTTAAAAAATTATAGAGAATATGAACAATAATAAATACTATAAAACTAAATATAAACACAAACCATTTTGTATTGTATATTTTCCTTCAACCAATTCTTTAGTTTTATCAATCATCTGGCGGCCAAACGCCTGCAAAATTTTGATCAGCATAAGCATTAACACTAAATATAAGAATAATATTTATATTTCTCTATTACTTTATTTTTTTTGTTTAAATATATTGTAATTTAAACTTTATTAATAATAGTAATTATTTATAATAATTTTATAAATAACAAGTATATATTATAATTATTTTTTCTACTTTTATTACTTTTTAATGCAAATTAAAAAAATTAGTAAAAGTAAAAAACGTTATCGAGAAACGAAATGGTTTGAAACGAACGAAAAAAAACTACTCATTTGATTTTACAAGTAATAAGAAGGTCTTATAATGTTCGATTGATTTTGTTAGAAAAAATACTGCCAACAAGGTAAAAAAGAGTAAGTTGCAAATAGTAAAGGACTCGGCAGCCTATCGAACTGTATTTTTGGTAAAATAAGTACACTATTGGTTGACGACGACGTTCTGTTTAACAGTAATTAAGTTCACACTTTTATATTCATTAGTATCCTTGTAAAGTATTTCTGTTGATCCGTTTACCTTTATTTACACATTCCAATATTAACCTTATTATTTATGTTGAACAATCTGTACTTCTTTAACTTGTTTCATAAATTGTTGGGGTTTTCCAACGATGAAATATATTTTTATATTTTTTTTAAATATAAAATATATAAAAACTATTCTGTAAAAAAATATTTAAGTCAACTTTTAAAAGTTATAAAAGTTTATTATGCCATAAAATATTTATTAATAAGTTTTAAAATAAAAACTTGTAAGAATTGATAAAGTTTAAAAAAAAAAATTTATTAGTCACATTTTACATTAAAAATCTTTGATAAGGATTCGGAGCAGGATATAAATAATAATAGGAATGAAAAGAATCAATAGCACTCAATTGTATCAATGAGTACTAAAATTAAAAACCGTGTTCGAGAAAAAGGGGTTGGATTTTTACTGTACAAAACTCATGAGTACTATTGATGGGTTTAATACAGCGAATTTATGCCATGCGACACATGCAGCTATAATTATTACAGTACACTATAAGAAAAGTGGAAAAGAAATTATTAAAAAAAGTAGCTAACAAATTAACAAATAAATAGCTTTTTATGAAATATTTTAATATTTTTGAGTCAAAATTTTTATAGCAAAAGTAAAAATATCTTTTGAGCGGCAAAGAACAATATCACAATAAGTGGTTTCTTTTTACTTATAAAACTTTTTAAAGGGGAGAAAATAATAATAAACCGATGCAATTCTAAACTAAAAAGTATAAAAATGCACCAAAAGGTCGGTTAATTTATAGTGATACAAATTGTTATTACAGCGCAGCATTCATATACAAGTTAATTTAATTTATATCTAAAAAAAAATACAAATAACCTGTACAATAAACATCCATGGAGCCAAATTATTTTTAGATTAAAACATTGAAAAAGTTGTAGTATAATTGTTTCCCATAGATTTGTATAATCATCATAAAAATATTTATTTATAGTTTATTTTTTTAAATTTCACTATAATAAAGTTTTCTAAAACCAAAAGTACTCCACATCACATTGCCATAACACTCGCTCAATAGGGTACGGAAAAAAAATAAATTGGCCCTATTTTGTATTAAAAAGTATCAACAGCGCCAATAATAGTACATATGGTTAAGTAGGTACAGTTTCATTACAAAAGTGGACGTTCATAAAAAAAGAAGCAAATAAGAAAAAATATTTAAAAGATATTGTTTTATATTATTCAAGAATAAAATTATAAATTGACGCAATTGAAACGAATTGTTACAAACTATAAAGTGATTTTAGCAAATAGTATCGAAAAGCAGAGAAAATTTAACTATTGCCATTAAGTTATGATAGCGCAGCAGAGTAAAGAATAGATCAAATAAGCAAAGGTGCTCACAAGTTACTTTGCTATAAATATTTTTTATGTTAAATTACTTTTTAGAGAAAAACTTTTCAAATTTATTGTGAAGTTAATAAAAACTTTTTCTTACATTCCATTTATTATTTTAAAAAAATTACTAAAAATATTTTTTTTAGCTTAAAGAAAATGTAACCCATATTAAAAGTTTGCATTTTTATATTATTCTTTAAAAAAAATACCTTAGCATGAAGCTTGTAGTTTTTTAATATTTACAAAATTTTATTAGTAGAAAATGTTTTTATTATAATACATTATTATTTTAATAATATTACGATATATACCGAAATAAAATGTTTATATTTTTATACTTTTTCTTTAGATAAAATATTATTAGAGTACATTTCGAATAAATATATTTATTTTAATATTATATTAATAAAAAAAAACATTTACTATATTTTAATAAAAAATATATTTATATCTTTTTTATATCTTTTTAAAAAAAGAGGTTTTCATATAAAAACGTTAATAAAATAGAAAATTGATAATTATTTTATTATATTTATATTTTTTTACTTCGTTTATTTTTTTATAGAAAAAGTGCTTTAAATATAGAAAAAAAAAACGGATAATAATAATAAAATACAGTAACACTAGAAGAAATTTCCAAGCATGGCAACTTTCCTACAGTAGCTCCTAATAATAATAACATCGGTATAATTATAATAATAGTAGTGAGAGAATAGTGACTTAATTATAAAAAAATAATTTATAACATTTATATAAAAATAAAATCAATATAAAATTATTTATAACAAAAAATAAAGAAAAAAGTTAAAATATTATTTTATAGTTAAAAAAGATGAAGAATTTTAATTTTTATAATATAAAAAATAAATTAATAACTTTGAAGTAAAATTACATTAATGCATTAATAAATTGAACTAAACAAAATTATTATAAATATAAGAAATTTATATAATTAAATATAAAAGAAAATTAGAATTTTATAAATATTTTTCATATAATACAAATAAATATAAATTGCATAATAAAAACTTTAAATTATATACACAATATAGTGGTAATAAAGGTAAAGTAAAAAAAAATTATTTATTACTTTTTTATGTAGTAAAAAAAAATTAAAAAACTGAAAAAAAAATTATAATACGTAAAAGTAACGTGAATCAAAAGTAATTCAAATGTAAATAAAATTATTATAAAATCTTGATGTTATAAAAATAAATATAAACTTTCATAATAAGAGTTTTCTAAGAAATATTTGTAATAATTGTAAACTTTTCTTATGAATAAGCATTTTGAAAATATTAATTATAAAAACAATACATATACATTGAATAGTTAATATCAATTCTTATAACAAAAAAGAATTTCAATAATATTTTTAAGCAAAAACATATTTAAATTTATATTACTAAATATTATAGTAATATACTTTTATAATAAAAAGTTTCTAAAAATATTTATTAACAATAAATTTTGAAATAAATTATTTTTAATAAAGCTTTTAATAAATTTAAAACAGTTTATATAAACTATTATAAGAGAAAAAATTAGTATATATATATACATTGTAAAAAATTAAAGAAATTATATAATTAAGTTTTAATAAAAACTTTTGTACTAGAAAAAATTTTGAAATATCATTAATAAAGTTTAAATAAATTTTTAAAGTAGAAAATATAAACTTCTGTATTTAAAAAAAAAATTGCTAAATATATTTTTTTGTAAAAAGTTAAAGAAATTATATTTAATTAAAGTTTAAATAGATTCATAAAAGTGAAAATAAATTTTGATGATAAAAGAAATTAAAAAATATATATAATAATTATTTAATAATAAATTCACAATAATTTAATATTAACTTTTATAGTAGAAGAAAATTATAAAAAAATATATTTATAAAAAGTTAAAATATATATAATAAAATTTAATAATATTTAACAGTAATATAAAATTTTATAGAAAAAAAAGAATCTACATGTAATTTTTAAAGTTTTAATAAAAGATTTATAAAGGTAAAATAAATTTTTATGGTAGGAAAAAAAATTCAGAAATATTTTTTTAAAAATTATATATAAAATTAATAAATATAATGATAGTTTGAGACTAGTAGAATAAACTTTACTAATAAAGAATATTTTTAAAAATATTTGTAAAAAAAAAAAAAAATTATCATGTAATTAATAAAAATTTTATAATAATTTTATAATAGCAAATATAAACCTTCTTTTAAAATAAGCATTAAAAAAGTATAAAGATTACAAGTAAATTTTAATTTATAAAGAAAATAATATGAATATTTATAATATTAATATTCAATTAAGAACTTCGTTATACAATAAAGTTATAAAATTTTTATTTTTATATTACATAACAATCAAAAATAAAACAAAAATGTTATAGTTTCCTTAATAAAAATGAAACGTCTAAATAATAATAATATTATTAATAATAAAATATACAAACTAAAGAAACATTAAAGTTTTCAATTAATAAAAAAGTAAAAATTTGATAAATTATAAATATTAAGAATACAATAAATATTTATATATAAGGTTAGAAAAATTTTAAGTTTTAATATAATCTTATAGAAACTTTTATAAACTTGATAACTTCTATACTATACAAAATTATATGTAATACTTCATAAAAAAATATATATTCTTTTATATATACATATTAAATTCAAAAAAAATATTTTTACTTCTTATTTTATTGCTTATATAAAGAGTAGAAAGATTAAATAATTAATAAAAATATATATGTTCATTATTATAACCATTTATATAAAAAGTATAAATAAAAACGACATTTAAAATATAAAAGTAATAATGATAATTAATAATAATAGTAATAGTAATAGTAAAAATAAACGAGTAACAAACCAGTAAAACCATAAACAGAATTGGCGCTAATTTTCAAAGCCAATTGTCTTCCGTCTAATACCGCCCTTTTAAAAGAATCTGTTTCGTTTTTTAAATCTAAAGATAATATATATATAATAAATATATAAAATGTTTCAGAATATATTATATTATTAATATTTTATTATTTTTAATATTATTATAATCATTATTATATAATTATAATTATTATAGTTGCAATTATACCATGTTTGGCCCGTTTACGTGCAGCTAATAAATCTTCTAAAATTCCTGGCAACAGTCCTTATGAATAGTAATAAGAAATTAAAACATGGGAAAAAAAAAAAGATAAACTGAAAATATTTTAATGAAGACTTTTTATTTTTTAAAGGCTAACATATTTTGGAAAGAAAATATAATAAATAATCTAAATTTTTTCCAGAGAATTTTAAAACAGTTCATTTTAATGTTAAAAATATATATATACACAAAAAATTAGTAATAGAAAATTCACTATTTTTATTGTGGAAAATAAAAATATCAAAACATCAAAAAAAAATTATGTTTGAAAAGTATGTTGGGGGGAGAAGCACTTTTTATATATTTCATTATAATTATTGTAATTTTTTAATAAAGTAATACGAAATAAATTGTAGAAAAAAATATTTTTTTAAAAGTTAAAAAAACATTGGGAAAAAAAAATCACAAAGTTCGTAAACATGAGGAGTTGAAAAAAAGCGCTCTATAAATTTTTAACAATTTATTAATATGTGTTATATTAATAGATAAAATAAACGCATATACTTTTTATAGGTTGAATGTAATGTTGGGGAAATCAAACCTTCATATTTTTATTTTAAAACATAAACAAAATTTTATAATTAAAAAATAAGTTGGAAAATGCACTCCTTAAAATCATTGAAAACTCATTAAAATCTATACATTAATAGAAATACATGAAAATATAAAAATTGATATTTTTACAGGTTGGATACAATATATTGAATAAATATAAATAATGATAATAATTTTTTACTTCAACAAAATTTATAAGTTAGAGGAGGAGTTAAATTCACTAAAAGTTTTACACTCTGAAAAAATGTTGGGGAAAAGAAATCAATTTATTTTAAAAAAAGAAAACAATTATTATAAAATCTTTTAATAAATAATATCAAAGTCTCAATGAGTTGCCAAAATGCACGCTTTTATTTCAAATTTTTATTAAGAAATTTATTAATTATTGTTAATAAATTTATTAAAAACATAATTAGAAATAAAAAATTTAAAAAGTTGTGAAAAAATGTTGGGGAAAAGACGCCATTTTTTAATAAGAAAAAAACTGTATAAACTTAATAATATCCAGTTACAAAATGCACTTAAAATATTCACTGAAAAAAAAGTCCAAAGATAATTACGAAAATAAATATTATACAAGTTAAAAAAATTGAATTTTAATATAATTATTGTATAAGTACAGAACAAAATAATACTTTGTACACATTCTATAGAGCAAAACAGGTTTTGGGGTTGCACCCCAAAATTTCTTTTATAAGAAAATTCATTAATATTTATCATTGTATACTTTAAAATATACGTAAAAAAGGTATTAAAAAATAGTTAATTATAAATTTTTAATTTTTAATTATTAATATTAAAAATATAGAAAATATGTGAATAGTAAGAAAACTGTTGGCTAAATAGTTAATAAAATTAAGGAATATATTTAAAAGTTTATAAAAGACTGATGAACTTTCATAATAAAAGCACATTGCCTCTTTAAAATAATTTTAATAATAACAAAAAATGGATTATATGTGAATATATATAATGAGTGTTGGGAAAAAGGACAGAGAAGATTAATAAATAATAAAGTTTAGTATAAATATGGTTGAGCTTTTTTTATAAATTTCACTTAAAATTTTGAATTTATGTTATTTATAACAAGTCATAAGATAAGAAGTAAATATAAAAAGGTTGATTGAATTTATAAAAAATTCACTAGTTTTTTAGAATTATACTTATTATTAATATCATAAAACATAAAAATAAGTGAAATAGTCAGGGAAACAGGGTAAATGTTAAAAGAATATATTAAAAAAAAGTTAATTACTTTATATATACAATTCATTATTTTTAAATTTATTGCTTTTATTAACACCCAAAAACATGGAAATATGCGAATAGTTAGAAGACTGTTGGGTAAAGCCTACCTTTAAATTTCTTCCCTTTAATAAAATAATTACCGCTGGGCGTTCGTATGTATTCATCGTCCTTCAGTTCTTTATGTTTTCCATTCTTTAGTAAGGTTGTATAACTTTTTCAATAAAAAAAAATATTATAGTAATTCTTAGAGAATATAATAAATATATAAAATATGAAAATCGCCAATTCATTATTTTTACTGTAAACAAAAAAAACGTGTAAATTTTTTTTAAATTATATAAAGTATTGATAAGATAATTATATTTACTAACTTGAAAACTACTACTTTTTCAACGAATCCTTTATAAAGTTGTATACATTTTTTATAATTAAAAAAAATTTAAACCATTTTCAATAGAAAATAGTATTATATTTGAGTTTTAATATATTTAGTGAAAAAAATTATTTTTATTTTATTTATACTTATAATGTTTGAAATTTATTATTATAGAGAAGAAAATATTTGTTAAAAAATAATTTCTATAATTTTTTTCGAAAATAAAAAAAAATTTCAAAATATGAATTTCATTCCAGTATTTTTAGTGAAAAACAAAATATTAAATTATATAAACTTTTCTGACTAATTATAGTTTAAAACCATTAAAAAAAAGTGTTGTTAGTCATAGAGTCAACCAATAAGGATCTATTAAAATTCCATCAAATTTTTTAGGTTTCCAATATTTTATTGGTATGTGTGATTTTTATATAAATGTATTTAGTTCATTTTTTAATTAATGTAAAAATTATAGACAAAATATATAAAAGGTTTTATTTGTTTTCATTCCTTTACTAAATATTCATGCACTTCTACATAAACAGTTTAAATTTCATTAAAAAATTGATTAATGGTATTATACAATAATAATTTTTTAATAAAGACTTTAGAAAAGAGAAAAACAAATGAGTAAAAAAAAAAGTAGTTCGCAAAACTTTTTTCAACAATTTTTATAAATAAAAATATTGCCAATCAAAAGAGGTTTAATTCGTTACAAATAAAAAGCGAATTTTGTTGCTCCAATGATAAAGTACCATAAATTGTGCGCCATCATTACAGACGGATACAGAGAAGTAAAATCAAGAGTTGTAATGGGACAGTTGTAGTAGCCAGTCAGAGGTTCAATAACAGTGGCGCCCTTTCAGAAGAATAAATAGTTCTAGTAATTGCACCAATCATAAAGAGCAAAAAACAATTGAGAGCGAAAGTGTGGGGTTTCATCTAATAAATTTCAATAAAGTTTTCGCTATAAGAATTCTGTTTCAAACTTTATTAAAACTTCTGGTATATTATTTAAATTATATTTACTTCTTTTTAAAACTAACTTTGGCTCGATTTCATTATACTTAAAATTTACGTAAATAGTTATAATAAAAATATTTATTTTTAAGGTTGACATTTATAATTTATATTTAAAAATTATAAAATATATATTTGGTTTTATTTTTTTGGCATAAAAATATTGTTAATAATATTATAAAAATAAAATAATCATTAAAAAAATGAAAATGTACACCAGTCAAAAAACAATGAATATATTATAAAAAGTCAACTTCAAACTGCTCATCACTTCCATGAACGTTACAAGTTGGAATAATAAAGTCACCAGTAAGAGACTTCCGCATGAGTTGTGAAACAACCTCAAATAATATAAACAATTAATTTTTTTATATAAAAATTAAAATAAAATATAATTAATACATATTTATATTGATTTTAAAATATAATATAATAAAAATAATAATATATTAATACTAAAGTATAAAAAATATATTTTTTTTTTTAATAGAATTATAACTAATAATAACAAATAATAATTTATAAAGTAGAATAAAGAATAATAAATATTAAAAATACATATTAATAATAAATAAATAAAAATAAAATGGAAAATAGTAAAAATAAAAAAAACTGTAAATAATAGTAGATAACAATAAACAGATGAGTATACATAAAAAATATAAATAATAATTTAATGAGTAATAAATTAAGATTTATAGTAATAAAATATAATAATATTTATTCATAATGAATTAATAAATATTAAAGTATAAATATAAAAATATTAAAACAATTTTATTGTAAATATAAAAAGCGAAAAAAAATTATAAAAATTGAAACTACTAAAAAGTACTTTTATTTGCTGCCCGCGAGACAACAGAGAATCTAAAGGAACCCCCTTAAGGGTATATAAAGGCGCAAAGTATAGAACTTTTGACTATACGATTACAATAAAAAAAATCGTACAGTAACACGTGACATCTCAATATAATTGTACAAGCCCATTAACTGGTCCAGTAAACTGGCACGAAAGAATAATGAATCATTTATTTATTTATTTATTTATTATTAGAATTATTATTATAATATTATTCATCTCATTAACATTATTGTTATTGTTATTACTATTAATATTGTTGTAATCTTGTTATTGTTAATATTATAATTACCATTATTATTATCAGTTGTTTACTTTAAACCAAAAAAAATTAAAAAGATGATATAAAGGTTACCGCAACGGGAGATAAGCATCCTTCAAACAGTAAATCGCTAGTCGCCTTCGCGTCTAGAGAATATTAATAATATTATTTATTTTAACCTGCTTTTATTGAATTCATTATAAAACTGTTCATTAAAGTTTTAATATCTTATAAAATAATATTAATAATATTATCTTCATTACTTTTTTATTTTATTAAGTTATTAATAATTATAAATAATAAACTTTTACTATTAATATAATATCAATAATAACATTATTTTAGTTATTTTATTTTAAGTAATAATAATTATACAGTAAAGTTTCATTATTGATATAATAAATACTATAATAAAAGCTTCAATAAATATATATTTAATATTATTTATAATATTGTTTTTAAATTTTTTTGTTATAATAATTCTACATCAAAATTTTTTTATTTATAGATTTTAATATTAATAATATTTTTCATTTTTTTCCATTTTATTACTTTATTAATAAGTACGCAACAATCTTTCAATATTATATGTAATGAGCATCGATAAATAATTTTATAGTTTTGTTTCTTTTTCCTTTTATTACGTTTTATAATAATTATTATTAACAGTTACTTTTGTTACCTATTTTCCCTTTTATATCCTTTTCAATGTATTAGTTTACTTATATAATATACTTATAAAGTTGTTATTCATTAATATTAACATTCTTATAAATATTTATTAAATAAATTTTGCTCATCACTTAATAAAAAAATTTTATAAATAAATACTGTTGAATAACTTTATTATAAAACATTTTTTTTGTAATATTATTAGGATATTTTCATTACAATTATATTTATTTATAAATATTTTAACAAGCTAAATAAAATTATTATTTATATTTTCTTTATTTATTTATCCTTAATCGGTTTATAAATATATATATTACTAGTAACATTTATATTATTATTAATTTATATTTTACTGATTTATAAATTAATTAAAATTATTATAAACTTCCTATTGTAATTTTATTATTAATATAACTTATACTTTTTAACTTCATAAGAGAAAGAGTTATCATTTTTTACAAGAAATACTACTATTATGGTTCATTATTAATAGTTTTTCATATGTCCATACATACTTATTAGTATTAGTTTTTTTAATAGAATATTTATAACTACTATTATTTACAATTATTATTTACTATTGATTAATATTGAATAGATATTATAATATTTTTTTAAAAAGTCGTTTAGATACTTTCATTATAAAAAAGTTTTTTTTAGTTGTTTCTACAACTTTCTTATTTTTTCAAATAATTAAAGGCAGCCATCATTGCTTTATATTGTATATTTTTTATTCATTATTTTTTTTTAAAAATTGAAAATGAAATTTGTAGACTTCCTTTTTTATGATTTTTGTTATTTATTCAGAAACTTCACTAATATATAATTATAATTTTTATATTATTTTATATATTATTCCAATATTATTTCAATGTTTTAATTACTTTATTTTGTTTTTATTTCCATTTTCATTAATAATAATAATTTTACTATTATTATCGTTTATCAAGTTATCTGTAGTACTCATAAAAATCACTTTAAATAATAAAACTTATTTAATATTAATTTTACTTATTAATTATAATGTAACAACATTTTACTTTTTATTTGTCTAATAAATATTATACTAATCTATTAAAAATTTTATATAAAATTCTACTTTAATTAGAAATATTTATATCCATATATATATTGTACATCTTATTAATTTTAGAGTTCTTTTTCTTTATTATTCCTTTATTATAAAATATAACATAAAAAAAATTTTTTTTTTAATATTTCATGTTTTATTAATACTATAATATTTATTATTCTTTTATTTACTAAGTTTAAAGTTCCCTTAATATTTAATTAATCATGCAATACTTTTATTTTTTAAAGTTTCTTATTAATAATAACGACTTTAATATGAAACCCTTAAATATTCTGTTCCAGAAAATTATGATAACACTTATAATTATTTATATATTTTTTTTGTTATTCAAAAGTTTTCTTTTTATTAAATATATATTTTTGATAAATTTTTTTTTTCTTACAATACTTTTATATAAACTGATTTTCTTTATAGTTTACTTTAATTTTAATATTATTGAAACAAATATTTTTCTAGGTTTATTTTATTATTGAATTACTATAATAATTATAATTATTCTATTTAATTGTTTACATCAAATTCAAAGTTTTCTTTATAAAAATCTTTGAATAGCTTATTTAATTCAAATGGTACTTCTATAATATTTTTAATAAATTTATTTTCTCAATCTTTTCATTATTACTACATTTTTATAAATACACGAAAAAAAAATTATATATTTTTTATAATTATAATAATTTATAATTTTATTTCTTGCTTACCAGTTTCTTTAATAATTTATATTATTTTCATATTCTCATATTTATAATTAATTATTTGATAATATAAATATAAAAAGTTATTTATTTTAATATTTTATATATTTTTTAATAGCTTTCTCTACTGTTCGAAGTTTATTTTAAATGATTACTATTATATTTTAAAATATATTAATATATTTGTTATTATAACAAAATAATTATTTTATATTACTTTACAGTTTACTTAATAATTAATATTTTTAATTTTCTTTTGTAATTTTATAATATTATTTAAATATTTATTTTCAAAGTTTTTTTTTTAAATTTTTGTTAAATAATACCAATAAAAAAAATATTCATTTTATTTCATTTTTAATGTTTCCTAACATTTATATAAACTTTATTATTACAATAATACAATAACTTATTTTTTATAAATTTTTATTTATATAATAATATAAAATTTCTTATATATAAATTAATATTGCTCATACCTCGTCCGTGCCGTTCTGCAAAGTTGTTATAATAGAATGATGAACATCTTCCTTTTGTTCATTAAGAAAATGTGCAGAGACAGCGTTTAACGTATACGAAGATAACTTGTATTCACGCTATAAGAAATAATAATAGAAATAAATATACTAATAAATATTTAAGAACACAATGAAACTTTTTTTTGAAGCTAAAAAAATATTATTAAAATATATCAATAGAATAGAAATATTTTGAATTAATATTAATATATATTTTTCATTAAATTAATTTTTATAATATATATAATAATAGAATAGAAGTTTTTAAAATAGTGTAAAACATACAAATAATTGAAAAAATTTATTAAATACGTAAAAAAAAAGAAATAACAATAAATATTAATATATTAAAATAAGCAAAAAAGGTATATTAATGTATATTTATTTATCATTCTTTATAATAATAATAAACCAAATAATAATCAAGAAAAGCTAATTAAAATAAAAAAAAATTATATATTAAAAAATAGTTTCGGTAAAGGAATCTAATAACACTAAGTAAATAATAATAACATTTTAATAGAAAAGAGGGTCTTCAAACGATAAAAAAAATAAATTAATAACATATCACCTTTAAATATATATAGTACATAAAAAAAGGAATAAAGTAGTGTAAAATCTAACAAATATAAAAATATAAAAATAATTAGATGATGAGTAAAAGAAAAAATATAAAATAATATATATTAATTTATAATATTAAATAACTACAAATCCTTATAATAATAATATATATAATCACTAGTAAAAATATATGTAAACATTAATTTATTAAATATAAAAGTAATAAATATAAATTTAAAATAAAAAAATAAATATATATACAAAAATAAATGCAGTATTAAATAAATTATAATTGTAAAAAAGTAATGATAATTAATGTAAAATACATAAAAATTATATTATAAATAATCTAAAATTAACAAAAAAAAATATAAAATTAATTATCTAATAAAGATAAAAGTAACTAGAAAAAGCATAAAAATAAAGTAAACAAATAAATATAAATATTAAAATATAAAAATAACTGGTAAATATATAACCCATTAAGATGTGTCAGAATATAAAAATATAAATAAAAATATGATAACATATATAAATACACTAAAAATATTAGAAATAATAATATGAAATAATAATTATAGAACATATAAATAATAGAATATGAAATATTCGTATAAAGGCAACTAGTAAACCTGTAAAAACTGAAAAACATCGAAAGTAACTCTCCCGTCCACTCCGGTGGCTTTATTTTCACGTTTGCCATACGCCCGACTCGAAAATGTCGTTTCTTTTACAATACTTTCGAACCAAACAAATTAGTATTTGATAAAATACTCAATAGTAATAAGTAATAATTATGAGAAGTAAACAGAAATTATATAAATTGATAACATATGAATATATATATATATATAAAGTGAATAAAAAAAAATAAATATTAAGTAAAAATTTTACACAAAAATATATAATATTCAGTATCTATAAAGAATATATAAATCTGGTAAGTAAATAAAAGTTATATAAACTGAAAATATCTATATATATTTATTAAAAGATAAAATAATAATATTCTACTATAAATAAAAAATAATTATTTAACGTAAATAACAAATATGTGTATAATAAAACATTTAGAAAAAGATTAAGGATAATAATCAAAACTATAAAGAATACAATATAATAATAAGCGGATAGAAATATTAGGTTACTGCAAAATAAATAAGAATTAGAAAAATTTATAATATATAAATATTTATAAGAATATAAATAGTAATAAGTAACTATAAATTATGAGTAATTATTATAAGTAAACAAAAATTATAAATATATATATATTTATAAATTAAAAATAAATATTAATTATAAAAAATAAGTAATTGATTATAAACATATAAATTTGTATAAAAAAGATAAATTATAACAGTCATTACATAATAATGAATAATTATTATAATTTATAAATAATAAATAATAAATAAGTATTATGAGTAAATAAATATTTTATATATATTTAGAAAGTAATAAAAAATATAAAGAAAAGTAGTAACAAATTCAAGAAATTATGAAATCCAGTAAAAAAATAAAATAATAATAACTAATACATAATAAAGTTTAACAATAATAATAAGAAAGCAATAAATTATAAAAATTGTAAATAGTAATGTGATTATTTTAATGCTTTATAATATAAATGTTCATAATATATATAAAGAAAATAAAATAAAGATATAAATATAATAATAAATATAATAAGAATAATAATAAACCATTCAGAGTGCGTACGACCAAAATAAGGAAAATCATTGACACCTAAAACTTTTGCTCGCTCCACTAAAAACTAACAAAAAATAAATAATTATAAAAAATATTATTGTGATATATATTTTTCATTACTATATTTTATTAAGAAAGTAGTGAAGAAATATATAATGACTACTAAAGTTTTCATAGTAAATATTTTATAGTAATTAGTAAATATATTTGTATTAGAAAAAATAATATTACTCGCCTTGAGCACCAAAAAATAAAAATAATAAAAATATCCCTATAAAAATATATTACTCCTTTGCTATATCAACTAAATATAAATAAATATGAAACATATATATATAGTGTTATAAGAGATAGTAATAACTAAAAAAGAAATTTATTTTATAATTTTTACAGAAACTTTTACTCTTTAAGATAATAATTATAAATATAAAAATAAAACAGTTGATAACAAAACTATAAATATATAAAATAGTAAAACATAATAGAAATTAAAACTTATAATAAAAAATATTGCACATAAATAGTGAAGTACAAATAAAGGTAAAGTTTCTTATAATATGATATATAACAAATAATAAAATTTATAATAAATAATAATAAGTATATGAATTGAAACTTTCTTAAATATAATATCAGTATTATTATTTCTAAAACTATACTCATTTATTAAATGTATTAATATTACTATTAGTATTATTCATTACATTATTATTTATAATATAATTAATAAACCTGTACTATTTACTCATTTTTATATATACTTCAAATTATTAGTATTCATTTACAGCTTAGTATAACAGTAATAATAATAAAATATTTCCATAATAAATAAATAATATGAATTTTTTTAAAGTATAAGAAGTAATAATTATTATGAACGTCTCATAATAATGATAACTAATTAATAAAACACTACTCTTTTATATGATTAATAAAATAGGTAATATATAATAATAATGAGTAAGCATTAATTAATAAAACTTTTTATATTTATATAAAAATAATATAAAAATTAAAGTAAAAAAAGTATATCTATTATTTGTGTTAGAACATAAATTTTTCTTTCTTAAAGAATTATAAAATATACATTTTAAAAAAAAAGGGTATATATATACACTAAACTTCAACTCAAAAATATATAAAAATTTAATAAAAATGACAAACATCATTAAAAGCAACAAAATTGCTTCACACGAAGTAAACCTAAAATAATGATCAATATTAATTAATATAAAGAAAATATAAATTTATAACAAAACAATAATCATTAAATACACTGAAATAAATTAAAATTATAAGAATAATATACTAAGAAAAAAAAACTTTTCTATAAAACAAAAGATAATTATTATAAAACTTATTATTACTCTTTTTTAAGTTGTTGAAAAAATTAATATTTATAAATAATAAATAATAATTATAATGAAAAATAACAAATAATGACAAGGAAAAAAAAATTCATAATAAAATATTCAACTGGAAGGTCAAAGTTAGTAATATTATAGCCAGTAATAATATCTGGATCGCTTGCTAACACGAAGTCTTTCCACTTTCTTAACAATTCTTTTTCTTTTTCAAACTGAATAATCTTTTATAAAATAATATTAAATACTGTAAAATAGAAATAAAGAAAACAATATATTATTTCATTAAAAAAATGAAATAAAATATATAGAAGGATATAAAAAAATAAAACAGCAAAGTTGAGGTCAAAGTTTAGGGTTATATATACACCAATAAGCCACCTCACTACCAACAATATGGGCGCATGTCCCCAAAGTAAAGACGTTCCGAATAAACGGTTTTTTGGCACCTGATTATTTTATTAAACAAAAAAAAATTAAAAATATAAAAAATCTGAAAAATTATAAATATTTTTTTTGGCAAAAAAAGACAATAATTATAATGAATTTGAAAAACTTTAAAAACTAAAACATTTAGAAATAAATAAAGTAGTAAAGCTGTAGAGAAGATATATATATATATATATAAGAAGAATTGTAAAAAATTTAATATAATATAGAAACACGGGATTGATAAACTGACCCAAATTCATGACCATGTTAGCAATTTGAATCACCGGGTCCAATTTAGGTTCAGGAAAGTGTCCCTCGCGGCCAGCGCATTCGATATCAAAACTCAATATTCTCAGTGGCGATAATTTTAGCCAGCTTCCCTTAATTGGATGAAAGATATGTTTCAAAAAAATTTAGATTTATTAAAAGTTAATAACGATAATAAATATTACAACTGAAGAAATTTGAATAAAAAAAGTTAAGAAATAATAAAACTTAATATTGTTAATTATTATAAAAACGTTACTCTTTAAGAGCACATTATTATATAATACAATACTTAATAACACTACAAACAATAATAGTAATAAATAATAAGCAAAACAAATATATAATAAAATCTAAAAAAATAAGCAACTTCAGCAGGATAAGAAATAATTTTGTCATAAGCAACATTGACTAATATTTGCACGTGGTCAGGCTGCTTGGCTGTGGAGTTGACCACGCAAAACTGGCCTTTGGGAAGCTCAATCCTTATAACATACATAAAAATTAACAATAATAATATTAAAAGTCTAGTGCTATTTATATATTAAAGTATGAATAAAAATAATAATACTTATAAGTATTACAAAAAACCAAAAGGGAAAAAATAAATTTCTTAATTATTGTGAAAAGAAAATGTTTATATATTTATAAAGCTTTTTTTTAAAATATAAATAAAACCAATAAATATAAAACTAATAAAACTTAATTTAGTCTATTATTATAAATTTTTAATATAAATAAAGAAAAATAAAATCAATCACTAATTTATTTTAAATATAAAAGTTTATAAGATTATTTCAAAAGTGAATAAGAATTATATATAAGATTTTCGTTTAATCATACATAGAAAAGAATAATACTTAACAAATATTATGAATAATTTAATAAAAAGAAATAAATTTGATAATACTTTCAAAGAATCGGTTATAAAATTTTTTATGTAATAAATAAAAACTTTGCTGTAATATTTCATTTATTAATTGGACTTATAAGTAAAAGCAATAAAAATAAAACTATTAAAGCTTTACTTATTCTTTTGCTCTATATTAGAATAAAAAAAAATTCAATGTGAATACTACTTTATTTCAAATGTAAAAGTTTATTTACTCTACTGAAAGTTTCACGCGGTTATGCCCAACAAAAAATATATTAACATATAGACCCACCAATTGCAGCCAACAATATTAGCATCTACCATAAAGCGAATAACAAACTCGATATTGGCTTCGTACGGTTGTAATTTTAGAGTTCCTTTTAATAAATAAAAGTTGTTAAATGTATTTATTCTGAAATAAATAAAAATGTAGATTGTATATATAAAAATAATAATAAATACTAGTCTAAAAAAAAAAATTAGAAAAATTCATAAAATAATAATTAGTTCATTATTATATTGGCATTATCACTATATAATAATTTTAAAAAAAAAATTGAAATATTAAAAAAATTAACAAATACTTTTTTAAATAATTAAAAAGTAAACAAAATTTAACAAGTAATAATTAAAAAAAATTATAGTAAAATTTAAGACTTTCATTCAAAATATTAAAGGAAATACTTGAGCCGATAAGGTTTAAACTCAAAACCTCATGGGATACAATAAACAAACGGCTTTAAATAATTTATACCGTCGAGTACTTATTTATTTTACTGGCGTCAGCAAAATTAATGAAGAGTTTATACTGGAAGACATTTTTATTATAAAAATGTGCTTTAAGCCAATAAGTTACTACTTAAATAACCCAAAAATGAGCAAATAACAATATAATATACAAGTAAAAAAGCCTTCATAAAAATAATGAACTAAATATAATAAACATAAACATCAAAAAAAATTATGATTAAACAATACCAACAAAGTTGACTATATATAATAGATATTATTATTCGCCCAGCCAACCAGTAGTTGAAATTTATTACCACAAAAATAATGAACTAAAAAATTATTAGTTATGTTCCAGTTAATCATTATAATAACATATAAACAAAATAAACGTTAATCAACTGCCGATGAACCGTATTTTGGGCCCAAATGAATCCCACTTTCAATAATTCTGCGCAAAGTTGCTACCAGTTTAGGGACGGCCATGGTGACTCGTAAAAAGGGAGAAAGTTCTATTAATCAGCAAAATAAATATTTATAAATTTTACAAAAAGTTTTTCTTAAAGATAAGAAGCTTTATTACTTATTTTTTTATTTAATATAATTATAATTATTATTAACTATAGCTATTACTACATTTCTTTATTGTTAATACTATTTATTTATATTATATACTTATTCATAATAATTATTATATATCATCTTTAGTAACTATTACTATTATTACTTTTCATTGTTATTATGACTATTTATTATTAATATTATTATCATATTATTACTATGTCTATATTTATTCATTAAATATTATTATATACCGACTTTTACATAATAATTATTGTAATATTTTTTTTAATTTTTTTAAAACTTTAATAATTATTCCCTTCAGTATAGCCAAAGATACTCTTTTTATAACAAACTTCAACTTTTAAAACAGGCTCTTTATGTTTTGTGGAAGATTCTAATAACTTTTTATCATATTAGCATTATTTTAATATAATATTAAATTGAGTTATACTAAAAAAAGTAAAAAATATAAAATAAATAAAATATATCAATAATAACCAATGAAAACTAAAAAATAATTCAAAACTGGAAAAAAGTATAACAAAACACATGTGGTAACCCCAACTTTATAATTTTTCCCATTATAATCATTAAAAAATGACTTAAACATGAAAACTTTGTAAAAAAAAAAATTTAAATAATGACATTTTGTTGGGTCTGGCGACACGTAATGTGCCTTTATTTTCATTGCATTTATTGAAAAACTTTCCAACTTACAAACTTAGTATAGTGTCTCCATACATATAAGAAAGTCGCTCGATAACAAAAGTTTTGGTGCAATTAAAAAAAGGACTAAAACCATCACACAAACAAAATGAAACTGAGGTGCTTTCATTTTAGAAACATGCAAGCAATTGGTCAAGAGTTTGTGCTCCCACTGGTGGATGAGCCCATCTTACTAATTTAGCAGTCTTTCTCGCAACTTTTAAGCAAAATAGTTCTGATAAATTTATAGATGCCAGTCTGGAGGACTAATATATCAATGGAAAATCAATTAGTGCGAGAGGTGCTAAAGCTATTACTATGTATATACTTTTTATAATAAATAAATTTTTTAATAATTTTATAAACTCTAAAAAATAACTTATTATTTTACTATAAAATAACGAAACAGTCCCTTGTCCCAATTTTTTTGGATATTTTTTCTATAAAAAAATTTTTTTAAACGAAGTATATACAAATATAAATGTGACCAACTAGAAAAAATAGTAAACTTAAAAAAATGTATAAGCCCGTTCACTAATCTTTTCGATACCCGAAAAAGATTATTTGTGTATAATAAACGGTGATGATTAATAACGACCAATAAGATTTAAGTAGGGATAAATATAACTACAATGAAAAAGCCTAAGTAAATTAGCTACACGATTTTTGAGAAAAATTTTATAGAAAAAAGTTTGCATAGAACTCAACACGATGAGATATAAAAATATATATATATAAATCAAATTTATAATAGTAATAATTAATGAACTTAGAACTTAATACAATAAATTTAACGAAATAATATTCTAGTTTACACCGTTTTACTCCTAAAAAGTACTTCGCAAGGATTTTTAAAAAACTCCAGTATATATAAATAATAATTTTTAGTATATATACAAAGTCAACCAATAGGAATAATGATAAATACGTTAGTAAATGTTTTTTACCTTTTTTGGCCTAAAATATCGTAAAAATGCTATAATAAAAAAACTTTAATAATTAACTTTAAAGCTAGAAGCACAACAAACAATGAAAGTTATAATTAATTATTTAACGTTAACCAATAAGCATTAAAAAATCAGCAAATATAGTGACAAGTGCATATATGGATATAACTTTACGACACAACACCAATCATTAAAAAACAAAAGAATTATAATAAAATAAGACCTCACAAATTTTTGCGATAATTTTTATAAATGAAATAAATATATATAAAATTTCAGAACTGCAGAATTAAAATAAGCCCTGAAGTAATCACAATCTGCATAGTCGAAATGTTGGGGCGCCTGCACAAAAAAGTAAGGCAAAAATCCATGAACTTTGCAGAGAACGCTGTTCCCTTCAGCAGTAACGCCGTACAGTCTTTAAAAAAATTATGAAATTAGTGATGTTCTATCGACCGTAACCAAATTTACTTATAATTTTCTTATTTTGTTTTTAATAAAATATAAATAAATTAATTTTATGAAGTCTTTTCTTTAAATAAAGCATTTCATTAAAGAAATTAATAAAAAATGGTCAAATAATGAAATATGAAAAGTGATCATAATTAATACAAATAAAATGTAATGTTATCATGAATATATTAACAAAAAAATAAATAAATATTAGAAAAAAAGGGAGCATAATAAATACAAGAAAAATATAATAATAAATAATATTATAAAATATATTCAAACAGAATAGAAACAAATAATAATATAAAATAAGTAAAAAAGTTATTATAGGTTCATAATAATAATAATTTGGAAAAACTTATAAAACAAAGTATTAAATATAAAGTATATATTTAATAAACTAGTAAAAATATTAAAAATAAGTATAAAACAAATTATTTTAAGTTAATAATATAACGATATAGATAAAAAAATAAAATATTAAGTGAAAAATTAAATAAAAATAATGTATATATAAAATATAAAAATCAAATAATAATAAAACTAATAGCAAATAAAATTATAAATATATATTTGAATAGAATGTAAAACATATGAAAAAAGTAAGAAAACCTTATAACGGGGGCAGTACCGGTCTTTAACCCCGGCATGCCCGGCAAGACAGGCTCAAACGTGTAGTCTACGGCAGTCTGCATAAACAGCAACGAGTGGTCCTTATAATAACTCGCCTCTACCACTGGACGTCCCCAAATTTGCTTTTTATCTAATGAAAAGATAATTATAATTATAATTTTAAGTATAAAAGGCACATATATAATAATCATGCCCAACAAATAAAGTTTATGTTATATATAATTAGAAATACTATATTTCCGGTCTTGAAGCGGATTTTTGTAAAATTAAAGTTATTATAATAGTTGCAATTTAAACAATGAAATGCATATAATATAGTGTGCGAAAGAGAATAGTTGAAAATGTGTATTTTATGTTTTTTCCATAAACAAAATTATAGAAGTTAAAAAAAAAAGTTCTTATCAGATATTTTAATCTGTTATTAACTTTCCTAGATCAATAAATCCGTTACTCAAATCAGTGTATAAATAGTGTTATTTTATTTACTTATATTATATATAAATAAATAAATAATACTACTGAGTTCTGCTGAGTTATTTTCTTCCGCAAAGGTTTTTTTTGATCTTTTTTGCTTCTATTATGTTTGGTTCAACGGCGACGTATTCATTTTCCAGTTCCATGTTCTCCATCTCATCTGTAAAACTAACGCTCTTACTTTGCCCGTTTAAAAAAGGCTTTGAGCCTGGCCTTTTTAGATCAAGAACTGGAGGTGTCTGCATGCTGAAGAACATAATGTAATATTTTAAGAATTATTTGATTTATTTCACAAGTTATTTTCTAAAGCAACCTTATTGCGTATATGCGCTTTAGAGACAATAGCAATTATAGTTTAAGCTCTTATATAACTAAAATTTAAATCAAAAAATTTTAGTAGTTTTATTAATACCCTTAAGTGAAAAACGCAAATCCAAATAATTTATAGGGCAAATGTAATGTTGGTTAACACGAGATAAGGGGATCCCCACAAGTTTTTCCGCGCCTGCCTAAATTACTTTACCGCCAATCAGCACAGTTGTGGAAGCGTTAAACTATTTCCTTTCATTTATTTTGCAATAAATGTTAGCTTCAATGCATCAAAAATTCCCCTTTTTATTAATACCAACAGAAGGTAAGTTCTCTAAGGAAAAAATTTACTCTATCCCTTAAAAAAAAATCTCTCCATCACTGTCCAACCTTCGCAAACAATAATTTTTTTATTTTAGAAAAGACTGTAATTACAACTTTATTTCTACCTAATAAAATGCATTTTAATATTTTGTTCTTCTAACCCTACTACCTCACATTTACTTACGTAGAGTAAAGTAAAGTAAAGTAGGGTAATATTAAAGTTTGCAAACAACTTGTTTAAATAATACGCAGAACTTACTAAAAGCTTCATTGGGTTATTTAAGAACTTCAAACGTAGAACTCGCACTTCCCCTATTTATGCCTCTGCCTACAAAATAGTTACTTGTTTTAAAAAAAGTTTTTAGCTTGCCACTGCGGGGGCTAACAAATTTTTATTAGGAAAAGATTAGCATGGTAGGTGACACGTAAACCTCAGGCACATCTAAGATAGCTTTTCGTCACTAAATGAAGACTAATAAAAAAAAATTATGTATTTTTTTTTACTGTTAGTCAAGATCCCTACTTGCATAGTCTCTCGAGTTGACTTTAGAGCTTATAACAACAAAATCGGTATAAAGAGAGGTAGCAAGCTTATTGAATTACACTGCAACCACGCACACACGAAGACCATAAAGATTGAACGTGCAGTTCGTTCGTATACGTAACTAAATATAGTAACGTGCGTATGCTATAATTTTCACGTGCGCCCTTGTTGGCACGCGGTAAAAAAAAGTTAAGGCAACGTACAGAGTAAAGAGCCTAAGATCTTTCAAGAACAGCTCATAGCTAGCACGCCATTAAGATAAAGAAAATCTTAACCTTTTTTTTTTAATTTATTTCTTCATGCTGTCTTCTTGCTATTTGTTTGTGGCCTGCAACTCAATATATTTTACTACACTCACTATTAATATATTGCTCGCTCCCATCATTCTTATTAATATATTCTCTTTTTCTTTGTTATTTGCGTAAATATGTGATAGCGCATTTTTATCATTAATTTTGTTTTGACTCTTATCCAAAAATTATCATTATTATGGCCTGGAGTCTAAACTAAACTCTGCAAACTAAAATATTATCAAACTCAATTAAAAAAAAACTGCCGCTGTATATAACATTTGTATAACGATAGAAAAAATAACGCTGTAAAAGTCTTTACCGAAAACTATTTGTTGGTGGACACCTATTGTTTGAAATTAGTTCTTTCAGCGCGGATCTTTAATTTAATTAATTGAAGATAACCAATATTATTTTTCTAGTTTTTAAATTAATTGCGTTATTATGTATAGTATATATATATATAATAAAACATATGTGGCTTATCCATTTTCCTACACCCTTTCTTATTTTTTTTTGGTGTTTACACGTCTGTATTGCTGCGGTTTAACGTAGGTTTAGATGATTTTAAAGGTAATAGTTTTAAACTAGAGGGCTAGAACAGAACTAAACGTATAGAGGGCGTTTTAAAAGGAGTTGGTAAATAACTTAGTAGCCTTGAGAACTCACCAAGTAAACACTAATTTAACTGCTTTTATTAGATATATTAAAGAGATTAAGAAAACTTTACCTAAACAGTTTGCTGCAGCAACTGGTGTTTTAGGGAGCGCGTTGTGTCGTCTGAATTCCAAAGAGAATTTAGACACAATTACTTCAGGACAGAAAGATATGCGCCTCGTTGAATGGATAACTCGTGGCTTTGGTTTTTAAACGCCTCGATGGCCTGATTTTTAGACATCGAGAAGACCTCTGAACGCGTTTTGCTCAGGTTGCGTACCTATGTCTAATAGGGCCTTTACAAATTCCTTAAATCGTTCTAATTCGATTAGGTCTTTTGCGTTTCATTCACACCACGTGGAAGTTTCATAAAGTTCTGCTGTTTATGCTGCGGCGAACTCAACCCTTGAAAAATAATACGCACATCGTACAGCATCTGCAACGATACCTAGAAAAATATAATCGTCGAATAAAAATAATAATTCTCCACGTCAACTAATGCCGACAGCGAGGCGCAATATTAACGTAAATAGCAAAGAGCTTTATATGAGTGCACGGCCGCCACTTCCTTCTATCGAGTAGCATCCTTAGGGAACTTAAGGACGTCATCAACAACAAACAGTTGTGGGCACGCTAAAAAACTATTATATTTGATGGCATACGGTCCTAATGGAGCACTCTTCCCGTTTGATACATCGACAATTGCGGTATTGCTGCATTTCCAACAAGGAAAACTATGCAACTGCTGACGGGCGCACACGACACTCTTCACGACGGTCTTAAAATTTTAAAAGTTAGGCATTTAGAACGCAGCCATCGCGCAGCTTACAAACATGTAGGAACGCATCTAGACCTCTCATAATCCCAGGAGCTTCTAACATGTCCTAAGTTGGTTTTATCACTGTCTCCTCGTGTGCTTAATGTTAATTTTTTTATTCTTTTTTAGGTCAGCTAAATGCATTTTAGTTAAAAAAAGAGTTCTAATAAAAAGTAGAGTCAACCCGTTTTATTATCAAGAGGGTACGTAAGAAGAACATATAAAATATTAAAACAGCATACTTATTCGAGAAATAAGTTCTGTCGAGCATAATGCAAAGTATTTATTGGAATATTCCGATTTTACCCTTCTCATATATTAAACTTTATGCATTACAGCTCAATGTAAGAACTACGCAAAGTGGCGGTTTAATTTAACTAAAATAATAATAAAATAAGTGTTATTGATATCTTTTCTAAGATTCGTGTTGCAGTGCTGTGTTAATAGTTAAGCGGTCCACACAAAGAATTTCAGGCGTTAATAAATATAAAGAAAGCGAAAACTAGTATAACTAGAAGGAATAATATATATATGTAGGTATATAAAAATAAGAGAGAAGTAATATTAAAAGAAAACAAAAAAAACAGAGAAACAACTTAATAAGAATAACCGATGTCCTTTGTTTATTTAGTTTAGTTCAATATATTATATAATCAGAAATATCTAAAATAACTGTAAATTACATTAAAATGAATATTATACATAAATAATTGTATCAATAAAAAATATGCAAAGAATTACAATTACTTGACGTAAAAATATTGCTACAAACTATTCTAAGATTAATTATGCAAGTGAGGCTTACTATAAAAACTAATAAGGGCCACGGCGATTTAGCATATTAGAAGATATAGCAACAGCGTTCTTACTTACTTTTTAGATTAACGGGCTACAAACTTTATAACTAAAAGATGTTACTTTTAACCAAGCTGCAAGTTTTTAATCGTATACGTAACAATACTTTTAACTTTTTTAAAACTTCTGTACTTCATACAATAGAAAAGAATGTTTAATAAAGATTTTTAAATAAGACTTAGTTGACGTGCGTCTTTGTGAAAACCTTCTTTCTTAAGTTCACGTCCATTTAATTATAGAGTGCCTTTAAACTACTGCGACCTATAAGACACTATTTTTCTCCGCTCCGAGCTTAGCTACGTTTTATACTAAATATATTATCCCTCATAAGTTTTAAATAATTATATACGCTTTATTTTATAAACAGATTAACATAACATTGTTTTAAAATTACACCTTTTAAAAGCTCTCAGGTTGCATTTTGCGTTCAGTCGTTTTTTTAAGGTCGGTCTAAACCTACTTTTAGACGAAGGAAAATATCTGCAGAACTTTTCTATTGGTTAATCTTACAAGTCCGATAAAGGTTTTGAAATTCTATCAACTATAATTGCGCATAAGTTAAGAATGATTTTAATATTGTTTTAAGTTCCTTTAAATTTAGTTATTATACCGTCATCTTTTTTCTTATCCTCTATAAAGATAAAATTACCAAAGGATTTTAAAAAAACTAAGGCATTACATAAATAACTTTCTCGGGAAATTATAATTCTTATATGAAATCCATATAAATAAACTTATATTAATACTCTACTTTGATATATAAATATACACAAAACTTTGTTAAACTTAACTTATAAGAACACCCACTTAAAATTGGTAATAAGCAAAAGTCAACTTTACCTGCTTTGTTTGATTTTAAAAAAATTAATATAAAAGATTCTAAAATATTAAATAGAAATAAATTTTGTTATAAAACATAATAGATATTAATACATGTACTATACTTTGTTAAAAAAATATTTACATTAAAAAAGTTCTCATTTTTTTGGATTCAACCAATAATCTTTTTAGATTTTTTTCGTGAATCTTCCTTTTTTAACTATCTAGAAACTTTACGGTTTTCGTAGATTTAGCCGAAATGTTGTTGTTAAAAAATTATAAAAACACGTTACAGTGATTTACTCGACTCTAATCAATTTCAGTATAAATAAAAGTAACAAGTAGCAATTTTTAACCTACTTTCTCCAAATAAAAAATTTTGATAGCTGTTTAGCTTTACTTTTTTTTTCTTATCTACTTATAGCTAAAGGGCCGCTTGAGCTTTTAAAAAAAAAATAATTTCGTAGCAGTAACTTTATTATATCTTTTAATTACAAAAGCTCAACCTAAAAAATTGTAATTTTATTTTAAAATGCTTTTTACCTACCAGTTATAAATTTTGGTTATAATCAGTTTTCATTTTTTGTCAAGCGTTTAATTTTTAATTTTATTTTAATGCGATCAGAATCGAGACGAGTATAATTAAACCAACGAGAATTAATATACAAATCCACTGACGAGATTTTCGTTGATATTCATGAGCCTTAAAATATATAGAATAACTTAAACATTAGCAACAGAATTTAATTAAAAAAGTAAATAAATTAAAAATTAATTATAATAAATTTAAGATTTTATATATTACAAAAACATTTTTACGAATACTTTTTATACACTGCAAAAAAGTTTAAAAAGTCTAAAGACAAAAGTTTACAAATATATTGATTGCAACTTATAAAGTTAAAAAAAAAAATTAAAGTAAATTATAATTCTTAGCAAACTTAAATAATAAACTTATTTTAAAAATATAAAAAGCTTCTAAAATGTGTTAATAAAAATTCTGAAATTAAATCAAAAAATAGAACTTTTTTATCCATATTATTATAAGAGCTGTTATTATTATAATATATTGTATCGATATATATATATAAATGGATAAATATTATTTTTCGGATTTTTTTCAAAAAGTAAAACTTTAATTCAATTTGGTTATGCAGTTGATTTTTTAGAGAATGTCCCATACTACTTTAATTATATTAGAGATTTTCATATGAATATAACTTATTATAACTTTTTAGATAAATTTTTTTGAGCTTTTTATTTTTTTCTATATATACTTTATTATTTTTACTTTTGTGAGTTGTTCCTTTCCAGACACAATTTGAAGATGGACTTGTTCAAGATTGTAATCAATTCTATCAATAATAGTTCCCTTTAAAATAAGTGAAAAATATAATAATTAAATTATATTAAAGTTAAGAACTTCATATAATCTAAAACTACTTTTCTTATTTTAAAAAAAAAGGAAATGAATTTTTTTATAAAAAATAACGTTTAATTAAAAAATTTAAAGAAAAAATATTAAAAAAATTGTAATTAAAAAACTTCATATATATAAAAATAATTTCTTGCCATTCTTATTATTGTTTGTTTTTTTTTTATGATAAAATTAAACTAAAAGCGACTTCCTAACTTATTATCGAATAAAGTAATAGTAAACTGGTCAAAAAAATTATTTGCAGAGAATATACTGAATTTCGCTATTTGGTAGCGGAATGAAATTGGTATTAAAAATGTATAAAGGACCAAATTTGTTGTAAAAAATATATATGAGTCCCCGTCTAAAAAATATTTCAAAAAACTTAAAAAAAATGCTGAATATAAATATGAAGACAAAAAAAACAGAGTAGCAAAACAACTTATACTGTGCCATAATTGGCTACCAATTATTCTGGTTGGTGCAAAGAAAAAGAAAAGAGTATAATAATACTATTCAGGCAGGAATTAATATGAATATCCAAATTTATTATATTTTGTAAATGCGTTTGCAGGTTTTTGGGGAGGAAGAAGTTTATCGGCGTCAGATAAAGCTCGAAAGCATCAGAATGTGTAAAATAGGTGATAAATAGTGTAGCAAAAAAATGTATATAAATATTCAAAATAAAGAAATTTACAGTCGCAAAGTGTGGCATAAAAAAAAAGGACAAATCAGCGACAAATAAAGTGCCGAATTAATAAATGAAATTAGGTAACTGTAACAATTCGTGTAAAAGGTAGATAAGTAGGACAAGTTTGAATACTATATAAAAAAGTACGCACCGTTATAATAATTAAAGAACTTTATTATGGAAAAACTAAGAAAATTTTAAATAAAAAATAAATGTTATAAATGTTTTTTTTCGATATACAAATAAATAAGAAAAACCAAAAGCAAACATATTTTAATGCAAAAGTTAATAAAACGAAATATTAAAACAACAATAAATAATTTATAATACAATATTAATCAAGTAATTGTTTCACATATGAAATGTTCACTCAATAATGATTTATATTTTATTATAATATATATTTAATGAGAAACAGCTAAGTTTTAAGACTACAGTTGAACTTTTTTAAAAACCCTCACAAGGGTACAATAACCCACTTGCATCACTTGTTTTTTGAATCACCTTGTAAATAGCGCTAAGCAGCTATGCAGCCTTAAAAAATATTTTTTTACTTGAGTCAATACTAAAACTTGGTCGTGTACAACTTTTATAATAATGCAACTAATAAAGTTCGTTATTATATTATTTAGTAATTTTTATAATAATATTCGTATTAAAATTAATTACTACAAAAAAACTTTATAAAAAATCGATATAGACTAAATAATACTAGCAGTAAAAAAGTTTTTCTTATATTGAACCCTAAAGAGGCGATGCTACTAATACAAAAACGTAAAAAGAGTTAAGAAGTATATAAGAGCATTGCGCCTTCTGACATCCTTTTTTTATAGGCAAGATGAGAGTTACATAAAAACATGTGCTAAAGTTAGCATGCTATTATTATGTTTATCAATAAAATTCTTTGTATAAATCGGTTTCTTTTGTACTGGAGAGAGAAGAGAAATTGTTCTTATGGCATCAACTATCACAATTACACCGAAAAAGAACTATTAAGCATACACTAACCATTTCTTAGATATAAACGATACTGCATATATAAAAGTTAATAGCAAAAAGTCCAGAGTATATAGTTGGCGTCTTTATATTTTATGGTAATCAATGAAAGTTAGTTATACTATATAAAAGATTTTTGATGAAGAAAAAAAAGCGGTTAAGGAGGGCAGTCATCATCAAGAAAAACTGCGAAGTTGTGGATACACGTGTTTAGAAAAAACTCAAATATGAATAACATAATAGACAATTCATAAAAAAATTTATGCCTCAAAACCACATTTCTTATTCACAAATAATGTAGCGTTTATCAAATTCAGATCATAAAAAATAAACTTTCCTAGCGTTACAGAAAATAATACGAGGGAAGTAAGAAACTAACTAGTAGTGCAGTAAGGATTCTTAGTACTACCCAAAAACCACTACAACATTCCACGAATGGAGTATACTATGTACACGAGGTTTCCATTGTAAAAGGCTGATTAAAAAAAATTAACCTCGCGAGGGCTTACAAATTAGAAATGTTCATTAAAAAAATATAATTTATTAGCTTCATAAAAAAATTGCGCTAAAAAACTAAATTATAAATAATAGTAATAATAATGATAATAAATAGTAAACCTGGCTGATTATCATATTTGAAAGATCGTTAAAAATTTCTCCTAAACTTTTTATTGATGCCGCAATTTTAGCGATTTCTATAATAAAAGTGTAAATGAATAAAATATAATAGTATTCATATTACAGTTTTCTTCTAAAAAATTTAAACTTTTACTTCAATAAATATAAAAAAGAAATGATATTGATTTCTAATAAAATTATTAGTATACTAAATTTTTAAATTAATAAACTTTATTAGTAGAGTATATTAAAAATTATATTTTATAGTAATAATAATATTAAAAATAATTATAATAAAAAGATGAAAATATTATACGTTTATTTAACGAAGTGTCCAGCACTCTGCCAATACTTTTGTTAAGTGTAATACATAGAAACAAATTTATTATGTTACTCGAGACAAAACTAGCAAAGTAAATTAAATATTTAAAGTTTTAAAAAATGGTTAGCAAAATATTTTACTAAACTTAAAATATTAACAAATTTTTAGATTATATATATATATTAATATATAGAAAAAAGCATTACAACGGAACAAAAAAATTGTACTAATAAAAGTTAAAACAAATATTCATGTAAAAGAAAGTTTCATTTACTTAAAAAAAATAAAATACTATAATCAAAATATTACAATTATTATAATAGTAATATAGTAGAAGCAGATTTATAAAGTTATAATAATAAAAATGAATAATAACATCTACTTAATTAGTTTATATTTATAAATATATCTTCACTATTTACAAAGAGCAAAATAAAATAGATATTTATTAAGTTTACATGCAATGAAAATATTGTTTAAAAAAAGTTTATTTTTTTATAGCATTAATAAATAGTGTAACATCATTAATACATTGAGCATTATTGATATAAAAATAGAGAAAAAAGATTTAACTTTTAATAAAGATAATACCTTTGCATTACTATTTCTATACTGAAAATTATATATTTATTATAACTATTTATAAAAACTGCTCTAAACTCATTATTATAATATTTTTTTTATTAGTTTTAATTATACCATAATTTCAACAAAAGTTTAACTGCTTTTCCTACAAAAAGTTTAAAAACAATAACAGTTTCTTTAACTTTTTTTTTTTATATTTTAAATATTTATAAATATCAAAGTTTGCTTTTTTTTTGTAAAGCAAAGTAAAATAATACATTTTGCAAAAAACTATGTAATATATATAAATATTAGAGTTTTTAATAAAACATAATATTAAAAAATATGTAAATAATAATATAAAACAATATAAGTTTTATTTTCTATTTAAGAATATATATTTTTATAACAAAAATGAAAAAAAATTCTTCCATGAAGTAAATATATAATAAATAAAGCAAAGTAATATTTTGGTTTTCAATTTATAAAATATACATATTATATAAAAAATTGTACAAGTAATGTTTTATATAACAAAATAACATAAAAAAGTAAATTTTTTATACAAACTTGACCATTTTTCACTTGAAATTTTTTTGGTATAAAGAAAATAGGGGATATATATATTATAATAATTGTTATTTTTTATATAACAATAAATATATATTTACTTTTATTGAAATAAATACTTTAGAAAGTTATGAAGAAATATTTATATACAAAAAGAAATAAAGAAAGTGGATGTTATCAACAGACTTTAAAACCTCGATCGCGTAATAAAATATGATCTTTATTATGCTGGATTTCCAGAAGTTGAGCTTCAGAAAACTCCTATTTTATTGGTGATTCATCAAACCAATGACTTTTTATTGACCGTTTTTTTCAGTTTCTTTCTTTATTGGTTTTGTTTATAAAACTTTAATAAAAAAAACCTTCTCCTGTGGAAGATCAATAACTGATTCATTGGAAGTAAAAAAATCATCAGTAAAGTAAAACCGTTTCTTTTCTTCCCTCCCTCGGATCTCTTTTTAGAATTATTATTATAATTATTATGATTATTACTAACATTATCATTATTTATTATTATTATTATATAATAAAAATGACTTGCGTTTCAAGTAAGAAGACTGAGTATTACGGAACGAATATGAAATCTGCTGAAGTTCATAAGCCTAAAAAAAATAAAATTAACTTTTTTTACCAGTAGTTATGAAGAGATTGCTACTATTTATAAAGAAAATGTTCAAAAGTCAAAAAAATTACACTACATTTTATGAAAATTAAAAACTTTTCGCTAAAATATTTTTATAAAATAATAATGACAATGAAAACTTAGTAAAACTTTATATAAAAAATACTAACACTTAAAAATTATATTATAAATAATTCATTAAATATAGTGAACAGCGGGACTACAATAAAGTTTTCATTAAAAAAATTTATAAAATTATTCTTTAAAAAGGAAAAAAGCATTAAAAAATATTTAAAATAAAAAAGGAATAATGAGCAACAAATGCGACCTTATTATTACGAAAATACACAGAAAATAAGATAGTCATTATAATTTTAAAAAATAATAACAGAAGTGATAATATTTATTTACTTATACGATATAAAAAAAAATTATAAATATTATGATAATAATAAACAGTTACTTCAGAAAATAGATATATAATATTAATAATCATATATTCAAAATATATATAATATTAAACAATTAAAAAAAAAAACATTAAACCTTGGTAATAAATATATAATAATTCTATAATAATAATAATCATCCGTATGAAAAAAATCCAAACAAAAATGAATAACAACATTATAATAAAATAATAAATATCTGCTAATAACAATATATAGGTACTTCAAGAGTATACAAAAAAAACCAATACATATATAATAATACATTTATAAAAAAAATAAGAAAGTTATAATAATAATAATAATAAACATTTACTTTAAAAAAAAACAAAGGAAAACAAAATAATAATTGAACAATCCTATAAATAATAGTAAGTTGGTACCAAAGAAAGCATCACGTTCTTGCAAATTTCCGCTTCTTGTACAGAACTGGTCTTTTTAGAATAACCTTCGATTTCTTTTATTTTCTTTTGCGTTCTTTGAATCAACTAGAAAAATTAAAAAAGTGTTTAAAACGAATAAAATACTAATAAACTTAAAAAAAATAAATTAGTAATATAAATTGTTAGTTTTATAAAAAAATATTATTTTTTTGGCATATAAATAATTATAATATTAAAAAAGATATTCATTTGGCTCTTTTAGTAAAAAAACCAAAAATTAACTGCATAAAAGTTATACGATAAATAATAATTTCAAGTAAATACCCTTTTTCAATATATAAAATTTTAAATAATAAAAAAAGTAGAATTAATTTAAATTTATCACTTATTTTTTTTAAAGTTGCTCTATGAAAAAAGTATTTAATTGGTAAAACTAACAATAAATTAAGTCTTACTTACTTATAGAAAGTTTTATACTGTAAAAAACTTGAAACATGAAAAGCTTTACAAATAAAAGAAAATAAAATTTAAAAGCATGTTTTAGTAAAAGTAGTATCAAGTTTTTATTTTCTCTTGATATAGTAATAAAATAAAATATGTTTTATATTATTATAAAAATTCTTGATATAGTAATAAAATAAAATATGTTTTATATTATTTTAAAAATAAAAGATTCATACAAGGTCTTACTTGAATTTTTTTAATGCAAGAGTTAATTGAAAAAATAATTTATAAAAAGTTAATTGCTAGTTTAAAGAATATTATGCAAATATAACTTTTTTAATTAAGTAAAATATATAAAAACTTTTATACCTTGAAAAATAAATTTATTATTTTACATAAGAAACAACTTTTTGTAGTGATATATATATAAATTTAATAATAAAATATTTATTAGTTAAACATAATAATATATAATAAAAAAATAATAAATAAGCTTTATCAACTTTTTTTAGTTGCAATTAAAATTTTTTACTTTTATATTAAATTAAGTAAATTTCTTTTATGTTAGTTCTTAGGAAAATTCAAATTTTCTACAAGTTATACAAGAAATTTCAGTTTAAAAAGATTTTAAAAAAATTTCAACTTCTAGTTCCTTTTTCTTTTGCAAAAAAAACTGTTAACTATTAAAAGTCAAGCGTCTTTTTAAATAATAGATTGGTGGTATTATTGTATAATTACTTAAAAATACAGTTATAAAAAAGTTATACTTCAATAATTACAAAAGTTAGGCTGCCGGTGAGGTTTAAATTCTATTAAATCCTACTAAATCCTCGCCTGGTGTATACAGTATTTGTTCTAGATGTAATTGATTGTATGTACGGTATCGGCACTGCATAAATAGTGTTCGTAGCTAGCAGTATTGGAATGAGCGCAACGAGCTAAATCAATATATAATCTTTTTAAAGTAAAATTCGATTCTAAAAAATGTATAATTACTTTATTTTTTAGTATAAAACATTATTAAACTTCAAAATAATAAATTACAACTATAAGTTGAGCGTACTTAATTTTATTTCTTATTAAAAAATTAAGGAGATTTAAACATGTATTATATAAACAACCATAAAATTAACTGAAACTATTAGAAAAAATATTTTACTATTAAATTAATTAAAAAAAAGAAAAACTTTTAAAATTTTAAAAAAAGAAACATTTCACGCATAAAAACTTTAAAAAGTCAAAACCATCATATAAATCCCTTTTATATAAATACAATATTAAAAAAAATTGTATATTAACTTAGATTGAGCATATAAAATTTTTTTTATAAATTATAGAAATAACAAAAATTCTTTTTTAACTAAAAGTTGTAAATTTAAATATTAAATATTATACTTTAGTTTTTTTATTTATAAAAATTTATTTCTAAAAGCATAATCAGAAAAATACTGATAAAAGTATACAATAACTTTCATAATACATCAAAAAAAAAGTCATAATTCTTAAACTTAAGAGCTTGGGGGGGGGGAAGTATTAAAAAAAAAAAAGTAGCAAATTAATAGACTTTAGTTATTTCTTGAGTTTTTTGTTCGATTATAGATTCCTCTTCAGAAGTTTCATCCAACGTTGGCCGGTTCAAATGCTTATCATGAAGATGAAGAAGATCTTTTACTTGTGTTTTAAAAAAAATTTAGTTATTTTAATTTTTATGAGTTTATAATTTAATAAGTTTAAATGGTTAAAAAAGATTAAAAATTATAATGCCATAATTTTTTAATAAAATTTTTTATCACTGAGTCAATAAATAAGTATAAACTTTTAAAAAAGGAATAAAATAAAAATTAAAATTTATAAAAAATGAATTGTTAAAAAGATTTATTTTAATTTCGAAATAATAATCTAATAGAAATTAATAAATAAAGGTACCCCTCTGTTTTATTCCTTTAATTTCATACTTGATCTTTTTAAATAAAAAAATTTACTAAATTATTCAAATTTGTATACAATAAATATTAAATCAATAGTTATCGTAATAAACAAATATGCAATATTGGAAAAAGGTTAATTAAGTTGTAAAAGTCCTTTCCCAAAGTAAAAAGTGCATACATAATAATATGACAAGCACATAAAAAATCCAATATCAGGCTAATAAATATTATTAGTTTAAAGTTATAGTAGAAGTCGAGAGAAGGGCATACAAAAAGGTATAAAGAAATTGAAGTGCAGAAAATTTAGTTATAATAATAATAACGGAAGCCTTTAAAAACAAGAATACTATACAAATATATAAGTTAATAGAATCAATAAAATAAGTTATAATAGTAAAAAGTTTGAAGTTTAAACTTTTTTTTTGAGGATAACTTTTTTTATGAAAAAAATAAATTACTTCTTCCAAAGCATCAACATACTCAGGAGGTAAAGCCACCTCTGCCTCCGAAACCGAAAACTCATTTTCTTACATGTATTCATAAAATTATAGTAAAAAGTTAAAAATATTAACTTTAATATAGTTAATAAAAGCTTAACCACAACAAAGTAATATAGAGAAAATTCATAAGTCGTATTTATGGCTTACCGTAATCATTGAAAAATTATGGAAATTAAAATTTATTTAGTATAAACGCAAGTACTAATTTGTGCTGGGTGCTCCACAAAAAATTATTAATACAACAAAAACTTCAACATTTAGTTTTAAACAAGTCGTTAACTGCTTTATAAAAATAGATGTTAAGATAAACATTACTACGAACCAAGCTCACTAATGAAGGTTGTCAAACATTGGGTTTAATAAGATTAGAGGTATAATATACAAGTGATTAAAGGCTATAGTTAGATGACCTTTACATTATTGTATCACTATGCTTTAGCAAAAATTTCTGATAAAATACCTTCAATAAGCCTCTGCTTACTCACGTCGGTCGAGTTTGTTTGAGCAAACCTTTGACGTCTTATATAAGAAGTAATTTAAAAAACTTGATCTTTTAACATTACACTTTGTGAGTAAAGCTTATATGGCGATTTCTACGAATAAAAATATTGTCTAACCTTCTAATAGCAGATTCTCTATACTGTAGAAACTGAGTAAACTTGAATCTAGTTGCCATTAACTTGTAGAAAGGTAATAAAAGCTAGTTAGATCGCTTATTTACAGTCGTAAGAATAGATTAGTTTTTTAGTAAGTTATCTATATATATTTAGTTCTTCACGAAAATCATTCAAAACGGCCAGAGTGAGGCTCCCTCCAAATATACACAAAAAGTTTGTGACCTCGAATTTCAGTTTGTGGAACAGATGCGTAAAGGCAATCGAACTAACTACAGTAACGCTTATTGATTATGTAGTGTTCACGCAGACAATATTTATTATCCACTTCTAACGCTGTTTACTTTTTTTGTCATTATCCCTTAAAATCTGCAACTCTTGCATTTGCTTTATACAATATAACTTCCTTCGCTTTTCAACAATTCTTTTCTTAAACTGTCAGAAGTTGTTTTGTAAATTGTTTAATCTTTTATTAGCTGCAAATAGAAATCTATGTACCCTTTATACTGTAAAACAAACTTATCTTTTTAATTATTATACGGCTTTTATAACTAATTTAGAGGTCTATTAAAGGGTTTAGTAGTTTCTGCTTTTTCTAAGTTGTAATAACCTAACGATCATCCCATGTTTGTTATGACGATAACAGATTTATAGAAAACATCTGCCTTATTAATGAATGTATAGATATACATAAAACCTGATTCTACTTATATAAAATTAAATTAAAAAAAATATAAAAATAAATAATAGCAATTAAACAAAAACTTTTAAAAAGCTTGAGCTTTTATTAGTCTCCCAAACTTTAAAATAAGTGAAAAAAATTACTTATAAATTTAATTTGAAGTTTGAAAATAAATAATAAATTATCCTATTTACTTCTCTGTAAACTACTATATATTTCAAATAAAATTAGAAGTACAAAAAAAAATTTACTCAAATAAATTAATAAATGAAAAATATAATAAAAAATAAATACTATTTTTAAAACACTAAAATTGTTTTAAAAACAATTTTACAAAGAGTATAAGTATAGTTTTTTATCATAATACATTAATGACACTCAAAATTAATTTTTAATTGTTAATCTTACATTTCTCGAGCTGCTCGACAAATGTCGACAAGAACAACAACAATTAAAAAATAAAAAAAGAGTTCGACTCTCAAGACTTCCCTTTAATGTTTAATTAGGGTTGTGCCCTTATACGATCAACCTTCAACTACATATAACAGTGAAAAACAAATTTTGCCTACCACCAATGGAAAGGGTTTAATTAAAGCTCACAAAGATTATGCCGGTATGGGCATTATCCTTTCCTGCACAGTTGAACTTGTTGCTGCGCTACTTCTCTTTTCCTCAACAAATTTACTTTAGAGGTTATATTAAGAGCTAAGATTCACTAAGATTTTTTTATTATTATTATTTATATATGGGTAACAAACGCCCCTTACAAAGATCTACCGTTTCATTTCTTAAACCTTAACTTATGGGGTGTCTCAAGCAATCGCTATATTGAACTACTTTTTTAGTTTAAACTCTCGCAAATAAGCAGGTCTGCTCTTCTTTCAAAATAGTTCTTAATTGCAAGTAGTATTTTTAAAAAAAATTTTAGTCATTGTTTTTAAGAGCAACACCTTAGGGTTCTTCTTTGAGTATCAATTATCGGGGTAAAGAACCTCTAAGGTTTTTTATAAAAAAGATAAAAGACTAATTATAATCTTATAAAATATTATTTAATTCTTAACCTGTTAAGATCATTTTTTATTTATTTTATCTGTAATTTCTTAAAAGTAACAGCTTCTACCTTTAAAAATATACGCCTAGCCTTCTATGAAGAAAGACAGGCAATTTTCGGTTGTCCACCTGCCCAAGCTTTATCTCCTATTGTCCTGTCATCTAGACGAACAGACAACACTGGCTGTAAACAGAAGTTTCCAAACGCAATTACAGGAGAAACCCTTAGCACAGATGGAGTGAAACCGTTTCGTTTTATTTATAAAATTTGTTAAGCTCTTCCAATACCGCTACTCCTATCTTAGTCGGTTTTCTTAAATCAAGAGCTTGGGGCGCCAGCATCCACCAGCGTTACCCTCTCTAAAAGTATCAGGCTGTTCCAAGGTTTTGAAGGGAAGCGAAGACGGACATATTTACCATCAGTGAGAGGTGTCCGCATTAAAATTGTAGACCTTTTTGAGATACCAACCATTATGTTACCAGTTAGATCTCCTCGGGTATGGGCCTTTTAATAAGGCAGGGAGTCAGTTAGTCGGTAAAGAATACTAATTATGTATCTAAATATTACAAAGGTGTTAGAAAAATTTATTATGTAAAGGGCCCACTACAGTTAACCCGTCTAATCTTAAATTGCAAAATATAAGGCTTCGTTATATGTCTTTGAAAATGGTATATATTTCCTCTTCTAAGAAATTTTATTATTTATGATAATAAGTTTTTTTAATATCCAGGTGTTACACCCCTCACAAAAGAGTAACTGAGTTATCGATACAGAGTGACAGCATGATGACTTCTTAGTAAACATAAAATATTATAAAAAATTTCTTGCTCTAAAAAGTACTATGAATAACCTACGCTTTAAATGAATCTTTAAGCCGACAAGTTTTGGGGCGTGAATTTTCAAATAGATTTTTTATATAAAAAAACTTTTAATTTTTAATTTAAAGATTATTAAATGATTTACCTCTGAGCGAATCTAATTTTCTTAAATTTACTTGAATGAACGGTAAAAACTGTAAGATAAATAAGAATCAAACATATTGCCCATAGGCGTTTAATAACAAACTTAAGTTCTTACTAAGAAAATGCATTAGTTGTTACAATCATATTTTTATGTTATTTAGTTCGAACAATGACTATATTAGGGTATTCTTACCTAAAAAAGTCTATCAGCTAGATTGCTGAAAGGCAACTACATTTTTAACCTCCAGGTCAGAAAGGTCTAAATGGTAACAGCATTGAGAAGTGAAGTTTTTGTCTTTTGTTAAATATTTTGGTAATTAGTGAGAGTAGTAAGGCTTACGTCGATTAGATTTAACAAACTTTAATGTAGCCGTTCACGTCAAACCCGTGTTTTTATAACAGAGTCAACCAATGTTGTGGAGCTTTCCCTTTTAGTGTTTGAAGTTAAACTTTTTTAAGGTTGTTTTTAAATTTATTTTAGGTTTATATTAAAAATAGTTGGTAGGTTTATGAGTTTGACAAAAACTAAGTTTCGCAAGCCTGGCAGCATCCGTTATTTTAAAAAAAAGTTTATTTAGATTTTATTTTACGTTAATTGCTTGTTAATTGATACCTAACTGATTTTTGTACTATTTAAAGCAATGTATTATGTTATTGTGTCTAGACTTTGACTAAAATTAAACATTCTATAAACTTAAACTGTTTTAGTCTATGTGGGTTAACTACGTATATTAAAAATTTATCTTCGCTCTATCAAAAGTTAACTGCACTGTACTATATACTGTGTCATTTGGGGTGATTGCTTAAAATCATTATAAACTAATTACTCTAGAGGCTTTAAAGACTAAATATACCTCGTTAAAATAAATAAGAGAACGGTTATCTGCTACCAAAAAGAAACCTATTATAGATTTATTTACACCTACACAATATTATAGCATGCTTGGCAAGTAAATATTAAAAAGTGAGTACTCATAGCAAGCGTACGCTTTCTAGCCTTAATGCAGAAGCATAATTAACATTTATGAACTTTATAACTTTTAAAACAAGTTAAAAGTTACTTTAATAACCTTATTTTGTACATTAAAAATTTTTTGCAAGATTTTTTAAAAACTATACTATTTGTAGATTTAATCTATAATAATTAGCGGTGGTTAAGGAAATACTTTTAGCATTGAACTTGAACCGCAACAAATACTAATAAATATTTAATAACTACCCATCTTTTTCTTAAATGCTTTTTCCAGTTAGTAAATAGTAAAGTTATAGCTTGATCTAAAAGGTTTATAATACATATGAGCAGTATAAGGCCTCTTTACTAACTTTTTTTTTTTGTTCAATGTATCATAATAAACTCTACTTTTAGTAGCCCAGGTTTAACGTTAATAAATTTTAGATAATCATTAAATGAAGTCAACCAATTAAATTTATTATTCCTATAACCTCCAATAACAAAAAGTGTAAATGAAAAACTTGGATAACGGACAAATAATATTTTACAGCAGGTAATTTAGAAAATATTACTAAAAATAATATAATCATATTATTGTATAATATGGCCTTCCTTTCATCGGGAATAACTTCTGTAATACTATCAGAATGAACAATAATTATACCAATGGAGGCACCGTACGTAATTTGCAGATCTTAACCAAAGGTGAATTTATAGATGGTGCCGAAGTACGCAATTCCATTCCTAAATTTTCCAATGATAAAGAAGATAAGCCCAGCAGTTATAGCATGGTTATAGCTGAAGTTAATAGCTTTTGCAAAAATGAAACTTCTCCCACTAACAAACAAGTAGATACCACTCCCGCTTATAACATTTGTAATACTAGCGATATAGAATATAGTAGCGATAAGAATCCTTATAATGACAAGGAAAGTAGTAATGAAAGCACAAAGAAACCTAAAATTAGTAAAAAAAGTATAAATAATTACGAAAATACTCTCAGTTATAGCAAAAACAATAATTTCAGAAAGGTGTTAAGTAATGTTGTGTTTAGCTATAATCCTGTAAATGATTTTATAAAGTATAATAAACCACAAGCTAGCAACAAACAAGAATTAAGCACTAAAAGCTTTGAAGAAACAGATTTTGACAGAGAAAGGGTTCAATACACTTTTAATATTAACGAGTATGATATTCTCAAACGCTGGCATGAAGAAAATATTGAAAAAGAAAACAGGAGAAGGAGTGAAAAAATTCAAGCTAATTGCTTTTATAACGGGTGGAATTTAAACTTAAACAGCGACATTTACGATAATATTTATAACTATGAAAACAAAAAAAAAATTAATTTATTAGCTCATTTACCAAGAAGCTACTCAAGCCCTGAGATTGTAATAACAATGCATTATTTATTTTCAACTTAGTATACATAATTTATTTTATCTGTATCTCTTTAAGCTTAATAGCAGTGATGATCAACCGCATCTAAACTCTTCGAAAATAAGAGTTGGCGTGACCAAGAAAAACCGGTTAAAGCCTCGATTAAAGAACACAAAAAATAAAATAATTCCATGTCCCTACCAAAATTGTGAAAGAAGCTATTCTTCACGTTCCTCTTTGGCTGCACATATTAAGCTAAACCACTCACTTACAAACTCAATTTTAAAAACGTAATTGCTAATTTATTTGTAAAACTTAACAACATACTTTAACAGAAACATATTTACTTATAAATAAAGCAGGAAAAAAAGAAATTATGCGAAATTATTAAAAGTAACGAATAAGCCAGTCGAGTCTGCCCAAAGCGGAAGAACCTATACCAAGTATTCTTCAGAACAATATATATAGTACTCGCTCTCAACTTTCTATTAATACCTTAATTACAAGAATCTGGCCCAATTGTTTTCAGAAAGCTATAATGGAGAATCAATGCTCTATATCTACTAGGGACTGCCAGTTTAATCAAACTAGCGATTTCTCACTTGCATTACATTCAGATTCTTTTGTGTCATGCAACACCACCAGCAACTGTTATTTTTCAGACCCGCTAACACTAAATAGTGACTTTGCCTCCAGTACATTCAGCACATTTTCTAATGATTTTGAGAAGACTACTCAAAGTATCAGTCGGTCAAGTTTTGATATAGAAGAAGATGATACCACCCTGGAAGCCCTATTAAAACCACTCGTACACGGCTCCCCACTTTCCCTGTTTGATTCTACCCTGCAAAATGTTGTACAGGAAACCTGCTTGGACGACTTATCAAACTTGCAAATTATCAATAACTTTCCTGAAACAATTGGACTTTCCGAGTACGATGAAAATTATTTGAAAATTTTCGATATAAACCAACAAACTTTTACTGATACACTCTTCACTGAAAATTATTTGACCGAGATAGACTTGGCCTTGCAGCCTTGCGCCTTCAACCCTTTAAATGTGCTGCCCTCAATCGAAGATCCCGAAATCAACAAAACAGAAAATTATTTTGGTGCGACTTTCTCACTAGATAACAATTTTTTGGCTCCACCGCAAGATATAAATGAACAAATGCTGGACGAGTTCTTCAAGGATACGCCGAACATGTATACTGACATCGATTTCTTGAAATTTTGTACAATATAATTAAAATATAATAAAAATTTTTATACATGAGAAGGTTGCATACTTATTACCTTTTATTTAAAGTCTTACTCAAATATTTTTATATGAAAATATTAATGCTTTTTTAGAATTATTTATCAGAAACACTACCAATTCTTCTACAAACAATTTATATCAATAAATAAACAGAATCCCACACGCATTATCACGAAAAATCATAGAAGTCACTAATTGCTTCATTTTCATCGTAGTGGAGTACGTGATCGGACTCGTGAAGGATGGTCGGGTCGAGCCTAATGAGGTTCCTATGGACCCCCGAAAAAGGAAGAATGGAAGAAAGTGGCGTATTAGGCGGTTGTGCATACACGTGCTCGCTTGAACTTGGGTGCTCCGAACGAGCGCATTCTAAGTGCTCACTATTATTCATAGAAATTATTATTATTATGAAAACAACCGAAAGCTCCATCTGTTCGACTCACTAAATAAACATCGATCGGGCCGCTGCTACTTTTCAAAGTAACTTGATATTGCCAACAATCCTGCTTATCTTTTTGCTAACATTATATAATATTCATATCAAAGTTATTTTAAACAAATTTTTTTTTTATTTTTTACAAAAAATACAAAAAAACATAACACCTGGGAGGGGTCTGAAACCTCCAGGGTGGTCCCTGCAGGGGCTTTGATGGCTATTATTGTTTTGTTCTGGAGGGAAGGAACAGCCCGTATATCTTCATGAGTAACATAAGCTAAACTATAATATATATTTAAGTTTTAATTACTATAATTATTATTTATAGTCAGTATTTTTTTAAGTTTTTCTTCGGTAATTCAAATGTTATTAATACTAATAAAAAAAAATCGTTCAAAATTCTTTATCTCTTCAATGTTAATATTTTTTTTCTTATTACTATATTTTTAACTATTTTATTAAAGTTAACTTTGTCTTATTATGCTTTTAATGAAAAGTTGTTTATCAAAATTAAACATTTTTACTAGTTATTATAATTTAGTAAATAAAAAAATTTTATAAGTACAAATAATTGAAAAAATTCAAAATATATGTAAACTAATAGAATACTTCTAATTATTTCTTAAAAATAAATGTATAGTTTATATTAAATAAAATTATATTAAATCATAATAATAAAAAGAAAAAAGGCTTCATAATTCCTTTATATTATTTTAAAGATTTTATACAATATTATTATTGATATTAAAAGGAAAATAAAGAATAATTATAGCCCTTAGCTGATTCTTTTTAATAATTAAAAAACAATTTAGTATAATGGAATAAACAATAAAATAAAGTAATGTATAGTTATTATATGTTATCAATTTTTTCTTAATATCTTGAGAAAATATTTTTCTAATTAATAATTATATGAAATGTGCTTGAAATAATTTAAAATTTATCATAATAAAGTAAAAAAAAATTACAAATGCATAATAATCATATAAAAGAAATCCTCCTATTGTCTTATTACAATAAAAAAAAAAATTAAAAAATATAAAGACAAGTATAATATATTTATAAGTTTTTATTTAAACTTATATTAAAATATTTAAAAATTTTTATACAGTGAAAAGCTCCTTTGACTAAAATATTTATTTAAAAAATATAAATTAGTAACTGAAATAAAAAAGTTGCCTTATGTTATCAACATCTTCCGCTAAACTCCTTAAACTGCTTTGAATGACTTTGATCAGTTCTTCTAGCTGACGCTCTTCTTTTTCAAGAAATTTAATTTCACTTCCGTAACTTTCCAGTTCCTTATAATATACAAAAAAGGTTGGAAATAGACGTTAAGTAAAATATTTTTATACTTTCTTGTAATTATCATTTACAGCTCCAGAAGTTCCCCTATAAAATAAGAACAGCATTAAAATATTTTTAAATTACAATCATTGACAGAATCTTTATATATTAAGTCATAGCACTATTTCTTCCCTTAATAAAATTAATACTAAAATTAACTTAAATAAAATAATAAAAAATTAATGTGGTATTAATTTTTTTACTAAATTCACTATTGCTAAATAATTTTTTAAGTCTTACTTCCACCAGATTTTATTCTTAGACTTTTTTTCAATTAAGTTGATTCCTTCAAGAACATTAGTGATATCATATAAACGCCGTTTAGGGACCCTCAGAAGCTCAGAAACACTAATATATATCCAGCACAAAATATGATCACCACCTGAGAGGTTGTATTAAAGGATTGCTAATTACTAATTTAAGTCCAAAACTCCCATAGGCGATTCTTGGAGCAGTTGTATAAATTTTTTAGTTAAAGGTCCAAGTGAAGTATCATAACGTTCTAGTAGAGTGGATTTTAATTAATTATATTGTGCTTCTTTCCCGAAAAAACTTTAAAATTCTGCAAGTAAAAGATTTTTTTTGGCTATATTACTATATAATTTACTTTTCTTAACTTTAGGCACTTCAAGAAATGACGTACTTTGAGTTTTAGTTTTGCCTTTATAAGATAACGCTCCTTTCAACTCTGAATTTGACAAAAGAGAGAATTCCATCTGTATAATAAAATTAAATTCTAAAATCGTAAGAGATCACACCAATTAAATAATAATATTTAGAAATATTTATTTTCTAACCTCATACAGATAACTACACCTCACTCTAACTTAAGTAACTACTAAAGAATATATAACAATATAAGTAAAAAAAATTTGAATATTACATTTAATACAAGTAACCAATTACTCTTTTGTATTAAATATATAATACTTCACTACAACTTAATTACAATTAAATACCTAAAAAACGTTTTTATGAAATTTAGATTCTGCCAAATTGAGTTGAACAAAAAGTAGAGTTTTGACTATAATATCTTATAACTTTGCTCATATTCTTTTATATACTTTTAACATAAGTTACTATGTTACTTAAGAACTAAAAAAAAAGATCTAAACCAACTGAACGCCTTCCTCGCGCTTAACGCTTAAGCTTTTTAACTGACTACAAAAGACTAAACCCAAACCCAAATTGCGCGGTATTTTTTATATACAGGAGGGACAGTTTTCAAACAAATTACTGAAGCGCTAAATGCTTATGATGGTGGTGCACCGTACTACTTAAAATTTGAATTCCACCAATACTTTTTCCCAAGCATCTCGTAGCTTTCACTTACCAAAATTTTTTTAAGTTTTTCCTAATGCTTTTTTGTGTATATAATTATACCTACTTCGATATAAACTAGTAAAAAATTTTGTGTTTTATATTTTATTACTGTTTTTCCTTTTATAAAAATTTTCTTGCCTTTATAAGTATTCGTCAAATAATACTCTTTCTTACAAAAATGGAAATTACTTTTGTGATTAAAAAAAAACAATTTTTATTATTTAAACAATAAAGATGGGTTTTTTGTAAGGACACTTATAATAGTTGCAACTTAACACTTAAATAATTCGACAAAGAAATTATTTTCAGTATTTTTTGTATATTTATTTTAGTTAATTACAGATGTTTTAGTATAAAACAAATAAATTCTGTAAGCAATTGTTTATATTGTAAACTGAATTATTATAAAATATATAAAACTTCTATTAATTATTGTCATTTAAAAAAATATAGTAAAGGGGGGTTTCTTTATAATTATTTAAAAATTTCTAAGATGGTTAATTCTTCAATTGATGTTGTGAAAAAAATGTTGAAAACAACTCATCTGAATTAATTAAACCCCCCGACATCTTAGGATCAACACGTTATAAAGAGGAATTTTGCTTTCTCCAACCAAACGGGGGTCCTAATACGGGTAAAACATTGGCTAATATAACCAAGGCCTTAAAACTTAAAATTAAATTATTGTAGTTTTTATAAATTTAAAGTCAAAATACGAGCTGTTTATAAAAAACCCTTGGTACATTAAAAAAAAAATTTAATTCAAGACATATTTCTAAAACGAATATATATATAAAAATAAGTTATTAAAGAAAGACCACTGTCCTTAGTTACCTGGTTTGTTACGAGTATTCCAAATAATTAACAAACAAACAAAAAAACACCACAATTCATAAAAAATGCAATCTAACCAATCTAAGGTATATAAAACCAATATTCAACTTATTAGAAAACTACGAACTAATCAAAAGTATGAAAGCTATATAAATGGAGATAATGACGCACATAAATTTTAACAAGTTTATTAACATCTCAAATATCTGTTAAAGTTTAGGTTTATATTTAAAATACAAATTTGGTTAAAATATCTTTTGTAAAGGTATGTAAATAGAGAAGTTAATAAATTATAACCATTGCTTTAATAGTTTAATAACCAACCCAATTTTAAGATTTTAAGGTACAATTCATCAGTGTCCTGGCATCCTCATTTTTAACTTAGAACTAATTCATTGTTATAGCGGAGGGATACACTCTCTAACACCGAAGTGCTTTTATTTGATGGCCTCGTATAACCGTTTGCAGTGTTTAAAGTACGAGCTAATCTAGTAAAGTCGGTTTAATACTAATAAATAATTAGTATTTTCCGCTATTTAAAATTATTCGCATGGCAGCACTTGGTATCATCAAATACTTCACTTTCTTTAAAAATACATTTTCAGTTAGAGAAATTGGAGTAGTTTACAAAACAGGGAGCGATCGAGCTTCAGAAAAACTATGCATGCAGTTAAAGTTAAAGGTAATTGTGCAAAGAGCAAAAAAATTACAAAGGAGGAAAAACAAGGGTTGTCTTTTATTTTTATATTTTAAAGGGTTAGTAATAATTTTAATCGAAACAATTAAAGGCTCTATTAGAAAATCTTAATTGCTATTTAGATAAGTTTGGATTAGGCAACCAAAGCTATTTATTGTACACACCTGCTTGAACTTGTTTAAGTGGTCAACGCCGGCTCCTTTCATGGATTCCAAAACGTTAGACTAGAAAAAATTTTATTGCTTACACCACTAATTAAAGAAAGGATAATTTTACCCTGTTGTTGTACCACTAATTCTGCTTAAGAGAGTCTACTGTATATAAGACAGAATAATAAAGTTAAGCCAGCCCGAAGGGAATAAAATTTGTAGCAGAGATCTCGTCCGATCGTATATACTCACAAAGTTTTTAATGCAGTGAAACCTACTCTTATATCTAGAGGACTTGCACTAACTTACACATTATATAACAAAGGGTACAAGAAAGGTAAGATTAAAATAAATATAGGTTGGAAGTTATAAGGAGTATAACACAGTCTCAAAGTAAAGAGCAAAGATCCACTAACTACTATTTCCATTAAATGCTTATATCCCAGTGGAATTTTTTAAACAGATCAAAAGTTTTGAGATTTTATCTGAGCTATGTGGTTAATTTTTTATAGCTCTGGCGTGTTTGTAGCTCAAACCTAATATTTTTTAGTTAAATAAGTTGCTATATCAAGACCTGAACCAAGTTTAGTGTATTGACCGGATCTGTTGATATTCATGGCTGACACCAGTTAAACTTACTAGTTGGCTTTCGCGTTATTTTCATGCACTGGTATTTTATTTTATTGACAGAAGCATACTAAAGACTATCCAGTAAAGAAATTATATTATTAAAATTTATTAATTTATTTCACTAGTCCAGCGACGGACACTACAAAACCGGGAAGTGGGGCCGCCCCACAACCACACAATAGAAGGCAAAGATCCCTAAAGCTACGCCACTGACTAGCTATATACATAATTATACCACTTAGCCCTCACTAATTATATGACTGACTAACTACATTTATATAAAACCTACCCTCGCTAACTGAGAGACCCTCTTATTTGCGCAAATTAAAAAACTTGTAAAAGGGATCAGGAATTATAAGCCCCAATATATTTGTAAATTAGTTTAGATAAAAAGTTGGTGTGTGTGATTAAAGTTGGTACTGTCAAAAATTTCTTGTAAAGATGTCTGCTTCTCGCAACGATGTCGTCAAAAATGTTAAAAGAAAGGATGTACTGACTAGTGAGAATGCTGATGACCTGGCCCAAAGTACTGAGCTGTTGAAGCCATATATCGAATTTTCTATTTATATTAAGTTTTATAATATAAGTTATTAACTTTTATTGAATAATAATCGAAGTAACTATTATATAAAATATAAGCTTCTGACTTAAGCGCAGTGAGTAAAAGTTTGTTCGAAAGTACCAATTCTTCAAGAGGAGAGATAAAAATAACAGGAGACTGTTCGGGTTTTAAAACGCAACTTATCTACCTTAAAATTTAATAATTTTTTCTTTTAGAGCCCCTTTGGAATCTTATAGGAACTTCTATTTGCTCTGTAGCCAACTCTGTTTCCTCTGGAATCAGTGACATAGCTTCTAAACTTGCCGGCTTGTCCGTTAATATTATTTTTTGTTTTAAATTTTGCTTAACTTTAATTTTTTTTTATGGAAAATATATTTCTAACTTGGTTATATATTATAACATTGAACGATTTTTAAAAAACTTTAAGATTATTTCTGTTTATTAATGAGCAGTTCGACTCAGCCCGAGGAGAACTCTTCTTGCCCCGGAGAACAAAAGGAAAAACGTTTGGAAACTTTGGGATCTTTTTTGGGAACTGGTATTGTTAAGAACTTAATTTTATTTATTACAATTATTTTTATACATAATTAAGCGTTGAACTTTTTCTTCATCCATCCTTAATATTTTAATTTATTGCTTACTTTTCGTTGTAGGAACAAATGCTGTGGTGAAAGTTACCGACGAGCTGCAGTCATTGTCAGTAGATTCTGGTTAAAAATAAAATTTTAAATGCTAATATTATATTTTTTATAATATTTTTTTAGTTATTTAAATAGTTCAAAATTCTTAATTAACTTTGTTAAATTTTTTAAATCTATTTATAATTTTGAAAAATTAGAAAATCTTGATAAGTACGTGCTATCGCGTAACGGTAACGTCTTTTATATCTTTCTCTAAATACCCTTAATTAGGAAAAATAAACCGTTAAAGGTTCAAAAAAGTGTTTCTACCTAGATAATATTATTATATTTGTACAATTTTTCTTCGGTATAAAGCACTATGGTTGCATTAGACCGTTAGTCACATCTTGAGGCTTTCGTTATTCATTTGTACCTTTTCTTAAAAACCTCCTACTCTTTGAATCTTTTTAGTATTATTTTTTTGTTAGTTCTCGTTCATGGACTGGAGGCGCTGGAAAAAATGGGCAAAAAAGCAATGAACTGCATCGTAGATGATCCTCACTTTACTCACAAAGATAAAAGTAACATTATTATTACTATTATTATTATATTAATTTCAACTTTTCCTTTTTAAAATATTACTTATCATTACTTATAAGTTATTAATAACTTATTTACTCTTGAAACATTTTATTTTTAATATTCATTTAATATAACATAATAAAAATTAATGATTATTAATTTTATGAAACTTTAAAACGTTGTATGTATTATTACAGTAAAGTTTATGAGTTTTTTCCAATATCATTATTTTATTTTTCTCTTATTTTTATTTATTTTTAAACAAATATAATCATAATTATATGTAATATAAATATAATAAGTCTTCCCTTTTTTATTATAATTGTAGAGTTATTCTTTTTAATAATTACTTTAGATCTTTATTATTGATATTATATATTTTTTAATATCTTTATAAATATTATTATTACTCTTATAAAATATAGTGATAAGCATATTTATATCTAATAATATATATATATTTGTATTTATAATATATATATTTCAAGTTTTACATTTGGCACAATTTTTTATAAAATTGGAAGAAAATAAACAATTGTCGTAATAAAATCTAATAAATTATAAACATTAATTAAGATTTTATTATAGATTTTGTCATAAAAGTTATATAAAGTTATTACTATTTTTTTTAATTTTCTATAAAAAAAGATGTTTATTATTGGTATTTTGTGATTTTTACTTTTACATTGCTACTGTTATTTTCGCTATTTTTACTACTAAAAAGTAATAATATTTATGTTCAATAAAAATAATTCTTAAGTAATTACAATGAATTCTGGGGAGACTCCGCTTTTTTCAGCTAGTCAAGCCGAACTCATCAGTTTTACTTCATTTTTTGCGGGAAGAAAAGGCGAACTGATTTATCGAGACTTACAGGAATTGAGCTTAAAAGCAAGTTCGCTCGCGCGGTCTCTACTAAAAGATGGTACATATTATTATTATTTTTACTATTATTATTTTTATTATTATTATTATTAGAAAATGAAACTATTTATTATATGTGATCAATAATATTTTTGCGTAATAGCTGTTATAATTTAACAAATATTACATTAATAGTATTTTTTTTAGATATTTTCTATTACTATCTGATAATTTTTTATTTATTACAGTATACTAATATGAATTTATTATATAATTATAGTTTAAACATTGAGCATATTGTTTTATTTAATATTCTATTTACTAAATTACTCAGTTAATAAATACTATTAAAACTTCATTTTCATTATTTACTTACTTTATTTACTACGAAATGATTTATCCCGTCGTGTATTAGCATTCTATGCTACTTTTCTTTATGTTATCTTTTATTATTTTTTTCTGTATATACTTTATTATAACAGTTTCTATAGTAATTATTCACCTAAGATACATTCATACTATTATACCTTCAACTAATCTTAAAATCAAAATTTTGAGATTGAAAATTTCCATTTGATTTTAAGCCAATTAATACTGCATCCTTTCCAAATTTTCCTTTAATAGCATTAATCGGGGCTTTTTTATACTTTTTATACAGATTCCAGAGAATAAATAGTGTTCTTATTCATTATTTTTATTACACTAATTTTATATATGAAAGAATTAGTTAATTGGTGGTGTCAATACCTTTTCTAATTAAGCAACATCATTGCTTTTTTCAAACCAATTTTTTTTATTGGAGGACGTAGTTAAAGCGAAGTTTATATTGACTATAAAATTATGTTTACCCTAATTATTTTTAAGTACGATATTTTATTATTTCTTTAAATTTGTATATTCATCTTTACTTTAAATATCTGTTCTTTCTAAATGATAAAAGTGAAATAGAAGTAAAATGTATTTTTATGTGCGTTTATTTTTAGTTTTTTTTTACTAAAATTTAATATAAAATGTCAATAGAATAATATAATACTATATATTTTATTATTATTATTGAACTTTTCAACTTATTATATGTCATAATATTTTGTTTCCTCAATTTTTTTCATGTATTCACTATTAATTTTGACTTTCTTTGGTCAACAAACTTTTTATAAGAAAAAAATCAAAAAGTAATCCCACTTTTATTTGAAATATTATAGCTAATAAGGAATGTCGGTGCCAAATGGATGAACAAATGGAAGTTATTTGCAAGTCTCTCTGCGAGGAAGAGGCCATTGAAAATGCCGAAGGAGTAATTTGTTGGGATATATTAGTAGAGTACAACAAATTTAAGGATATTTTGGAGTCTTTAAGTATTTGGAATGACCTGCGCGGTTCGTCTTTTGAAAAAAACTTTTAGCTAATAAGTTAGCTTCATTTTTTCATCATAACAAAACATAATAATAATTAGCATTCTTATGTACTGATTGCTCTAAATGTTTTATATTTTTCTTTATATTTTTATAAAAGGTACTTTTCTCAATAATAGTATGTATTTACTTTTCATAATTATAATAATTATATACAATGGAAAAGTTTTGTTTTAAAACCAATATTTACCAGTTAACATAAAGAGACTTTTGGTTATTCTACGCACTATAGCTTTTCTAAAACCATTAATTTATAATTGTATTAAAAATTGTATGATTTCAACATTTTAGTAACATTTTTTTTATTTTCTCCAGAAATTATTAGAAATGACGAGGAAATTTTTGGAGTACATGAAAAACAAAAACTTATCAAAGAAAATAATTTTTGGATGGAGTTTCAAGAAGAAGACGAAGCGACTCTTCTTTCTTTCGTATTATTATTATAATTTTTATTGCTTATCAAATTGTTATGATCTCCCTAAATTAAATTTACTAAATTTTTTTATGGAAGTTTTTCCTATTAAAATGTTTTTTTACAATTTTTAAGTTTTTATTATTATATTTTTGAGTTTTCTTTACTAAATATATTTAGAAAATTATCTTTGCTTATAAAACTTTTATTCATGTTTTAAAATTTTTAATTTTTCTTATATACATTTTTAATATAAATTTTTTTTTTTAACTTTCTATTATGTTCTATAGTAGTGTTCCTATATTGATAAAGAGTTTGTAGAAAGTTTAATAAATTTTTATTATTATTTCTGCATATACTTAGTGTGAACGAGTGTTTAAAGAACTTCATGAAACTCTATGTCAAAGCTACGCTGCTTTAGTAGTTTCTGGTTTATTATTACTATTATTATTTTCTTTATTTTTCGTGCATTTTTATTTATATATAAAATTTATAACTTAAAGCTTTTTACTAAATATATAAAATTTATTCTATAATTTATATTTATTTTATTAATTTTATTTAATTCAAAACATAAAAATTAAAAAGAAAGACATTTATCATTAATACAATAAATTAATAATAATAAAAGTTTTATAAAGACGTCAAAAGTTGGTTAAAATAAATTTGTTTACTTAATGAATATAGAAAATATAGATCATAAGCTTAACAATACATATATGATGCTTTTGGCATATCTTTTCTTTTACCGTATAAATTTTGAAGAAATCCTCTTGCTTTTAGGCTCGTAGATCGTTATAAAATGTGACACAAACAGTTTGCACTGTAATTGAACAAACTAGTCTCTAATCACTTTATCTCCCACTAGTCATGTGCATGATAGAAGCAGAGCTCTGTAAAATTTATATAGACATCGACCAATACAGTATAGATTTGTCAATTATGAATATAATGAAAGAAGTCAACAATGAGGATAATAATAGCTTTTCCTTATAAAACTTGCAGCCATTAGACAATTCCACCTCGTTCTTGCAGCTTTGACCAATGAAACGCTTCGTTTAAACAAGTACACGAGCACGACTAATTCCAGGCTTGAAGCTGTTAAAAAAGTTGCGTGCTTTATAAATCTTGTCAAAACTATCCATATCTCAACCATCAACTCTCTAACTACTTTGGCCGCAAAACTGATATACGCAGCGCAGAAAGAGATGGCCAAGAGAGGTACCCCCGTCTTATTTCCATTATATGTTTTTATGTAATAATCATCAAAACTAACGCGATTATTGCCGAATAACATAGGTTTCAACTTGTTTAAAAAATATTTAAATTTTTTTCCTCTTAAATATGAGACGAGTTTGAGTTCAAATTCATTATATTTTTAACGCAGAAAACACTAGTAACGCGGAGACCACTGACACTGTGTTTAATACAACCTCAACCAGTATCTTCTTGGGTACCACGCATCGTTTTGTTTATGAAAAAGTGTGATTCACCTCAAAACATATAGAGGCCGGCCTGGCATCTGAAAAGATAAGAGCTGCCCTTCAACTTTCCGTCCCCGTACTTCGCTTTTCCCTTCTTAATTACTATTTAACGTAGTTGGATGTATAAAAATAATATCATTACATTTTCTTTATGTTACTGCGGTCAAGTTAACTTAACATGTTTGGAAAAAAACATGATTTATTCTATTTTCTGCCTTTTTTTTAATGGAAAATAAATAAGTTTTAATGTTGATGAGTGTAACATAAAAAGGAACATACATAGTAGTTACAAAATAACGAGAAAGTTAATTAAACTACTTTAAGTTACAAAGAAAAACAATACTAAACCCAGTAAACTACCCAACAGAGCTGCAAACTCACGAACTATCAATAATACTATTATAAAAAGTATTCTTGAATAAAATAAAATTTTAACCACCAATCAGAAATTAGTAATAAACTTTTACACCAATAAGTAAGTCATTAAAATTAACAACGCTGTACAAAAAATGAAATAAACAAGTCTGTAATATTTAATGTAATATACAAAAATATAATAGGGATCTTGCATTCTTCAGGAAAGTAAGAATTGCTTTTTGTTCCCGGTCCATGTCGTAAAGTGTCCAAAAAAGATCGGACCTATATATAGAATTCAACGGTCCAACTTTACGGTAGTTCCCGACGAACTGCAAGGAGTGGGCGTGCGACTATCTGCCTTCATGGCTTTGATCCATCTCGGCGAGTGTCCATCCGTGGGCGGATTACATATCTTAATGTAGTAGTGCTAATAAGTAACCCTCTACCCTCCTCGTCTTCCCTTGGCTTGAGCTGAGATAAAAAGTAAGCTTTGGATCTCTCTTGACTTTAGACTTGTATTGTATTGTAACTTGTCTTGGTCTCCGTTTCACAGGAATACCTACAAATCAGGGCGTGAGTATGGTTGCTAGAATTGACTTGTACCACGGAGAGCTCTGAATTTGCTTCATGTGCGGTCAGAAATGATTCCTCTGAAAACGCTAAAACCGTAGGAAGGCGTTAGTACATCTTGGAGGTGCCATTATCCTTCTGATCGGTACAGATGACCTTTATGGGTACAGTTTCAAATTTAAGAGTGATAGACTCTCAGTACGCCGGTGTTCGAACGTGCCGTTTTTTATACTAGCTGGAGTGCACCACTCTTGATCTATGACCTGTCTACCTTGGATCCTGCGGAGCCTGGATTGGGCTTTCCTCTCTTACGTATCATCTATCTTTTGTTTCGTGGATAAGTGGTATCAAGACCAGGCTAAACTATGTTCAGTACTGCACTTTGGTAATTAGTTGCGGACAATAGCTCCGGAAGTACTCTATTGACTCTTCGAACTGCACATCAACAGGATCTTAGGATAGGTTACCCTATGCGGGTAACCTTAAAATAGTACTATTGGCATTAGTCCTCGATGCTGCTAAACTGGTTAAAAACTGGTTATATTTACCTTGTCTAGTCCTGATAGAACTCTGTACAGGAGTTATAAATACTGTTTGGCTAAGACAACTTGGCTAAAGAAAAAAGTGCTTATTTATCGTGTATAGTAGCATTCTGGCATAGTACTGGGTAAGGAGACTAATACAACAGTGCTATTTACTAGCGTAAATATATATATGTATGCACTTGATTTTTATTATAAAAAATAGACAAAAGAAGGGCGCTTTTATGATGTTTGCCTCGAAATATTACAACATAGGATCTTTTCTTAATATACCTCAGTTCATGCTAACCTAGCATAACATAACAAACAATGCGCAACCGGACTCGTTATGTACTGAGAGCGTTACCCTTTAATACATTGGGTAGAAGCTATAAGTGACGCAGTATATATACTAATAAATTTAAAAGGATTAAAAATTTTTCTAAATGAAATCTACGAAAATGTAATTTGGCAGATGTCATGTTATACAAACAAGTAGGTATTGAGTTATACTTTTAACGACTGATTTAAAGGGAAATCAGAAGACCTTCCCCAGCTAAAAGGCAACCATACTTGCGTCTTATCATTACAGTTGGAGACTTTTTAATCTATTCTCGGCGTCGCTTTAATTTCCAATTGGGATAACTTTTGTATTCCTTATTTTATAGTTTACGGTGAAAAATTCCATATTTTTTTAATCGGTCGAGCAACAGAACACTTAATCTGTCAAAGTTAACTGCAACTCCAAAATAAGACGCCCCAGTTGGGTGCCATTAATCTATTATAAGGGTACACAAGTTCGACAACATCAGCCAGCGGAATACTCTTAAAGAGTGTACTATGGCAGTCGTGGGAGGACTAATATATAAAAGTATATTGAAACACTTGCTAAAAATCTACTCGCCTTCTTGGTAGGCGTCGCTATAGTCAACCGAAGGATAGCGCGTTCGTGGGTGTGGAAATAATAACTTAAATGATTTTCCACTAAAGGTAAAAGTAAGATAAACATCCTTGTCTAGCGAAAATTAAAGGAGTAAAGTTTAGAATATACTTTTCACATGACATGAAATTTGTAACTTCCCCCTTTATTGGCCTGAATCTAAAGTATACCGACTTGAAAAAAAAAATTTTTTGAATGGAAATCTTTTTTCATTATATTGTTAAAACTAAAAAAGTTGCTCTCTTATTAAATATTTCCTATATAAGTTTTGTCCGTGGTCTCTTACTTTTAACTCCCAATTAAAGGTTGTAAAACTTTTTTTGTATTATGAGTACGTTAAAGGATTTTTAAAAGGATTAACCCCCCTTACCTGTGAATTACAGTGTAGATAGCCATGTTCACCTACGCATTTGTTGATTCTCCTAGTTTTAAAAATTTAACTTTATAAACATATAGTTCATATGAAAACTATATAAATAAAGTTGTGATAGACTGAGAACTTGAAGCAGTCAAAAGCTATGAACGTCGAGCGGCCCCGACCTATAAAGTTCATAACTTAACCGCAAATTTGCCTTTTTAGGCATTTTTAAGATTACTTAAATGATTTGTTAAGAAGCGCTGTTAGTCAGTACTAAAAAGGTACAGCATTCAATTTTTTTCTGCGCTTTTCCCTTGGCTACGTCCGTATATATGTATTTCATATATATATATAATTATACTTAGTTAATTTTAAAAGGCTTATAAAGGTTCACAAAAGTTTGAGTCCAAATTTCACCGATGAAGCTAACACCGCGGATTTCAGCGTATGTGGTAAACAAAAATAATTGTTGAGTATCCATGTTGGAAAATTTATGCTGAGCCCTACAGTAGAATAAAGACGACACAAAATTTTGTGGTACCACCCTACACTACTTGATGAAAACAAGTATTATATGTAGCATTGGATGCCATTAGAAGTTCTATTGAATTAGTTTCTTGATTATAAAACCTGTAAAAAATTATTGGGGGTCTTTCAAAGGAAACGAACGCAAAAGTATTATAGGAAGTACTTAGGGTTATTACATATAAATGAAGGCTTAAAAAGGCTTTAAAAAATAAATGATTAAAAGTGAAAGTAGGCCTGAACGAATCTTTAGTTTCACTTCATTATAGGGTTAATTACATATTGAGCTCACCAATTTACAAAATTATTATTTCATCAGAAAACATAAATTAACTATTTTATGAGTTCTTCAGGATGAACCTAACTGAAAATTATTTAGAAATGCCAAATTTACGTATTAAAATTGGACTACAAATATATCATAACACCAACTGGTAAATACGGCAGAAGAAACGGCGGATTACCTCAAATTGTCCGAGAACAAGCACAGAAAGCGGTATTACTAAAAGGCAAGATAAGAAGCTTTACAAAATGGAATAATCTTTCAAAGGAAAATTGCTATTACATAAATAGATGTCTAAGATTCATTGGCTCCAGTCATAACGAAAAGGAGGACAAAAACATGCCTTCTCTCTCTGCAGAACGATTACACACTAGTAAGGCGACCCGAAAGGTATTAAATTTCTTGATTTTATTCTTAATTTTTGTGCAAGTTGCTTGTGATCAAGGATGCACAAACTTGAAAAAACTTAGGAGTGTTAAAGAATATTTGTAGGTGGTGCATCTGAAAACATTTTAGCAAAAGGTGAAGACTATTACCAAGATGGACGTGAGCTATTTATTTCCGAAACCGATAGTAATTTACTTAAAGAAAATTTTGTGACAACGGAGAGACTATAGTTTTTAACACCAAAAAAGCAGTGGTCATAAAGTAAGGTCCACGATATATTATAAGAATAGCCTAAGCTATAGGATTCGCGAAGGAGTTTATGAAGTGAATAAAGTTAGAATTGGTTTTCCCCGTGGGTCTGTGTTTGGATTAAAAGACTCAACCACAATCACTTTTAAAAAACCTTATAAAAAACTTTTTAATTTAATGATATCGTTTACAACTTTGGAGGTAACAAAGTGAATTGCGAAGTATGTGCTGTGGCTTATATTATGAAAAAAAATTAAGGCTTATTAAATTTTGATGCTTCTAAAGTTACCTACTACCTTTTTAAAGTGCAAGTGAAGCACTTAAGGAAGCTGGGTGAACCATTAGTTGAAGAAGGATCTATATATCACTTAAACGATAATGAAGCTAATAATACTCATAACTTAAGCCTCGAAAAAAGTGAGCTTTTAGAAAATTCGACATGGTCATTTAAAGAAAAACATGGCTCAAAAAAATCACTTTCGACTAACTCAAATTCCCATAAAGAAAGCATACATAAAAGCAAATACGGACTGCAAGTCATTAGTAAAATTACAAAAAAATTTTACAATTTACAGAGGTTACGTAAGGTAACTTTTTTATCGTTGGATAAAGCATTTAACGGAGCGAAGTAAGAAGGGTTTTTGAGTTACTAACAATTATAAAATAATTATAAAAATAGGTTTAGGATCCTGCATGTTTTATTTTATAGAAAATATCTTTTAGTGTAGATTCGCTTAATACATAAAAATATTTGTAAGAAAAACCATTTCTTCTAGGAAAATAAGATTAATGACCCTTGGATAGATTTTGATTGAAAGAAGTAAAAAGTAACAAGTTTATCGGCCTCGAAATATTCGGGGACAACAAATATATAACTTTTGAACAAGAATCTTAGAACAAGCAAAAGGTCTATGAGAACCTTATGAGTATTAACTCTTTAAATATAACTTATGAATGTCCGTTTAACGGATTTTTCGGATCTTAGCAATGCTTGTTTAATAAATTGTTATAGGACCTAACCTTGGCGGTAAACAAGTTGTCTTCGTATTTACATTTTTGTATTCAAGAACATTGGACAGTCACTAAAAAAATATTAAGATATCTTAATAAAAAGATAACCTATTAACTTTAGGAGGAATAACAACTGACTTGAAAATAGAAATACCCTCTGACACAAGTTCGCCTCCGAAATTAATATGAAAAGCAGGACAGTTGTAATTCAATGAAAACACTACTCCCTATTACAGGAAGCAAAGAGATAAGAAGCTCTTAGCCCTCCCTTAGGAAGACGCCAAAACATTGCGTTACATAGGGTTTAGTTAGATAGCATATAGCTCTGACACAAAAACAGGTCCTTGCGAATAATTGTGGAATCATTAATATTAATAAGATAACCGCAAACTACATCGCACAGGGGTGTGCTGGCTATAAACTCTCGCGAGCTGTGAACTTAAAATATATTACTACGTAAAAAAATTAGCTGAAGGGCACATCCCACAGGTTAATTATGTAAAACCACCATGATACCAAACTCGAAAGTTGTCGTTGTAGCTCAGCGGTTAAGGGCATTGAAGCGCGAACTCAAGGTCTTAGTTCGTTTTGTACCGATACGACACTCTTTTTCGGTTTTTGATGATCGCGTATTCAACCTCGCTCTCATAAATCTTATTACATCCATCCAAAAATTGGGCCGGCAACAACATGCTACAGCCTGAAGGTATTTGCGGTAAAAAATTTAAAAAAAAGTACCACTGTTCAGCAGTGGCGCACGTGGAAAACCTTGTTGCAAGCGCGAAACCAACTTTTGTATGAATTATACGAATTAATAATTAGGTAGTGCCATATTTTTGTAAGCTGCGCACCAAGTTCTTCCCGTCCTTGTCTTGTGGGTGGGGTTGAAGAATATTATTATAAACCTGGCTCCTTCTTATCTTAATTTTATTATATAAACGCTACAGTTAGCTTGACGGATAATACGGCTGGGGACTCCACCTAAGAAAAAAAACACCTTTAGAGTCGTTAGAAATTTTGGTTACTGCATATATTGAGGGCTGAATAATTGAGGGCACAACTTTAGTATAATTAATATAAATATGGAATGGCGCATGCCAGTCTTCTTTTCATGTTTTTCAGGTGGATCTAAAGCTATCAAATTAATTACGGAACTTTCGTCAAACCTCTTTGATATAACTTTTAAACTGCCAAATTAAGTTATTAATGACCAAGTATATTTTTTCTAAAAGTTTAAAAGCTAGAACGATATTAAGATAAGTGCCTTACAATTTTTAAAGATTTTAAATTCCTTAGCAGAGGTTGGTTTAGCAAAAAAGTAAAGAGCGTGTAATGGCGAAATTAGACTGAAGTGTTATTCGCTAGAACGCCTGTTTCATAAATATATGTGCTAAATCTTTACAAATTATAAGAAAAGTAGGCCATATCGTGGTCTCCCTGTGCATATCCTTTCTTTTTTATTGGCTTATTACATTTATGTTTCCAGCTTTTCGGTTTAATTTTAAAGTAACTTATTTTTTATTATATATATTTTTTAACCTGACTTTTACGTTTAATAAGCCCAAAAATTATTAAAAAGTAAAAATAAAAGCTTAATTTTTTGTTTATAAAGGCACAGACTTATAAAAAAATAAAACCTTTTTGTTTTTTAGCAAGTAAACGTCGTTAACTGTTTACTGTAAAGTATAACTAATAAAAAGGCAAGAGACTATAAAAGTTGATTGATAAAAATATTGTAATAACACTTGATGAGAACTTAATAAATTTCATCCCTCAATAGAAGAATCGTTAGGTTCTTTATAAGAGAGACTCTATTAAAACAAACTATAAACAAATAACTTATAAATGTATATAATTAGAAAATATTTGCATGTAAAACTAGTACTAAAAAAATCTAAACTCTTTTAATTCCTCTAAAGTAGTTAAAAAGGACCTCAAACTTAAACAGTGCCAGTACAAAAAAGTAACAAATTCTTCAAACTTTTTACTCTTATTCAAGACATCTGACTCTACAGGCGATAAGTACCTAGTGCTAAATACTGATATAAACCATTTAAATAAGCCAAGAAGCCTTACATTTTATAAATTTAGATTTCCTTACATTAAAGGATTATCAACTTGAAACCGGGTCAACTCTATTAACAATTCAACATGTACACTCAACCACCTGAACCGAACTTTGTTCTATACAGAAGAGGATCTATAACCTCTAAACTCTAAACCACACGAATGAACTTTGAGACATTACCAACCTTAAATATGATTAATACAAGAAAAGTCCTCATCTTAAAAAGAATGGTGTTAAACAACAACTCGGTAAGGTAAATGGGACATAAATATATTGATAAAATATTATTACTTATCTTGGAAAACTTTAATTCAAGATAAATACTTTTAAATTGCGAACTTCAAAATTGAGCTTTACAGAACGGAACTTGCAATGAAGGGAATGCAACAAACACAAATTATACCCGAAAAACAACGAAGGCCTGTAAACACAATTTAATTCACTGTTACTGTACGAATACGACTAAACTTCTACTCTGTAAATACAGCTATGGGGATCAATTAATAGAAAACGTTACACGAACCCGTGAAACATTAAAATGAAACAATACCGCTCCTCAAAACGTAAAAAATCAAACTCAACAAAAAGAAAAAATAACCAGCAAATAACTTATTTTGAAGGACAAAAAGAATTTAACATCGAACCATAGTAATATACTACTGAAAAACTAGCAAACTACCACGAATTTATTAGCGGTTAATTACAACAAAACTCGATACCGAGCATGAAACAACTAAAGGTCATAAAAAAAAAAAAAGAAAAGTTTCTAACATAAAGTAAAAATTTTCCGATATATTTATAAAAATTTAGATTTTTATTGATAGCATTACTAAATTTGGTTCTTTGAAATCGTTTAAATATAAATTTAAGTACCACGTGCTTTACATTTAAGGTTAAGCTTCGCAATTCATACTAGTTAATTTTATCAATATACATTCCACTTCTCTTATATTATATTTTAAAGTTACTTTTTTATTAATTTTAATCCATAAACAAGACAAAAAATGATCTAAGACCTCTAAGACAGAGTAGACCTTGTAAAATTATACATGCGAGTACAAGTTCTCATAATAAACCTGATGAATGCAGGGGTGGGAGTTTGTAGACGAGCAACTTAGTTTTAGAGTTTAAGAAAAGCAGTTGACTTTCTTTTCCTTTTCCTTTGTGATTATCCCATCACATAACAAATATAACAAAATTTCCAAATTGTTCCCAGTGTAGTGGTTTTTTGGAGGAACTCGGTTCCACTATATATACCTTTACAAGTGATAAGGAAGGATAACTACTTTGTAAGAAGACTTGGACTGCTAGTAAAGTGTACCAGAAAGAGTTATAATATAAAGGGAAGTCAACTTAGGGGTAGCATGGCAACGAATAAAGCCTCTAGTTAGGCTTAATACGGAAATCTTATATATTATAACGTGTAAGCTCGTTACAAAATAGTTATTTTTTATTAATCTCACTAACAATGCAAGTTTAATGATAAAGGAATATAAAGAATAAACAATAAATATAAGAAGCGCGTTATTGACAGTATTTAATTAATAATGAATTATTCTATTGCAAACAATTACAAAGTTTTATGTTTGAAAACGGCATTATAGTGCTCCCTTTTTATTATTATTTGCCAGCCTCATTTCTCACCATTCATCTTTGATAAAATTGTCTGAAAAAACTCAGAATAAACACCGAAAGTAGAAATAACTTTTATTAAGTTTATTATGCTATTATTTTTTTAAGGCTCTTCTTTCTCATTTTGTGTTTCTTTGTTTTTAAATGAACTTGCCATTCATAAAGGCCATAAAAATCCTAATATAATTATAGCAATAGAAAAGTTTTTGGAGAAAACAGATATATATATATATAATTACTTTTTTACATACTTCACAATTATAAATTTTCCACAACTCTAAAAAGTTTGTGGCCTTCCTCATTTCTAAAAGTTTAAATACATTAAGTTTCTTCAGAAAATCGGCAAAAGGCAACAATAATTCTGCTTCTGAGTTGGTTAGAAACGTGCGAACAATCTCAAAACCAACTTTCAAAAGGTTTTCTCGGGGCAGAGCATCAATAATGTAAAGTAAACATTTCTTGTTACTTTCTTTTAGGGGGCGGACTTCGTCTCTTTTATTTTTAAATATTCCATTCGAGTCATCAAAGTGCATAAGATCACATGCGAATATAAAGCGCCTTAGAAGCCATGAACGTTGTTTTCGAGCGTACCTAAGTGATTCCATTAAGAAATAAATTAGTCTTAGTATTTGATATGTTTTATACATTAGTTACAAAAAATACATAATAAATAATTATAAAGATCAAATCTCGAGTAAATTTGCATTCATTGAATACCTTCTAGTAGCTGCTTTCATACGCTGCAAACAACGATTAAAAAGAAGCGTCTCTACATATATTCGCAAAAAATAATATTTTATGTTAAACAAAAGTAATTAAGTGATACTTCCTAAAGGATCGTCTTCCTGGGTTTCCTCTAAAAACTTACAGAAGCCAATAAACGGACTCATTTCTTTGAAGCCAATACTCTGCAGCGCGCCGCAATTAAACACTAAGCAATTTTTAACAAAAAGGATCAACTCATCCAGGTGAGAAGCGCATGATTTTTCACTGCTGTTCATGTCTTTAAATTTCCTGTAATATTCTTTTAAAGGCAATCCGCTAGTTCCTGAAAAAACCACAAAATTCTTCCATATGAAGAGTAGTTCTTTAACCAATCCCAATTCAAGCATCTTATCAATCCGGTTATTTAATTGGTCGTCTAAGAACGACAAGTTTGTATCCAACCAGATAACGCAGGTGGACGAAAAACGACGCCTGAATGTTTTATATGTGTCACCATTACAGAATTGTTGCGGAAAAAATTTAGAATAAAGTGTTCCTGCGAAAAAGTAGTCAAAGTAATAATGATGCAAAATACTACAAAATTTACCAGTTTCTTTAATAACTTCTAAAGCACGCTGGATTTTGCGAATATTATTGGGGTGTAATTTTTGAGCCATAACAGGGTCAAGCTCTTTCAACTTTTCATATAAAGGTTTATTAGAATTCTCGGGTTCAGTAATATTATTGTTAAAATCATGTGAATAGTCTTGAAAAACTGACTTAAAAAGCACCAATTCGGCGTAGTAACATGTGCCTCCTACCAAAATGGGGAGTTTTCCTTGTAAAAAAGACCAGGAGGGGTAATATAAATAAAGAAACTTGCTAAAGGTCACATATAATGAACTTTATAGATAAATAATCGTATAAATAATAATAGTTACGCCATTTCCATGGTAAATACTAATACAAAATTAATTCTTTGGAGTAAATAAAAAAACTTTAGTTTCGCATATTCTATAATAGCCTTCTTAAACTCTTACCATAATGATAGGCCCAAAAGCAAAGCACATACATTTAATCAGAAATAAAAATTTGTAATAACCTTTCTTGCTAATGTTAATAATGGCTGCAAAAGCATCATTTTTAAAGATGTGTATATTGTAATTTTTCTTTTCCAAAGGAACATACCCAATTAAATGATGGATTATGCCTAGTCTCTCTTGTTCGGAAAGTTTGTTGGTTGTGATAAAAAGGTCTTCATAAACCTTTTTAATATGGCAAAATATAATAAAAAATAATTGTAATGGAGTAGGAGAATTTGTGCAATATTTAATATTCAACTATAAAAACTAACTAATAAATTTAACTTACTTGCATGGAATCACAATTAATTATTTCTCCATTGAACAATAGAGCTATTTCAATGGCAAACTTGGACTTTCCCACACCTGTGGGCCCTAAAGAACCTTAGAAAATAAAAAATTTATTTAAATAAAAAATCTTTACCGAGTATAAAAAGTACAGGGATAGTCTCGATCGAGAAAATATCATCCATAATAAAGTTGTCCAAGCTAAAAAAAACAATAATGAGTTGTCTTTAATAAGAAATAGCTAAAATATAAGTTATTGAAAATACATGAAAAACTGGAAATAAGGATGAAAATATAATAACTTCATAAAATTTAGATAAAACACAAAAACAAAAAGGGAAGCAACAACAACAGCATATAACTTTGGAGAATCTTGTTTGCTTGAGATATCGCAGAAGCAAGCAAATTTTGCTTTATAGGTGCTAAGAATTAAGAATTAAGAAACTTTAGAGTTCTTATAATAACTACATTTACAACTATAAACATTTGTTATTTTATTATAAAGGAACTCCAACAATTTCAAAAATGTCAGAACAAAAAGAATTAATAAAAGATCTGAGCATGGCGTTGGACCGGTTACCCGTCACCTTATTAGTAGCAGCATGACTGACTACTTTAGACTGTTTTTATTTATTTTCAAAATCATATATCATATTTTTCGTTATATATAAACTATTTGGAACACTAATGCCTATCGCTAATATTTTGTAAACTATTGAACTAATATATGTTACTTTTTAAACCTTTATAGTTTATAAGCTACCTATTGAAGTTCACTTATTTTATTCTAGAAACCATGATTATAAAAGTTTTTTATAACAATACTTTAATAACAGTTGAGATAAACTCTGAAAGTACAACTTTTGAAACGCTTCTTTTGGCTTTATCATCATTTTTAAATAATAGTAATGGTAGTAATAATAACATTTTTCAGGAACGTAAGCTTCTGCTGCCAAGTAAAGGATTTTTATTAAATACTGAGACGCAAGTCGTGTCCGAATTTCTTAAAGACAACGAAATGGTTTATGTAATGGATACGAAATTAAATTCAGATAATATTGAAATTAAACAAGAAAGTGGTCTTTTTGAAAATCTTTTAAAAACCTTTGAAAATATTGAAACGTTTGTTTTTCCTAAAAGTTCTAATGATATGGAGACAAGGACCTCCGAAAATTTCGATAACTATTCGTACTGGAAAAGTATAATTATTTATTTTATAATCTTTACTTTTCATGTTTCGTTATTTATATTAGAAAAAATTGACAAAGCTACCACTCACTTGAATAACGCCGATGAATCCCCTTTTAGTTCTGAATCTACTGATTTTGCTAATAAAAATTTAGTATGATTTTAACTACATTATATAAATTTTTATAACTTCGTGTTGTAATTATAAAGTCAGGGCTTGGTCTTTTTCGTTCCTTAATTAAAACCTTTTTAGCTTTTTCTAAAGATTTGCAGCCTAACACAGAACAAGGTAACTAAGTTTAATTGCTTTTAACTACTACCCCTCTAATACAAATAATTTTTAATTAATATTTTCTTTATTATAGAAACAAGCTCGGATGAAAGTGATGAAGAAGTTGATGAAAGTTTTGATCCCTTTTCTGATATTGACGAAGTTTGGTTATATAATAAAAGCTTTTTAACGTTACTACCTATTCCTTTTGTTCCTATTTTAGATAAGATAATTATGGTAATATATTTTTTTATAACTGTGCGTTGTTTACTTTCAGTTTTACTCAATGAATGAAAGTTATAATTATTTTGTTGTGGAAGTAAAAACTACCTTCTCTTTATAAGTTCCTTACATTATTTTTTACTTTCTATTTTAAATCACTTATTATTGGGGAAAGTCTTTTTAAATTTATGAGCAGTTTTTTACTTATTTTATACTCCATATGATTAAAATTTGTTAACGTTATGCAATATTATTAGTTATCAAGAAATTTGATTACCCCCTACTATTTTTTTTAAAGATCTCTCTATTGTTAGTAATAAAATTAATTTTTTTAAAAAGAAATTTTATATAACTGTAGATAATTTATGACTCGTATAAAATGTTTATATTATCAATTGTGCATATACCGAAGGGGTCTCTTCTTCAGCTTAAAGAAATGGGCTTTTCAGTTGAGAGCGCAAAGAAGGCTTTAATATTAAACAGGTTTATTTATTAGATACAGATACCTATTAAGGATATTATAATAACAGAAATCCTTTTGCTTTTTTTATCGAAAATTTATTATAGATGGTATTTCGTGTAAAGTGTTTAACTTTTTATAGCACGTTTCCCATATAACTTTTTTTCTTACTCAGGAGTATTATTCTTCTAATGATTAATTTTTCTATAGGTAATTAGTATAATCTAAACATTTCTCACGGTATATATATATGAAAATTATTTATTCCGTTTAATTTTTTATTTACATTTTTTTTACGGTAGAAATACTTACTATAAATATCTGTATTAAAGGAAACTTTGTGCGTTCTGGTTGTTATTAATGTAATAAAGTTATCCGCAATTAATAGTTTATGTATTTTTTAAAGTCGATGGCAAATAAAATGTAAATGTTTCGGGAAATTGTGTTTATTTATATCTAAAAAAAATCTTATTTATAATCTCATTAACAATATTTATATTTTTATTAGATGTTCTCCAACTCTTGCATGCGAGTGGCTCCTGAAACAAAGCGAGGAAAGTTTAAGCGAACCACTGACTTCAACTCAACTCAAGTATATAAAAAGACAGCGCGAAAGGGATAAATCTTTTCATATCGATGAAAACGTATATTTTATAAATGTATAACAACAACAAAAATATAATAATAATAGTAATAATAGAGATTGCTTCGTTAATGTCTTAAATTATCGTATCTTTTTTATGCACAATTATGCTTGCTCACTTATTATTTATCAACATTATTATATTACTATTACTTTTATTTTTAAGTTCACAGTTATTAATTATATTTAATAAATATAAGGCGCGCTGTTTATTAGTGGCCATGGGCTTTAGCCCCGCTGATGTCCGTACTTCTTTACTTTTATTTAATAATGATCAACAAGCCGCTTGTGATTGGTTGCTTGGATACAAGCCTCATCCCTTATTGGAAGATGATTTGGAAGTGATTTTTATATATTATTTTATATACGCTCATTAAATATTATATTAGTCATTATATTTTATAATTATCCGTTACTTACCTATATTTTAAATCTTCAGCTGCTTTAATGTTTTTTTTTCCGTTGATATGTTGTAAATAGTTAACGAATATTGCTATTTATTACAAAGGAAGTCGATGCACTGGACGTTGATCACCCGCTTGTCCGCTCAATGTTTGAGGATCAAATTATTAAACGAGCCCTGTCCAACCCCAACGTTTACTCTGGTACGTTGATTATACAATATATATTATATTATAAGCGTCACTATTATTATTACTAATAGCATTGAAAAAAGTGCAAGGAAAACAAAAAATGCTTGACTTTCTAGTTAATCAAGACGCGGCACCTGTTTTGCTTCAATTGATTAAACTATTAAGTGATTCAGGAAGTTGATAGCGTTTATATATATTTTTTTATAATATTTATTTACATTTTTCGGTTTGACTGGTCCAAATAAATCATTGATACGTTTACCTTTTTATATTTTTCTATTTTTATGCTTAATTAATAATAACTATAATTAATAAAGAATGTAAACGAAATCTGCCTAGTATTTTCTTAAAGCAAAGGCTTTATATTATAGAAGGAATACTTTTTCACAGTGGGGACTCACGCACACACTCGTTTTTGTACAGCTGAAAAGCTAACGAAATTAAATTTATGTTAAGCTGAGACTTCTTTATAGAGCCTGTAGCATATGCGACCTGTTAACACCACTCACCTCGTGGAGGTTCTACGCTACTTGTGTTATCTTTTGGTTTTGGCGAAGACGATTGCTTGGTCTTCGGTTTGTTGTATCCAAAAACGAGCAATTCCACTTTATAGCACTCCTTTTTCCAATGAAACAAACCAGAAATTATTCTTTGATACTCTGATGTGGAACAAACACTATAGTCGAGCTGTCTCATTTTAACCGGATGCAAGACTTAAAAGTCAAATCACTTAGGCAAATATGCAACTCTATTTTTTTTTTGGATGAAGAAAAAGAGCGATCAATTTATTGTCTCGTAGGGGGAGGGGTTTTATACCTCAGGAAAGCAATACGGAATGTAAAACAGGAATAAAACACGTTCGATGACACAGTCACTTGACACGTGCGTATGCATCACGTGTTGTAGACACATGACTTATCAGTGTTAATTCCAACATTTTCCAGATACAAATTTACTAGAATTAGCATAAAAATGTACAAAAAGCTAAAAATTATGTTGCTTACTACTTTTACGATAATTTTTTATTAAACTTTATATAGTTTTATATTTTTCTGCAATGATGTTAATGACAAGCTCCTTAAATTCCTCGTACTTTTGAAATATTTTTTCTGCTTCGGCTTCTTCTTGCTAAACAAAACAATGAGGAATAAAAAAGCGGTATTAAAAATATTATGATGCCTGGTTTAGGTTCTCCAATCGTTCCTTTAAAAGCCTGATTGGCCACGCACTGTACTGAGCCTGTCATCACGTGGAAAGTCGTGTGTAGACAACGTCAATATTCATTCTAACCACTTTTGCTTCCACGAGTTCCTTTTGCATCTCTTCGTCGATCGGGGAGCATTCATGCAAGCGGCACGAAGGCAGCTCTCTCACTTAAAAAAATTGCATTTAATTTGTCTATAATTTCTTTTTAATCAAATTAAACGATGAAGCTTTCCCTAGCAAGTGTTTCACAACAAATAAACTTGAACTTCTTGTAAAATTTTTATTAGTCTAAGTTACTTCGTTGTAAACTAAAGAGGAGACAGTTACAACGAACATCATTAAAAAACTACTGTAGCCAAAAGTTATAAAAGTTAGCACATCTAAAATATTACTAAGCAGGTAGTACAGGAAATAAGTATATTAAATAAATATCAAAGTAACTATATATTTAAAGTCAATCATGCCAGTACAATTTATTAGCACCCTAAATTATTTTAATAGAAGTGTTAAGGAAACTATTGTGGAGCGCAATTGGTATAAAGCAAGCAAACTATATACTACTTGATCGGGTCAGCGGAAGACTACTTTCACCTAAAGCGGGGCCCGCGATTTCCGTTGAGCTGGCCAGCATGACTAGATATATCAAAATATTATTACTTGATACTAGAAAATACTAAATTATTGTGGTTCACTAGAAGTTGGCCAAAGCATAGATATTAGAAACTATGGGCCCATCATAACCGCTAGCATGAGCTTTCTAAGGCAAATTATATTATTTTTAAAACCCATTGGCTTCCATATAGAGAAGCACTTTAACTCTATATATACTGTAAGATGAACCAGAAAGTGTAACAAGATTAATATTTGTATGAATTGCAAGCATAGGCAGCAGATAATTATTTTCTTAAAAACTGTTAAAAGATAAACCAATAAACATAATATTAGACTGTAAAAATTAAAATTAAACCAAATAAACGGATCCTATTTGCTCTTTATTTTTAATTTAATTTAAATTTAATAGATTCACAAATAAACTTTTCTTATTATAATAAAAATTTCTAATTTATAATTATAAGTAATATAAAAGTTTACTTTTAAGTATATCTAAATTATTTTAAAGAGTTAAAAAAAATCTGATAAAAGATTAGCGTTTAATAAGTCGTCAAGTAAAAATAATACAATGGAAAGTTAACAGTTTTGTAATAATAAGCAACATAGAAAACTTTTACAGTTGTAAAAATTAATGAATAGTTATTTTTTAAGTGTAAAAGGGGACTTGTCTTTAGCCAAGAGCTTCGTTCTTCAACGTTGTCCGCTCCAATAAGATGTACTTTTTTGCTTTCAATATTTTTAATTTTAAAGGCATAAATAGTCTTCGATTTTACCTAAAAATAGAAAAAAAAAGACTAGTAAAAACAATCTAAAAATTAAGTAAAAAAACCATTTTCAAGCAGTAAACTATTTGAAAGCCAAAGTAAAATTAACTTAAAGTTTATACAGAAAAGTATTTTTAAAGAAACAACTTGATTACATAAATTGTCTAGACTAAGACAACAATAACGATTAATATTCCGCTAAGATAGTTAAACTAAAAGTAATAAGGGAGATATAATATTAATAGTTTTAATACGAACGACTACGTATAAAACCTATTATTAATAAGTAGAATATAAATGTATATTCTAATAATTTTTTGATTAGTTGTTTTAAGTATATAAATCTCTGGGAGTTTCTTGATAAAGATATTCCAAATACGTGTATTAGTTGAGTGAAACAATAATTTACCTTAGCATTTTCGGCTGATAAAAGTTTAATTTTATCCAAACGTATTTCTCTGCTTATCGGCTAAAAAATGCTTTAAAAATATTACGAGCGTACAAAAAACATTAAAAACTTCTTTTTCCTTTGACTTAGGATTAAGTTTGCTGTATACCAATATAGGCGGCCCTAATAAGAATTAATTTCAATAATTACTCAAACTAAAAACTCTATATGAATTTTGAAAACTACTTATTAAAGGAAATTCAACATAAGAAGAGCAATTTAATTTATCACCTCCGTTATTACAAGTTTTATCTTTTAATATAAACAGGCGCCCTTGCCAACCGCTTATACTTCCTCGTTTATATAAAACTCCAGCTTTCGTGAACTTTTCGACATTCTCGCTCATGAGTATTAATACTAGCTCCTTCAAGTAAGGAGAAAAAATCAAATTTATAGTTATAAGCTACTTTAGTAAAAAGATTTTATAACTCGTTTGGTAAACGTCGTGCCAATAACAAGCTTCTATGATAAGAGCGATATCTTCCGTATGCGAGTTAGTTAGGCGAACACGTTAAGTGGCAGTCAGAGAAAAAAATTGTAAATCATCGAACGACAATTGGAGAGAAGAGCAACCGATGTTTTAAAATGCAGTGACTTACAACGCAGTCTGCAATAAGACTAAAGATACCTCAACGCACGCAAAGCGATAAGTTGTAGTATTTAGCGTCTCAGATTTTCTATTAATACGTAAACACTCCAAGTAAAACATTAAGAGTTTCTACTAATAAGGCACACACTAACCCTGCGGGGCTTGTGCCATATTACAAAAAGTTATACAATGAACTAGCTGCAATTCGATTGTTTAAATCTTGAGGTAGTTGGGAAGATAGCAATCTATTCCATGCAATAGCGTTAAATTATAAACCGTCATAAGCTCTTTAAAGATTAACCCTTTGTAGGTTACCGGTTACTATGTTTACCACTTGTCGCTAGTTTCAATTTTTAAGAGTAGGTCTACGAAAATTGACCTAAACGACAGGCTTGGTCTCTGAAACAATCTTTGGTAAGTTTGAGTACCACTTTCTAACAAATTAGGCAGTAACCAAAAAAACAAAAAAAGTGGTAAATTTAGTTACTAGTGGACTTAAAACAAATCTATCTTAAGCCCTAGAGTTTTGCCCGTCGAAGGGTTAATGCTAAAAAATTATACCCATTTTTTTGTTAATAAAGTACCAATGTGACCGTCACGTGACTATATACAATTAAAATACCAAAAACATTTTTGACAAGTCAATTGAAGTATACGAATTATGGGATTTGGCTTTGCCGTTTGTTTTACTGTTAAATTGCACAGCGTCCACAGGGATCCTCTTTAACTTAAAAGGTTTTTTTAACTAAATTCTAGGTATAATATTAAATTATTAATAAGATAGCACCTTGTTTCTTAACGTAAAATAACATTTCCCCTCTTTTTATTTATATTAATACAATAAGAAGTTCATTTGTAAAACAAGTATTAATAATAATTCAGTTTGGGTGAGTACCATTTACAGTTAATATTTTTATGTATTGGTTTAATGTCATTTTATAATAAATTAAAAAAAAGGTAACTACTTCCGTAAAAGTTTTGGTCGTGTTGTGTAAAGAACAGACGTTATATATGTAGATTAAAGATGATCGCAAAGTACAGTGTCCTATAAACTTAAATAGCCCTGCGCCGTCAATATAGCGACCTTCGAAAAGTTTAAATAATTTTTTAATATGGAGCTTTAAAAGTTTTTTGACTCTTCCTAGCTTCTTGTGCCCTAGTAACCGTCTTAATTGTTAGAGTGCAGTTGTATTTCTTGCAAGGTCAATTCTTGAAAAGTCAGTTTATGATAAGTAATTACTGATCTCTAACATAGGAATAGACGTTTTATCTATAATCCTTAAAACCCCAGAGACTCAAATACTTTTAAGAGGGGGGGGTGTACACGAGAATGTGACTTTTCTTTTTTAAATAGGACGGAAGGTCAAGATTAATTAATATACAAATTATCTAAACTTTTATTTAAACTTATTTAAACGAAAAAGCAACAATTATAAAGAAACCATAACATGTTTATGTTATGAAAACATACGTGGAGCTAATTTTTTATATAAGGCAGAACTTTTATGTTAGCAAAATATAAAATAATTGTTTAAACTCCTTTCTAACAAAAGCTTTCATTAAAAATCTCCCGTTAATAAGATCGTAAACAACATACATAAGTAAAATTCAGACGAGAATTAAAGCCAGCTTTGCTTGTAAATAGTAGCTCATTTGTTTTCCTAAGTCAGTAATCCCAAGGAACGGAGCGGAGAGAAGTTAAGGATATCTCGATGTGCCAAGTCTAGACAGGGGGATCGGTAATAGACGGATTGCCCGACCCACCATCCCTAGTACGTCTTTTCGCACGTTTCGTATGGTGTGTATTATACGCCTCGGCTTTATAAAAAATAGCTCTTTTTCTTAACGTGAAAGAGTGAGGACTGGCGTAGCTAGTTCTTCTTCTTTTAAGCTTACTTGATTTAATGCTGCCGCCTTTAAAGATGTCTCTTCGTGTATCAGTATTTTTGGGGCTATGCTTACTAGAGTCTTCCCTTTCATGATTTCGGCTTCGGTTAGCTACATTATAGTGGTGCTTAGAAGGAAAATGTTGTTCGCTATCACCACCTGGGCTATTACTATAGGAATTGTATTTGCGAGGGGGGCTGCCGCTAATATAGTCATCTCGACGAGTTCCGCTATTAAATAACGTGGTACCACTGCTAGTAACGGGGGCAGAGGAACTATTAGCCGGGCTGTTATGAAGTCTGTTGGTAAACCCGTGTGGTGTATAGCTATTAGTTGAATCAATATTGTCAATTCTGCGGCGTTGTTCACAATAATTGTTGGTAGTTTCCTTAAGGTTAATATCCTCCAACGCACTGGCTCCCAAACTTTCTTTAATACCTGTGTAGTGTAATATATTCATACATAGTGGAAATACACTGCATGTACTTACCTGATGCTGAAGAAGTCTTAGAAAAATAAGATTCATCTACGCGAATGAGCTGCTTTTTTCCGGCGCAGTCGTCTATATACGCCTAACAAAAATCAAATACAATATAAAAAAACACTTTGCGTTCATAATTCTTTATATACCTTCCAATGAACATTGCGAACAAGGGATTCAATCCGGCCAATAAGAATCAATTTAAACTTTGCTCGAGTCAACGCGACGTTCATTCTACGCAGATCCGCCAGAAAGCCAACTCCGCCCTCGTTTAAACACAGTTGACGTGTTTAGCAGTTCAAAGTGTATCAGAAAGTCCACGTACTACAGGGGAAGCTCGGACACACGAAAAAATAACTATGTCCTTTTCTTTGCCCTTTTACAATATTAATATAAGTTGGAATAAATATAGTAAGTAACCAGAAACCTGGAAGCTATCAACTGTTCCAATATCGATAGTTTCTATAATTTCCTGCCCGAAATTACGCACAAAAGCAGAGCGCAGCTGATCCTTTTGTGATTTATACGGTGTTATAAGTCCTTAAAAATAATAATAGATAAGTAATAATGAACAATGGTAATTAGAGTAGAAGAAAAGACGACCTATTTTCCCACTAAAGTCAATATCCGGATAAGTCGTACGCAAGTACATAAAAGTCTGAACACAAAAAGCAACTTCCGATTTATTGTAAAGGGAAGTGTGTCCTCTTTGCTCTTTTCCTAAAAGGCAAGGAAAGTAGTAATAAAATATTAATGAGCGCTTAAACAAAGATAAGAGAGCAGGTGAACACCGGAATCCATATCAAAAAAAGTGACTGCGGATCCCGAAAACTTTCTATCGTGTTTATAAGATTTATTGTATAATGAAGAGCATACATTTTCCCCGTCTTCCAACTCATTCTAGTATTCGTAAAAGCAGTTATACTTATGATGTGAACACTGACGCACCTTGTAAAAGTAAAAACGGGGAAACTGGCTGATGTCTGGGTGCATCCGGTATTGCACATTTAGTTTTTCTATAGAAAACACCGAACCGTTCCTTTCCTACGTAAGTCGGGCCGTATTACTTATAATATTTGTATAATCTGTAGTATTATTACTTGCGCTTCATAATAAAGAGTGAATCTAGCAAATAAACTTTGCTCATATTTATAAAGTTTTGCAGTTTGTGAAGTAACGACAGCAGGCAACTGGTTGGCATCTCTTTCATAATATAAGGCAACCGACATTCAACGTTAATATTTCTTACAAACGCACCCCACGAGAATGATCTTGTTACTGGAGTACTTTAAAGGGATAAGCGTCTCTAATTCGACACCTGTCAACCAATAGTTAGCCAAGCAAATATACTAACCATAGCAGAAATATTTCTAAAGTTACAATACATAATAACAATTCATTTTTTAAAAGTAAAAATAAACACATCAACAAACATTGAGCTGCTTCGTCAATAATAATGCAATCGAAGTGGGGCGCCACGCGCTGAAGAAAGCTGCTTCCGGAGCCTGCGCTCCAGCATCACCCCAAATAACAATTAAATAAGCAGGGAAAATAAAGGGTACCCGAAAGTGTGCACGCCACAATATCCGCATCCAGAATAAAATCATTTCGGGTTTTTTCAATGTTGAGATTCTGTTTTCGAAGGGTCAGCTCTTTATGTTTCTTGTACTCCGCTAACTGTTGGTGCAGCCTGTAAAGATATTATTTTATACGAAACGACGTACAAAATTCCTGTGCAAGTAAGAACCTCTTCCTTTCTAATAATAGTTCTTTTTTACTGTTTAAAAGTGTTTGAAATTTTTCTTCCATTTCAGCCATACAAAAAGAATCTTTCAAGGAGTCTCTGAATTCATGAAGAGCATTTATAAGTATAATATAATCTATTACATAAAATACTTTGAATAAAAAGAATTAATATCCATTTGAATTTTGTCAATATGCCGGTTCAGACTGTGTAAACGATCCTGAACTTCATAAACTTTTTTGCGTGATTGCTAAAGTAGAGGAACTCTAAACAGAGAAAAACGCTAATATGAAAGTATATAACTAGAACCTTCAGTTCTTCCATGGCTTTTTTCCCGTGGACTACTTTACGCATCTTTCATAGATATAAAAAAAGATTTTAGTAAGATCCAAAGGTACAAAAGGAGAAGGAACAACCAAACTCGACAAACACAAGTCTTCCACTAATGGATGAACTTTCTCGCCACTCCCCACACGGACCATCACCGGAATATAAAGAGTGGATTCCTGCGGAGTCAAGACGCCCCACCTCAAGCGTAGTAACAACTCATCAACAGCAGAATTCGACGGAGCGCAAAGAAGTACTGAAAAAGATAACTGTCGTCAAGATAATTATTAAAAATATTATAAAAAAAACTTCGAGAGTTTGTGTTTTTCTTCGGAAAAGATGGCGAAACTTTGGTGGCCAAAAAAGCACTAATAATACCCAGGATAGTTCGGGTCTTTCCGGTGCCAGGAGGGCCCTCAAGAATTAAAGTTCTAGTAATAAACTATGCAACACAACAATATAGTTTTCTGTACAGCAACCTGTATAAGAGTAAATCCTTCGTGACTCACAGAAGAGCGGATTGCGTTCAGCTGAGAGGCGTTGAAGCTATTTAATTATAAACATTAGCAAGTCAATGTAACAAAGTTAATGAGATGAACTTCTTAATGAGATGATCCATTTTCACTGGAGCAGAAGTTGCCCTACCAATAGTAGGAGAGAGAATAAGTTTCAGAGTCGGATAATGCTCTACCAACCAGTAAAATAAACAGCAGTCATAACAAGACCGTAAGAATAAAGTTACCTAAGCCAATAAGAGACTGATATTGGCGATAAAAGGGCTTGAAGTTGGTAATCTTCACCAGTGCGTATTTCGATTGGATACAGATTTCCTTCTCAAAGCGTAGAAGGTGCCGAGAAGCTGTATACAAACCAAGCAATAATCATTAACATAAGGCATAGGCAGCACGTTTATACATCGAAAGCAGAATTGAGACTGGAAAAACTCCTTTCCTGCCTGTCTGCTTTTTAGTGATATCATACCTGCCGCGTGGTAAAGAAAGGAAATCATCAAAGTAAAGCATTTAATTATACTTAAGGCGCCCGGAAGTTTCTCCAGAGCAGAAGCGCTATCGAGCTCTTTAGCGGGAATGCAGAGAACGATATCGTTTTCCTCAAACACGCGAAATGCCTTCTCAGCGCAGATCCACGAGATGAAGTGGAAATCTCCGACCCGTTTTACCTCTGTTATGCATGAGTCGCGTAGGTCGGCTTTGTTTTCTCAACAAATGGTAATATATATATTTAACCCTGAACAGAACAAATATACTTTGATAATTCGCTGCTAAGATCGATCCCTTCAAGGGCGGCGGCAATAGCGTGCCGAGCTTCAACCTTGCAGAATTTATTTTACTACTCTCATATGAGTACCACACAATAATTAGAGTGCACCAAGAGCAAAGGCTCAAATGTCTCTTTGTACTCCTGAAAAGTCTCAAACGTATTAGGAATACCAGCAAGTGATAGTCCTGCAATTGAATAATAAAATATAGTTGTCTAATAGAAGCCTTATAAGTCACTATAAAAGTAACAATAGAAACAATAATATATATATTTAAAAGTAATATTGTAGGAAAAGTATAAATGAAAAGGCCGGAAAAAATACGAAATTATTCTACAGCGTTAAAGCAGACCTTCTAAGCCGCTAGACGTATCATCATTTAGATCTTCACATAAATTCCAGGAAAGAACTACCAATAAAAGTAAAAAAACACAATAAAGTAAAAACAACAAGTAACCGACCTTTTTTGTGCATTTCATTTATGGAGGGCGCAACTCTTTCCTTCAGCATTTCCTATCGTTTATACAATCAGGATAATAAATACATATGAAGTCAACTTCGTACTTCCAGTGACTTTTCCTTCGGTTGTTTGGAAGAAGGAGCAGGCAGCCTCAACAGAGTTATCGCCTATCATCCAAAGCATATGCTTAACAATGCAAGCAAAAGGGAAAAGGTTTCCTTAAATAACTACTTTTCTGCGTTTTTTGGGGGCTTCCGAGAGATTAATATTAATAGAATACTTTTCTTCATCCACATCAATTACATCCACTTCTACCGTTTCAGTAAAAGTAGTAATTATGATGGGTTAACGAGTTGAATAAAACGTAAATACCAAGAGGCTTCCGAGAGGGGTTGTAGTTTTTGGTCAGAAGCTGAGTGATCTGCACACGCTTAGCAAATTCCAACTTTGCTATACAAGCAAATGCATTAACACGCTCGCACGACGAACATTGAGAGGCTAAAAAAACCTTGACATTTTCTAGCATTCTCGCTGCTAACGGTACTCCCTTTACAACCTAAAAACAATCTCTTGAATTTTTCTTTCAAAGTTCTATCAACGCCGGGGTAGCTCAACAGTTTTTCTACCTCGTCTTTAACCTTTTTTATAAAACCTAAGTCACTCTCTAATAGTAAAATCTCTGCTGCTTTTGATAAGAAACCGCTAAGTCCAGTTCATAACAGGAATCGTCGAGAAGACGAAGAATCCGGAACATGAATTTGTAGGAAATTTGCTGAGGCGACCTAACCCAGCTACAGAAGTATATTATATAAAAAATCAATACAGCGGCAAATGAGAACCCGCTGCATGTAAAGAGACGAAAGTATGGAAGCAAAACGCACTAGCACCTACTTGGCAATATAACGAGGAAGCCAGCGGCCGTGGAAGCGAAGTATGGAACTAGTGGGCGGTTCAAACACTTGAACAGTGAGGTCAAGAAGAAAAGTGTCAAAGCTGTAAAAGCAGATTATAAATACTTATAGATAAGAATAATACACGAGAACGAGAACGAACTTTTTAGGAGATAAGCTGGTAAAAAATTTATGCAGAACTTCAAGAGCACAATATCGAAACTCTTCATCGTGAGAAATAATGCAACAAAGAAGAGAAAGCTGAGGGAAAAAACACTATAGCGTAAATAATAGGATTGGAAAACATTAAAAACCTTCAGCTCCAGAGATTCTCCGATAATCAATAACAGATTTTTATAAGGAAGTTTCAGTAATAACCGCATAAAGTTTTTCATGTAACCTACTGCAGGTAAACATAGCACAATAATTATTACTGTTTAGAAAACACGGAAATAAACTTACAATAAACATAAAGAGCTTCGGTTTCAGAAAAAAGCAAGTCGTCTATGTCAATAATTCCAATGCTAAAAAGAGTTTTTATATAATGAACTGCATCTCAAAAAAATAAATAAAAAGCACCTAGTGTAAGAATGAAGGAGAAACTTCCATAACCGAAGAGGTGCCTAATATACGACAATAGAAAGAATTTAGATGAGCATGCTTCTAGTTACTACATAGTTGCTTTCGAGTTTCAATAATTTATTATTATTTTAAAAAATAAAATAAAAACTCTTTTTGGTTTTTCAATATTTACTAAGTTTCAAACGCTTATCATAGTAGATTTAAATAAAAAATACACAACATTATAAACGTTTTCTGAAGAAAAGATGGTGTTCCAAAGAAGAATATTCCACGTCTCATTGCATGAGTTTTTAGTTACTTTGCTCAAATCTTTTGATAGCAAAAGCACCACCACATCCACAGCGCAGGCAGATAATTCATCTGGCAAAGGGGAGAAAGTGTTACAAAAAAGCAAAGCAGTCCAAATTCATCATAAGAGTACCTAAATACATACACTTAACAAGAGACTGGGAAAATACATAACTAAGATCGGCCAAGCAAAATTCTAGATCCTGATAGGAGCATTTGAGAGAGGCGATAGGCCAAACAGAATTGTCGTAAAAACATACTCCCAGCGAGGCCGCGGAAACCGTATTCGCCAGACATTTTAATGCTGCCTGACGAACAACCATTGGGAGAGCGTTATCATCGCTGAGGTTTACCAAGCAGGTAAAAACTTGCAGCAGAAGATCCTGTGCGTTGTCATCTATTATTTATATAATATAATCAAAGTATTCGCACCTGAACGTATTTGCCGTCTGAAGGGTCAACGGACGCAATAAAATCCGTCATCCATGCAAGCACATGGTCTAACGGGACAATAGCGAACTTTTTTGGAGCGGTTTTGGCTAGCAAGGGAAGCCTCGATACGCCCAGGGAAGGTTCGTTTTCTTCCTCACTGGAAGTGCTCTCTATGGATTAAAGTTTCCTTTTGCATCCGAATCGCAAGGCAAGTGTTATAATAATACCGAGAGGGTCATAATTGGAGAGACTCAGGGAGGATACTTGACTAGTAGCTACATCCTTATGCGTCGTAATGCTCTCTGCTTCCGCCCCCATTTTTATCAATAACTGCCTGTGACACTTATTCAAGGATAAGGAACGCAAGGGAGCATGTGTATAATACTTAAAGGCTGGGCCGCAAGTTATGCCTCGTAATAGCTGGAGAGCGTTACAAGTAGGAAGGTAGGCCCAAAATTGCTTTTGGAGCTGCTTCAGCAAATAACTGAAGAGCAAAAGTAGCTAAGGGAACACAAATAACTCCTCAACCAGTTGTCCCCTAAGAGCGGTTGTTGTGCGTTACCGGCCATAAGAAGTCTTCAGGAGAAATGAGGGCGGCCACGAGATGTTCAAGCACACATATAAAGTTCGATGAAAACTCGTCACTCAGCAATGCAGTTTTACTCAAAGACTTGGTTAACCTAATTCTTATAAACAAATCTTATATGCGATATTGAAGATGGGTCAATACCGATATATTCCCAGCCAAAAAGGTCTTTTATGCGGCGTAATGAGCGAGACACTATTTGCTTTTCCAGTAGAAGAGCGGGAATCAAGAAGCGGCTATGGATTATAATACTAATAATAAAGTATTTAAGTAAGTAATATTACATACAAACTTTATAAAATTCGTTGAAAACTTCAATGACTTTCGGTAAATAATTTTTATCAACTTGGGGCACCTGATTTAGAGTTGAGGATGCCTAAAGAAAACTGTAAGTAAAAGTGTTTCAAAAAATAAATTAATGTCACCTACTTAAACATAGTTAATCAATATTTTTTATTATTTCAAAAAATATTCTATTGTATACAAACAAAAGTAACAAAAATAAAAGCTTGAAAGTGCATACCCAACTTCTAACGGAAAGATCAGCATGAATGAGGCATAAAAACAATCCAGTGAAGGGACTTCCAACGTTGAGAAGTGTATCTTATAAAAATAAATAGATAATTATACAAATGACAAATTAAGAATACCTTCACGGCTCAGAAGCTGCACTGCTTTTACAAAAAGTTCGTTAAGGTGCCTATCTTCTAAAATTTTGGGTTTCTAAAAAAAAAATTAGATGCTCGAAAAAAGGGTACTATGTAGTGATAACATAAGATACCGAATTCTAATAAACTTTTTATATATACCGTTCACATAATAAATAATTGTAATAAAATAAAATATTATAAAAAGGTCAAAAACCATTAAAACTTCAAAAAAAGGAGTTTTTAAAGAAACAATCTTCTCCGCAAAGGGTTCAATATTTAAGTACTTCAAGCAAGTAAAGTTTATTAATAATTCAATTTTTTTTTAAAATATTAAGTAAATAATAAAAATACATAATCAAAAGCTTTGCAGAGTCGACTTTGGGTTTTTTGTAAAATCAAAGTTACAAATTTGTGTAAGGCTAAACCAGAGTACTCAAGTTTGTACAGATCCTTGAACATGATAATAAACTTCATAAAACTACTAAATAAGTTAAATAAAAAGAGTGAACGCACAATAGAGCCCAGGAAGGCTTGGACACAAAGAATGCAAATGCACAAACAGTGGTTCATTTTCCTTTCAAACTCCAGAATTAAATTTTTATTTAACACATGTTCAGGGATTGTAAACAGTATAAGAAGCCTAAAAAAATAGATATCATATTAATTTATACATACCATTTACAAAGTTAATAAGGCACCTTTGCATAATATAGTAGTAGGCACACCAGAGATGCTCTTCTTCAGAAGTTATTATTGCGTCAAACGCAATATTTAGCCATTTAGCTTCCCAAAGCTTATCATCTTTTTTCTCCCTAGAAGTTTTTCTGTTCGCATTCTACTAAAATTTATCAAAATATAAAGTATACCAAATATAATCATTATTAAAAAGAGTCCGGCTCTTATCTTCCAAGTCCTATAATTAAAATAAAATTTTGTAAATTAAGTTCACTTACGATATTAACATGTTAAAAGTAAGAAGATAAGTAACATCAAGAAAAAAAAAAAAAGTAACTCTAGTAAGGGGCAGTGGCAAAGTAAAAAAAATCTAACCACTAAAAAAGTTGAACATTAAGAGCACTCAGATTTATTACAGAAAAAGTTAGAATACAGATAATATATATAAAGAGAGGAAGCATCAGAAAATGAATTCAAGCAGCACTCCCCTTAAGGGTAAAACTTTCTGGCATTATCTTCAGACATGATAAGCACGAGCTCAACATTACAAAGCAGAGGGACACTAAATACAACTTACCGGCTGTAGACATCGCCCAGCCAATCATTTGGTATCATGGTATCATGTAGTCTTAAACTAAACTCGTGAAAATAAAACCAACAACCTCTTAATAATTACTTAGAAAGACCTGAGTTTTTCAACAGATGAAGTAATGCGTTAACGAAGTACGCATTTATCTTCTTTTGCTTAATTTGACCCTTAAAAAGATTTTTAAAAAATAAAGACATTTTCAACTCTTAATAAATGTGTTTTTAAAGTAGGAAACTCCATTTGAGGGATAACTTTAGCTTTACTACACATTCTTAGGTTTTCATACCATTAGTAATATATACAATAAATTCTTATAATAATAAAAGTACCGTTTCTAGACATATCGAACAACATGACAGAAAAATCAACATATTGAGCTTAAATGCTTTAAGGTGCAAAATGTAATAATTAACATAGGCTTAAAATTAACTAATTTGATTTGACATTAATTATTTAATAATTTAAAAGATACACTTTATTGCCTGTTTAATTTATCCTGTCCTTTAAAAAATACGAGCGTTTGCTACCTGGGCTACGTCGTCCCAGGGAGCGCTGTGGCTAGTACGAGATAATGCAAGTGGAGAAGAGAAGGAGCGATAAGTTTATCGTCCTGCAGAAAAGGGTGTTTACACCTTCAGGGGGGTAATACAAAAAAATGCAATCCAAGAAAGGACCCTTGTTAGAGCAACGTGTTAAGGGCATGGGATATATAACACAGTTTAATATATGCCACCTCAATCTTCAAACAGCTAAGCAAACGCGCTAACAGACATGAAAGCTCACTTACAAGCATGAGACGGCCCCACGCTGCCTTTTGCGTGGTACATTTGCAGTTTTTGTTATAGCAAGTATAAAATTTAGAGAGTTAAATTAAAAACTAAAAAAATATCTGATAAGAAACTAACTTTAATTTAAACTAATAAAAAACTCAGGCCCTAAAAATACCATTAATAAATAGTATTAAGTAAAGTAAAGTATTTTTTTTTTATCTGCATCCTGCATTTCTGTCTCCAACTACTCGTTAGGTGGCCCGCTCATGCTTATCTCTGGTATACAAGTTAGCACAGACTAGAGAAGGAAAAGAAAATTGGGTTTACAGCTTTTTTCAATGACCTTATATTACACGTCAACATATAAAAAGTTTTAGCGTTACTGGACATTAATAAACTTTTAAATTAGCGCTTTCAAACCTGTGGGCCTCTATAACGGACTATTCGCGCCCAAGGGGGCTTCCCATTATGAAATTGCAGTCAATCTCAACAAGCGCGCGACTTTAATATATAGGAACTTTGATATTGGAAGGATTAATGCAAACTTCAACTAAAAAATAATTTGGTATATTACTGAAGTTACTTACGTTGATGCTTAACATTGTTTGTCTGGGGCGTAACTCGACCTGTTACACTTGACTTCGTAATTCATACATTTAAATTAACGCTGTGGGCGGTCAATGACTAAATATATACCTTCTCCATTGTAGACCGACATAAAAAACCTTTAAAAATCTGTGGGTTTATAGGTACAATATTTAAGTTGTTTCAAAATCTATAAAACATCATATTTTAACATTTTTATTTTCCTCCTGCTTAAATATAGTTTGCTTCGCACTATTTAAAAATAAATTGTGCTGTTTACCAAGTCCGGGCAAAAATGCTATTACAGCTCTTAAGTTACCTAATTATGAATTTGCTATAACTTTAAAGCTGTAAAATCAAACTTTAGTTACTACTCCTAGATGAAAAGTTATATCCGTTAAATATTTGTTTCTTTCCTTCTCGTTTCCTTTGTTTTTATTGTCAAATTGACCCCGATGACTTAAAATCACCAGCCAGTCTTATCTAGTTGTAAGGTGTTTATTGTTGTTTAGGGTTCCGTGAAGATAATAAAGCGAGAAAAAAATTACAATTGAAAAGATAAATGAATAATAAAAGATAAAATAGGTTATTAAAAACAACTTATTAACAACGCGATAATAATATACAAATAAGATAAGGAATTAGCCATTAAAACCGAGAAAGAAACGTAGAAAACAAGTGTTAAAACCAGAACCAAGATCATATAATAGAGACGCAAGACGCGCTCCACTAAAAAAAAAAAGAATATAAGAGTCAAGAAGCTCTCTACCGGGTGCAATCCTTTTATTTAAGAAATGAGTCCAGGGTACATGAAAATACGGTGTTTGAAATAAATAATGTGCTCAAGCGTAACATTTATGGCCCGGGGCCACTGTATACTTAGCTGAACTAGAATTATTAGAAACCTAAATTAAATTTACTTTTGTTTCACTATAACACACTTTTTTACACAATATCTTGATGGAAAAAATTATATAGCAGCAAGTTGCCATAAAGAGATTTGCCCCTTCTTTTATAAACGGCAAATATTTTAACTTTCACGCCAACTTATATTTTTTTAACTAATTTTCTAAATAGAAGTGCTCTTGCGATTTTCTTATGAGCGTTCCAACGTGGATATAAGGATAAGTGGCAGTTAATCATATTTCAATTTTAATAAAGCTTGAAAGAACGATAATCTATAAATTTTATCAACAAATTTTTTTAACTACAAGTGTAATTAATTGTTTATTTTAAAATGTCTTGGTTTATATAAAATTAATTGTCTTTCCGAAATTAAGGTTACCTTAGTTTGCTCAGTAACTTTGAAAAGACCGTATACCCAATGACTACTGACAGATTGTTGAGGTTATGAGAACTGCAAAAATTTGTTTTTATAATTTAGTTGCACTCAACAAAATCATTTTTACCAGAAAATGATTAGATGATGTATTTATCTTTGCGAGGTTTTGTATTAGAGTGGAACTGCGTCATTAAAAACTGCTGTTTTCGGGTGTCTCGCGCAGTGGACAATGTCATCAAGTTTAAATGTTTTTAAAAAATTAAATAGTACTATTGCAAAAAATTTTTCAAACTCTGGGTTTCTTTGCAGTAAAATATTTAGTAGATCCTTACATGATGTCACTAAAGTTCAGCAAACTTCACCTAAAGCTTATTCGAAGTTGATGTGTTGGATGCATTGGCTGGTAACCGAAAAGTTCTGTTAATTCCCCTTCCAATTAATAGCTCACAATTATTATTTACTTTCTTGGAATAAAATATGACTTTATAAGACTGCTCCAGCCTTAATAGGGACTGTAGGGGCCGTACTCTACTCTCAGCAACTGAAAGGCAAGGAGAGAGGTTTATCTACTCGTTGTTATGAGCGCTGTGGTTGATAAACTTCTCCCTTTTTTTTTTCCTTTTGTTATAGGAAATGTGCTCTTCTTACACAAAAGCCTGGGTCTGTTAACCGCCTTTATAGCCATTCCGAGGATAATAGGTCGTTTTAAAACTACCTTTTTCCTTACTATTTAATTTCCTTTAATTACTCTTAGGAAGTCTTACTTCTCAACATCCTGAGAGTTTTAAAAAAGGTTTTAAATGAAATACTTTGTATATTTAGCCAATAAATACAATCTTTTCAGGAATTTTAGGAACTGCTGGAAAACTCAATCATTTATTTCTTTATATTTTCCTTGTGGTAATGCCGAGTTCTGGCATACTTATGGGGTACTTTGGAGGCAAAGGTCTGCCATTCTTTTTCACCACTTTAAAAGGTTTGCCTCTTATTTTTAACTTGGATTTTTGTATAATAGTCAACGTTATGGTAACTAGGCTCTGAGAAACCAAATGAAAGTATATCAAAAAAATCTTTTTGGTTGCACAAAAACTTTGGTTCTTATGGTAGTACTTTTATTTTATTAATATATATATGTATATATTGATATTCCTCCTTTTTTTAAAGCTAAGTACTTAATCCCTCTTCATGTGGGAGCCGTTGGTTTTCATTTGGCGAGAGGAGAGGCCATTTTTGCTAGAATTAATCCTTTTCGAAAACTATGATCAAGGTCCGTTTAAAAAAAATAAATTACAAGTTACTAGTGGTGTTACATCTTCCGACCAACTACTTAAGTTATAAGTTTTTAAAAGCGTGAGCAACTCTAAAGACAGAAGTAAATAATTCTCCCTGGAAAGTGCTTAAGCAGTGGTTTTGCCCTCCATAAAGGGTCGTGACAATTATCATTTCAATTAAGCATGCTTTAACTAACATAGACTTCCTGATAGAGTTAGCTCAATTTCAAAAATTTTCTGTCATAGACAACTATTTTAGTTCATACCTTTTATATATGTGTGGGCTATTCCCTTAAATCTTGTCTTTCTATAACCTTAATACTTAGCTAGAATTTCACTTGTAAGGAGGAATTGAAAACTTATAATTTTCTCTGCGCCATAGACACATATTTTAAACAAAAAGGTAAAGTAAAAAAGACAACCCGTAAGTCGATAATATAAAGAAAAGGCCTAGGACCCTTTGGCAAAACAACACCACTGGGGTTTGCATTCTGTTTCCTTTTTAAGTTTTTATCTTAAAAAAAAAAAGGCCGTTAATACAATATACTCTGCTGTACAACTCATTCTGAGCTAATTTTATCTTAGAAGAGGCATAACTCAAATAAAATTGTTCATTATTAAAAGCTACGCGGTCAAGAAATATATATATGTAAGACTTTAGGGTTAAATAAGCTTATCACCTTACGTTTTATATTTAGCAAAAAACCTCAAGCCTAGCTTAAAAAAAAACTTTTTATATAAAAGCAGTCAGGAGGCGCAAAATTAGCTGTATGGTTTTTTGTTACAACTACATTCTGACCCTTTATAAAGTAAAATAACTCGGAGTATTTGTAATTAATTGCGGCAAGAACCAGTGAGAAGTTTAAAAATAACGCCGACTTTGTTCTCGTTAAAAAAGGTGTAATACGCCTTACGTATTGAAAACTTAATAAAATAAGCAGAAAAAATTTTATCTTTTAAAGGTTTTTATTAAACCACCATCGAAATGCTTTTAAGCTAAATAAAAGATAAAAATTAATTTATTATATAAACTTCCTTACCTTATTTTTTTTATAGAAGTATATGAAACTACTAAATTATTATTTAAAGAAGAGCTGTTACACCGCCCTTTACTATTAAATTAACGACGAAATAGGGTCGGCAGAAAAGACCTAAAAAAGTTATTAATGCTGTTTAACCCAATTAATTCACCTGTCGAGGAGTTCTCGTAATTATTTTATAAAAATTTTAGTTAATTTTATAAGTTATAGAAGTTACTACTCACTTACTATTTTTGTATGAACGTTATTACTATAATTGTTGTTGTGAATACAATTTTCTACTATAATTGTTATTAGTAAAATTGTTGTATTAACATTGTTATTAGGGATTATTTGGATCATTTATGTTTAACGTAGTAGTCAGGATCGTAATCTACATCTTTGGACATAAGTTGGTAATTACGTGTACTGTAAGCTAAATATTATAAATTTACCGCTTAAACTAAGGAGGACTTTGAGAGGTTCAATTTACAATCTTGGTGGAATACGCCCAGTTAGCATTGGAAGAAATTTGCTCTGTTCAGGTTAGCATAGTCCCGCGTAATCTTCGCGTGAATACCAGTAAGCAAGTATTTGTAGTGTCAGCTGGTTCTGAGGCTCAGTCACTTTTCTGCACAACGGGAAGAAGAGAGCGATTCTTAGAGACTTGGAATAACTAAGCAAAGTAATGGGTAAAAATAGAATTATAGTAAAACTAAAACATACAAAGCAAACCAGTATGAGAGCGTTCCATTTAAAAACTTGCCCCTTCTTTTGTCGCAGCCCCATTTTTATGTGTAAAAATACTTTCAAGCCCACCCCTTACCTATTTAATCTTCAATTAACAGCGCACTTTGCTTGCAAATTATTAACTAATACCTTTAAGTTTAAAAATATTAGCTCATCAATTACTTGAGACTACTAAAACCAAGAAATGCAATTATTGTCTAGTGGTTAAAGTGGTTTAGTTTTAACCTACACAACCTTTTTTTTATCAGATGTTTGTTATATATGACTAGTCCAAACCAGAAATAATAAGCCCAATATGATAGATGTCACTGTTGTGGTACTTCCCAAGACTTCGCGTACTTTACTAGATCCCAGCAAATACCTCCCCACCACTTCCAACAGTAAGCGAAACAGTGGAGACTGTTCTACTAGAGCGGCTAGAAGTTTGTAGAAACACAAAGCGCTTCAGATATTTAATTCAGATTTCAAAGAGACTACTCGAGGACACAACAACTATATTGTGCTTGTTGAGTGGACGACTCAAAACTTCTTTTAGGAAATCCACTAATTTCGTCTTTCTCGACGATGGATAAGAGTTTGACCAGCTCTGGCTGGAGGGCTCTTTTTCGTTAATTATGCGCACTCAGTTAGCCCTCCACCACATACCCACGTTGTTTCTATGCGGCGCACCCTTCCAGTGAGAATTAGCACTGCCCTCTAGTCATACTGTTAAACGAGAGCTGGTATCCTGCAAGGCGCACTGCTCTCATCTCACTCTTCCTGCTTTTTACATGCGGAACATCTCAATCCCTGCGAATACACAGATGCGTCGTTCTCTACGCCGATGACACAGCAGTTTACGCATCCTTAAAGAATCTTATTACGATAACACCTATAATACTGCTCAAAAAGACTTGTCAACTGGTGCCGGTAAGTAATTCATATCCAATAAGATGCATTTCACTACCCTCGCCTCCTTGAAGATATTAAAATCCCATAGGGCTCCCGGGTCAAATACTTGTGCGTTATCAACAAGCGACTAACTTGGCGACAGTACGTAGAATTTGCCGTGGCTAAGGTTAAAAAGCGGTGGCCCACGCATTCTTCTCAGTTCTTTCCTTAGTTAATTTTACTGAAATGAAGTTATCAAAACTATGTAATATAAACAAAGTAAATACGGATAAATATAGATTTATAGAAATACCAAAAGTTCTGTAAAAATTTATTTGATAACTTGAGTTCCTTGAGGAACACAACACGCGCCACCTAAGAAAAAGAAAATGTAAAAAAAAAGGTGTGGTGCATGCCACTGTTAATAATTTATCTCCTTTGTTTTTAGCCTTATATCAAAGCAATTAACCTTTAAACTTTATGACCTGCAGCCCTTTAGACTGGAGTCCTCGAGCTATAGACATAAGACAAAAAAACAAGAGTACAACGCAAAACCGCGTTTGTTATCTTTAATAATAAATATTAATAATAAAAAATAAACTGTCTGGAAATAATTTTGCGTACGCTAGCTTTGCAGCATATTAAGTTATTTTGCCGAATGATTATAAGCTGGGTTGGCATTACTTTTATGAAAGGTTGTAGTCTCAACAGGGGAACTGGGCTTTTTCTGCGTCTGAGAAGTGGATCCTTTTATTTCAAACATAAATTACGTGATGTGCTCTCAATAGTTTATCCCTCACATAACATAATTATGCCTTCCAACATCGGAAACCTTTGATAAGCGATTGCTCAAACTGCCTTACACCCCTTTATGTCGAAATGGAAGATGTAACATTAAATATAAAGAGAAAAAATTTTTAAAATATATTACGAAACCTGATCTTAATATGCCATAAGATAACGCGACACAAAAGAGGAGTGTTCCCAGCAATACCCGTGCCTCTGCGAACTACACTAAAAATCCTCAGAAAGATGCTTTCGCCGGATGTTTTTCGTGAGAAACGAAAGTGACTTTTTTTTTGTACAACCCTTCCAATGTAGGGGCGCGGAGATTCCGGGGTTGAGAAATTACATTTCAATAGTTTGAATTATTTTTAATGTTGGTCAATAAATACCACCCCAACATGGCATTTATGCGAAAAAAGAGGCTACAAGATTTCACATGAATTTGCGGATAGTCATTCAAATTGCGTTCCTAGAAATTTCGGGCGATACGATATCTCCATTGTTGAGGCGAAACTGCGCGCTTATATATTAACTAATTCCTCTATAGTTAGTAATCGCATTTCTTCACACCCAAAAAAAAATAGTGCTGTTGAAACCAATATTTTTGAGCGAATTTTTGTAGATATTTAAGAAAAACCAACTAGACTTCTAGTTCGCCTTTATATATTTCTTTCTAAAAAGTGAAGTTCGCTGTTGTGCTTAAAATTCCAAGCCCTGCATTACTTTTAGTTTATTAGGTTTTTCGAATTTTTTTAGTTTTAACCTTTTTGTCTAGGCTTGACTTCCTATTTGTCTTCTCTTTTGCCTCTTCTACCTATTTAAAGTTTTTATTATAATAACTAAAAAATAACTATAAAGACCTTGACTTTTATGCATAGCTGCAGAAAAGGAGCGCTCATTAAGTCTTAAGAATTAAGAGGAAGTATTATTGTCCTAACGTCTGAAAAGAAATGAAGAATATTGCTTTAGTCTGAAGAGTCAATAGTTGTGCTACTACAAACTATTTAGTAGTAGGTGAGTATTAATGAGCCTAGCTCCAAGAGGTTATAAACAATCAAAATGTTTAAATTTTTATTTAAAAAGGTAACCTTAAAAAAATTACTTATCAAGTAGATGAATAATAATTTCTTTAGAAGTATTCATTGAACGCCAAAAGAGAACCTAATTAAATGACAGAAAATGGTCATCTCTTGTTACTAGGATAAGATTATAACATTATCATATATTTTCAAAAAGTTAAATTTAACATAATTAAATACTTAGTGGCCAATTATAGCGCAAAGAGTTACGAAACTTTTCAATTAATATATATTAAATAAAGTCCTGATATTTCTTACAAATCCTCAGTCATACTATGTATCAGATCTCATATATTTAATAAAACCAAGATTAAATGTAATTTTAACCAGAAAAAAATAAAGTTAAAATAAATGAAAAGAAAACTGCATTGCAAAATACTTGCTCTCTATCCTGACCGTACAATTACTTTTAGACAACAAATGGAACACATTTGCTTACTTTTCTATTTTTTATTAAAATTTTTCAAATATCCTTATTTATTACTAATGATTTAACAACTTAGAACTTTTGGCGTACTTCGTATTCAGCTTCCGCAAATCCCTAATCTTCTTGTATATTCATACACATATATATGCTTTTGTGGGCTGGCAAACAATAAGTGTGCGCTTAATGCGCATCGCGGGCCTCAGAAACTTGCTTCTATCCAGGGTTGTGTATAAGTTCTTAAGCCCCAATGGTGGCTTGGATGTAATGCTAACTCATTTTAAAGAAACAGTAGTTTCATTCCAGGAAAGAGACTTCAAGTCATTCCCGTTTCAGGTCGTCGTGCAACGTGTTATTGCGCACGAAATAAGTAGGTAAAAATCCTCGTACGTCGAAGCAACCGATGCGGAGGTTAATATAATAGGGCACACACAAACAAGTTAAATACGTAAAGCCATCATGCCGGGATAGAGGGTCGTAACGCAGCGGTTAAGATGGTCGTGGATTCGTTTCCCACCAATGGGGTTCTCTTTTTAGGTCTTTAAAGGTTTAGCCTCGTTTTTATAATTCTAATACACGCACAATTTATTGCGCAACGATGCATTGCTATGCACACAGCAACGGGTAGAGTGTGCGAATTTTATAAACCTCCTTGAAAAAAACCAACATTTATAGTTTTAAAGCATGCTAAGTCTTGCTTTGTCTCAAAAATATTAAGTCTATTTTGTTTATAAACATATATTTCTAAAAAGACTTACTCCACTAATAACAAAGGGTTCCAAACGAAAGTAAGAACATACCGTACTTGTAAAAAAAGATAAGCCTCAAATCGATTTTTACTTTCACCTCCCCTACTAATAGATTTCGCCAGAAATTCTAGTGAGTTAAATAAAATATATTACAATTAACTGAGAAACATATATAAATTGCTTGGAGAAAATACAATGTTCTTAACTTAAAATTATTAGTGTATATAAAAGAAAACGGTAGAATTATATCGCCGTGACCACGCGAGGTGAGAGCTAAAACAGGCTACCATTTTAACCTCCACATGACTTACCTGCGGGTAGCTACACGGATTTTAATTTTTACAGTACAAGTTTCAATAACATGGCTGAAGTTTCTAATAAAGAAGAAATACGAAGTGAGTTAAAAATTTAACACATTTATATAGAAAGAATTTTTTTTAATCTTTGTTATGATATCTGCAATTGTCTTTTTTAATAAACTCTTTTTTTTTTTATTAGGCAAGCTAAGCGTTAGTACAGCTACACCTGCTAGCGCTAAACAGCAATCTCGTCCAGAAAAAAAGGCAAGAAAAGCGCTAACCAAACTAGGATTAAAACAAGTGGTTGGCATAACAAAAATTATGATAAAGAAAAACCCCTCAGTACTATTTTCTAAATTATGTTAATTTCAGAAAACTTTATGATTTATGATAGCTTATCTTAAAATTCGAAAACCCGGAAGTTTTTAAGCTGCCACATTCGGATTTATACGTTTTTTTTGGAGAAGTAAAAAAGGAGGAACAAACCCGTTCCAGAGATATTTACATTCAAAAGTTAGCGGAAGCCTTATCCAAAGAAAATTTCTCGCCGAAGGATGACAATCCACCTGTTCAAGAGGCTGACGAAGAGGATGCGGGTTTTTCTGTTTGAGGTCTATTTTACACTTTTACCACCTTCTTATTAAGTAGAAGATATTGATGAAACTGGTATGGATCCAAGCGATATTGAGTTGGTAATGAAGCAAACAAACGTCTCTAGAGTGCGAGCAGTCAAAGCTCTTAAAGCTAACGATAATGACTTGGTTAATGCAATTATGGAACTTTCCGACGTTTAGTTTTTCTGTTACTGAAAGCCTATGAAAGCTGATATGTATTAAAAGTAAAAAAAGAACTGGGGTGCTTGAGGCATAAGTTGGGTAGGATGGTTTCCTTTCACGTTGTATTATTTGGGTTAAAATTTTTAACTATATAGAAAGCACACTTTTTTTTAAAACCGTTTCTTAACGTTATGTGCTACTATTTAGTTGAAAGGTAGATTAATGGATCTCTTTTATAAGTAAGTGCAGCTGGCTTGATGCGTTGTACTTTACTGCTAGTGTCAAGCATTTAAAAATTTAAGTAAGCCTCAACTTTTGTTAGGCTATATGTTAACTAAGATGAGTTTTAGGGCCAAACTATGAACACAGACTTACAGCAGTCGCAGCGGTGTTACCGTAGAAATTTGCAAGTCTGAGGTGTTTTAAGAAATAGTCTGAACATTTTCGTTTGCCTAGCATATGACAAGTTCCCTTCATGACTTTCAAGGCTTACTCTTGCGTTCCCTATTTCCATAAGATGAGGGGGATACAAATGCTCACTAGTTTATCTTGACGAGGGGGTCGCGTTAAAACGTCTTAAATTGCAAGGACTCGAACCCACACATTTTGTCTGAAGCGGTGAAAACTACACATGGAAGTACGTTAATTATCGCACCTTGTTGAGGGCTCAGCGGTTAAGAGTATCCCCGCTAACTCAAACTCTTGAGTTCAACTTTTCGGTCATTTTTAATGGTTGCACTTCGCCCTCATAAATCTAATATAGCACATATCATTTGAGTGTTGCTTATGCCAGGTCGTTGTTGAGCGCCACGAGCTCTCCGATTGGAGATATTTTAGTCCTATTGAACGGGCACAAGTAATCAGTGAGAATGATTCTTATAACTAGAACGCCTACCTTGTTCCCTTGGCCTCTTGAAGTGTCTTTCACCCGAATATCGCTATGAGAACACCATATATTGTAAATTAACTAATTTCCTTCGTGATTTACGCTTTTGCCCTACTCTAAAGTTTACTAGTTTGTAGTGTATAAAAGTTATTAAGGTAGCGGCGATGATGAGTCTAAGATTGGCACGGCACTTGACCAATCACATTTTTTATTCTTATAGAGAAATCAGGAGTTCAAAGTATTGTATAACTTTTCTTTAATTGCACTCTTGCATAGAAGAAAATTAAATAAATTGATTTATATTTAAGTTAGAGCGTCAAAATAAGCTGTCGTTTTTTGCTTTATACTTTATTTGGAATATTTTTTTGTTTTGCACTCGTCCTACATATACCCTGGTCTACTCACCTAAAATTTTTGAGCGAAAGAGATCTTTTTTGTCCTTTTACTTTAGTTTGAATACTATTATTTTAATAAAAAATGTATGGGCGAATATTACTCCTTTGATTTTACTTCCTTATATATAGTAGTCTTCTTAAACCTTGAGCTCCCTTTTAAAAGTTTTTGTTATATTAACTAAAGTTCGTCAGGTGGTATTTGCTTTTATAATTGTGTAGCCTTCGGTGTTCAGTCTTCTTTTATTATTTTTAGCTAATTTTTGGGTATAAAGGTGAATCTGAAAGTGTTTAATCTATCTCATTTAACAGATAAAACTTTTGTTATAATAATATATTAAAAGGTCTGTGTAGTAAGTTACATATTTTTGGCTAATTTGAGAGCTTTACGGGTTTAAAAAGGAAATTTTATAAACTTGACTTTTTTACTCTGCACATATAACACAAAATTTTTAATTTATAAGTTATTAATTATTATTAGCATCGCACCTTTCGGGAATGTCTAGCTATTTCCACAACAATTGGTTATTTTTAATATCGATTAATTTTATATTAGTTCTGCCTTCCAAGAAAATTTTTTTCTCCGCGAATGAATAATAGTTATTAGCAGCGGTTCATCCTTTCTCAGGAGTCTCACATACTCAATGCGGCCTAGAAAACCTTTAATTTTAAACGTAGAAAGTACCTTTCACTTAAGTTTAAGCTACGCTAATGAAATTTGTTGGCAGTTTATAAATTACCCCCGAGTTATTATTATTGGCCTTTAGACAATATTTACGGAAATAATTCTTTTAATAACCATCATTTTGCGCTACTGATAATAACGTTGACTTTGTTACTTTTAACCCTGATGACTTCAAAGTTACTTTGGTTGACCTCCCCTAGTGTTGGGCGATCTTAATAGTTTCTTGTGAATTTGAAGGTAACCTGTTCGTTAACTCAATATAGCAATATCTTTAAACTTTATTTGATATTTTATAACTACTCCGACCAAGAACGTGAGCTTATAAATGAATTCAACATACTAATATTGCTAACTCAATATGATATTTTCTGCACAAATATCTAAGCTACTTGGCGAATTTAACTAAAATATTTATGAAGTACATACTCTTTTACAGATCATAATTTACGTAGTTTTCTGGACAGGTTGGAAGCTTCTTTTTTTTTGAACACCTTATTAACAACGAAAAGGCCTGGAGAACGGACTTTTTAACTAGGCATTGGGCCTTCTGCTTTGCTTTGTAATTTACAAAATAACACGTTTTTCCGTAGTTCTTAGCCATTATGAAAATAATTCTAATGTAATGACTTATTAACTTAACGACGTTAACGGATTGGTAACCGGGTATTAAATAAAACCCATAATAAAAATAACTTGAGTAAGTTCTGAAGCTGAGGCAGGCGAGTCACTTAATAAATATTAACCCGGGCTTAAACACAGCTAGCCGCATCCCTACTCGAATATTTTTTTATATACTATAATAAAATGACGGTGCTATAAAAAGTTAAAGACAATCCGAAGTAAAGCACACGTAATAGTAAACTTTATTTTTAAATTTCGTTGGCTATTACATCGTCAATTTTCAATATCATCTTAACAACCTGCGTGGCAAGCATAATTTGCTGCTGCTTACCAATCAAGGTTTCGATGACCCTCTGTTCCTTCATATCTAATAATGAACTTTAGAAGGAAAATCAATAAGAAAGAAAGGGATGCAACCATAGGTCCCTCTTTTTAAACAATCAATTCCTAAATGAGGATTATTCGTGCTGATTTGAAGCGTCTTAACGTTAGCAAGGGTTGTTATAGCGGGGAAGCCGCTATTTTCGCTCAGCGCAATCGGTACAGATTCTAATGCATCTCCAAAAACTCGAATAGCGTATTGCTCCAGCGTGGCAATCTTTTAAAAAAATCAGGAAATTAAATAGAAAAAAACTTAGTTTTAACTTTATCAGCTTCTGCGTTAATCTTAATGGCACAAGAAATTTCTGCAGAGCCGCCTCCATATACAATACGATTGTCCTTCACCAAATTCCGCGTGACGCATAAAGCATCGTGAATGCTTCTTTTGCCCTCTTCAACTATCTATAAAATTATTAAGTTCATAAACATGCCGTAAGAACAATAAAAAACACCATTTTATTTCCTCCACGGACAAAAATAGTAACAGCCCTCGAGTTAGCGCAGCTCTCAATAAATATCATAGAGTCTTTTGTGGTTCCTGCGCGAATATCATAGGCTGAGTATCTTAAAATAGATCAGGGAGTAAAGGGAAGGAGCACCGAATTGTATTTCTCTTATAATTCCGGCTGAACCTAGCTTCTCACGAGTCAACTCCTCAAAACGGGGGACTATGCGACCCCCTATACAAGTAATTAAAATTTGAATGAACAGTTTAAAGATTTTTTAAGATACTTAAAATTCCAGTCTACTTTAAGCCTAAAAAATTGATGCAAAATGTTGAAAAAGGAACCAACCTGAGGCTATAGCAACGAGCTCCATTTCTGATCCGCCCACCCAACGTATAGCGTGAAGAGAGCTTTGCAAAAGCATATGGTTAGCCTCATCGTCGAAACCCCACTGGCAGCACACAATGTTAGCACCTACGATAGACTAATCAACATAACCGGGTGGCAGTAGATGTAATATTTGTAAGATGGCCTCATATCTTTTAACAAGATAATAAAAAAGATTCGTAGGTCCTTCTATTGCTATACCCCACTGTAATTTCCAAACTAAGAAAACAGACCCAGTTGGTACTCAACATGTGGGGAAAGAAGCTCTAATTTTAAATAAGACAAACCAGATTTTTTTACGTGGCCTATCATGTCCTCAAACGTTTTTCTCTCATAGTTGTGCAATTTTTCGTAATCTTCTACTGATTTAATGCTTAGAGTATTCTTGGTCTTCGGCTTAGGAGGCTCAAAGGGACAAGTCAATATAGCAATCTTAGCGTTTTTCAGTTCCTTATTTTAAAGTTGTATAATAAATAATTACTACGATAATTAGAGAAATAAGTAACTAAGAGAAAGTGAAAGCATATAAACGGTTATCAAGGTACTGCCCAGAAAAATGTATTTTTAGTTAAAAGTACTTTGGACATCTGTGGATGAGAAAAGCCTTTGTCGACCACTACGCCCTTTACTAGCGTCGTTTCTTCCATTTTGCCACCAACCTTGCCTTCAACTTTAATCAACTCAAAATCAACATCTTTTCGTTCCAAGTCAGCCACTACGAAACAAAGGAAAAAAAGAAAATAGTAGACCATCTTAAAATGCGCCGCACTTTTAATACCGGCTAAAACGGCATCAACAGCGATAGTCGCAATCTGCCGGTGGCACCGACTTACAATTTTTGAGCCTATAATAAATTGTAGAGTATAGTCTGAATGTTTTATCAAGCAGGAATTTAAGATGTACCCAAAGCAGTCATGGCTACCTCTACTAACGCAGTTTTCCCTTCAGAACTGACTTCAACCTAGTGCCAAAAGAGTTAAAAAACATGAAAAACGAAGGAGCTATGCAACATCAGTCAAAGTTACCAAAACTTTCGTAAAGTAAAAATATAAAAGTCTTTTAATTTATGCAAACATTGTCAACCGTAAAATGTTATATAGCACATTCCATCTTTATTACTTTTTATATATCCTTATAAATAATTTTTAACCCCAAAATAAACTTATTTCTCACACTAAAAATACATAACTGACTTTTCATTTACAAAAAAAAAACTTAAAAATACCTCGTCACTTATGGTTTCCAAGTGTCTGCAGCAGATTTCAGCAGCCATTGAGAAACCATCAGCAATACGTACCGGGTGAATGCCTACATCAAATATAATTTAAAGTAAAACTGTGTTAAGATATTTAAAACAAAGTAAATGTGACTTGCCTTTATCTAACAAAGCTTCTGCTTGTTCCAATAAGGCGCCGGCTAAGACAACAACCGAGGTAGTACCATCGCCCACCTCATCGTCTTGCGACTGGGACAACTCAACTAACAACTTTGCTACTTGATGACGTACGTCCATCATCTTTAAAATGGTAGCTCCGTCATTCGTTACAGTAACTTCGCCATCGGAGTTAACCATTATTTTATCTAAACCTTTAGGTCCAAGGGAGCTTTTCAAAATGTTGGCAACATTGCGAGCAGCCAAGATGTGTGACTAATAGTAAGGCAAAGTAATAAAAGTGATAAGAGAAAAACATGTTTATATTTGACCTTTACAGCGTCAACACCCTTTAGTCTCTGCTTTTGTTCTTGATCACGGACGACAATAAACGGGAGCCCATATTCATCAAAAAGTAAACTCATTCTATCTTCTTTTGAAAGAAAAAAAAAAGGTCTTAATTTTTATAAGTTTCAGATAGATTCGAGGCCAAGAGAGCAAGCTAAAAAAATTTCTATAGAATAGTGCACCTAGGGTTAAACACGACTTAAATGGAGTAGTATAGTTAGTAAAACAGACTGGCCCGTGCGAAGCTTAGCTTTTGGGGTTAACATGTGGATTACAGAAAAAGCCTTCCCCAATCTAACCCTGAAGGACCAACTTTCTTGACTAAAACCTTACTTCATGGTTTATTAAATTATGAAGTAAGGTTTTGATATTTAAAGTTTATTATCTTTATAAGGTGAAAAATAACTTCCAGCGTATTTGTCTAATAATTATGCGTGACATTATTAATTAGAGACCGTTTATAAGTTTTACCTATTGTGAAAGTTACAAAACTATAGGTTTGGTTATATTATCATTATCAAGTTTATTTTTCAGAAGCATCACAAGCTATTTACGTAACTAATTTAACACACCTCATCAAAGCTGATTAAGCAAATCTTTTTATTGTTGACTGTAATGCTCCCAATCCCTCTGTATAACGTGGCCTTCGTTAGCCTACTTCTAATATACGGCAAACACTTAAAACTACCCCTAATAATTAAACTTCATTTTTCAGGGGATATTTTATATATTTTTTCCCATACAAACACTAAATTACTATTCCCCTTAATCTGTTCCACCTTCCTGCCCTCTCGCTCCTTTGTTTGGGGTCTCGCTTTTTTCTATGTATTTCTCTTGTTTTTTTGTATGTGACACGCACCTCACTTGTTTTTTAACGTGAAATTTATTATATTATAAGCTTGGTTAAAGTAAGAGATTTTAAAGAAGTGTGTTATTCTTTCTGAGGTCGGGTGTTGTCCTTGCCCCTATTCTGTTCTGTAAAGTTCTATCCTGTTACTTTTATATGTTATAAATAAAGTTTCAAATTTTTTTAACAAAAATACTTTTATTTAAAGTTGAAAACACATTTCCTTCTTTATAATATAAGTAACGTACATTTCATTCAGTAACATTATATAAAACTTAGTTCTATAATCTATAACCAAACTCTTGTCCTAAAAATTATTGTAAAGAACCTAGAACAGAGTTAGTTCTACAAAGGCAAAACTCCTTGGAATTATAAAAATCATTCAGGATAATAACAAGTCTAAAAGGCGAATGGAGAATTTTGATGGTGTAAATAACAATTATAAATATCTTCAAGCAGATTCTTCCGAACTAATGCTAGAGATAGCGAAACTTCAAAGATTTCAAAGGAGCAGTCTAGTCTCGGAGAAATAGCTACCTTCAAGAATAACAATGGTAGTAGCATTACCCTTATGACTAATAGTTCCCATAATAGCATTATTGATAATAACACTGTCAGCAAAAACAGTGGTAGTAAAAATAATATGTACAGTTATCATAAAAACAATAGTACTAATAATAATAGTAATAAGTGTAACTCTCAGAATAAAAATGATAAGGTTAACGACAACTTAAAAATCATCGGAAACTCAGAGAAGCCCTCAAGAACTTTAGACGACAGCGTTGACATAGGATGGGCAGCAGCGCTGTCCCTATTAGTAATGAATGACCATCTACTGCAGCAACCACCCTTCGAACCCGTTAAAGAAAAATTCCCTTCTATTACCCTTAGCATTAACAAAAAGCGGTCCCTCCTTGTACAACTTTTGCTATCTAACGGCACGCGCAGTCAAAAATTACAATATTTTACCTATCAATTACCTGAAGACAAGCCATTAAAACTTGTTATCCGTGAAATTTATTGTAAACTCGATATTTCCATCGTCGAGGCGGACCTGCGCGCACAAAGGCATCACATCCTTCCGAGAGGCACGGATGCATACGGAGGATATCGCCAATGGCGAGCGGAAGAAGTGTTCCATTACAATTAGCGCTGGTACCCAGATCCAAACCACTAAAGCTATTAGAAATGGAGGCTATTTCTTATCTTCAAATCAGAATAGAAGAACTTAGAAAAAGCAATCTCTTTGGCCAGTTCCACCGCTGCCAGACCTTTGGTCACGCTGTGGTACCTCAATGCGTCAACTACGGCGAGGGTCATTTTGACCACGGAGAGTACCCAAACATGTGGCTCGCCTGCTGTATGTGCGAATAGCGGCGGGGTACATACCGCCAAATACAGGGGCTGCAAAGGAGACCCGCGAGACCTTTAACAGTCTATTAATCTACACGACCACAACACCCAATTACCACCTTGATGCTACCATTACCCAAACTATATTCAAGCCTCCCGTCTAAGCGAGACCGCACCAATCGCCCCCTGCGAATGATTTTTACTAACATCAATCACGCTGACTCAGTCACTCAACAAGAAGAACAGCGATCGCAACCGACTCCAGGGCAGCTGTTAGTTATTTTGGCGATGAACCCCTCAACCATGCTTAAGATCGTGAAAAGCTTGTTTGCAATTGTTTTTAAATTTCAAACGCTTAATCACATCCGATTACTGATTTTGGAACGAGGAGCGCATCCAGAAGAATAAACTTAGCTACTCTTCTACCACGGATCCTGGCGATACGCGCAAAGTTGTAGATGTTAAATGGTACATTGGAGGAGAGCTGTGTTTTGCTGGCGACACAGATTCTAGCGCGTAAAATTAACTCCGGCAACTCCTGACTAAATGAAGCATCCAACACCATTTAATGGCATTACCAGCTTTGTGAGAGATCGGGGCAGTTGGTATCACCCTTAATTTAGTTAAACAGAGGTCCGTGACTGTGCTATCAATTTATATACCGCCCAGTCATTACTCACGTTGTCCGCTATCGACGCTCTTCTTGTGCATGGCATTCCTGTCATTCTATGCGGAGATCTTTAAAAAAGGCTAGTACTCAAGCAATAAACTACGGACAAAGTGTCTTAATGCAAGTTCACTTTTTCTTGCTATTAAAAAATAGTTCATTCTACAATTGAAGAAATAGTGAAACCATGTTTAAAAATTTTGCTAAAATCGTATCAGACCCAAAAATTTCAAGCATGGTAGATGTTATTGTCCTTTTAAGAAATACTGTCATGGGAGAAATCAATGTAATTGCTGACGATGTTATTAAACAAATATGACCGTGTGCTCCTACTTTTTTTCTCTTGCTTTGGACGAGAGTTGCGATGTAACTGAACTGCGCAATTGCGCATTTATATTCGTTTTGATCAGCGAACACTTCGATATTATAGAACTTCTGGATATGTGGCACCTAATTTCTAGTAAGAAAAAGATGTTTTCCGTGAAATAAAAGCCGTAATTAATAATCGCCGATATAAGTGGGACAGTCTGGATAGTGTTGGTACAGATGGAGCCCCGCAATGACCGGAAAGGTAAAAGGTTTAGTAAGTTGTTGGAAGGATTTTTAAAACGCAAAGTTTTAAATATCATTGTATTCTTCACCAAGAGGCTCTCTGTGCCAAGGATATGGACTTTTGTTCTGTTCTTAAGCTGTGGTACGATGTATTTAACCACACTCGAGCCTGAGTCAATTTTTTTCACAAATTCAAATAAAGGAGAAGAATAGCTTGAATAGCTACTAGGTTGCACCGTTCGTTGACTACCTCGAGGTCAATCTCTAGACATATTTTGAAAGTTTAGAAATTTAGTTTTGAATATTTTGAAGAGAGTAATCAACTCCCAGATAACTGCTCACTTCTCGGAATAAAGATCGGTGGTGGACTTTGTTTTTTTTGTGACAGATATTAAGGGTCATTTATTATTTAATTGAGCGTTTACAAGGCAAAAATAATCTTTCCAACCCTGTTCAATTTAATTCAATTTTTCAAATCTAAACTGTTACTTCTGAGCATCTGGTAAAGGTGGACTACACCATTTTCCTTCGAATGCAAGAACTGATGGTAAAAACAAAAATTCAAGACTTCACGAAGTTTAGAAAACGAATTTTACTTTTGAATTAATCCTTTAAAGAGAGATTTGCCGATTTTCAAGAGGATGTGAAGTAAGTACAGCTTTTCACAAATACTTTATCTACCAAAGTTGCTCCAAAGTGGAAGTTTTGGAGTTACAAAATTACGTAGCGTTGCTCAGAAATTTTAAGGAAATACTGAAAACTTATTAGTCAAGGGTTTGCCTCGTTTCGGAAATTGCTTCCCCAAACAGATTTTTCAAAGTCAATTGAGTTTGCGCTCTGCTAACCTTATAGATTTGACTCGACTTATATACGAGAGCAAACATTTTCAATTATGAGTTTTATTAAAATATTCTCCAGTATTAACCGACAAACATTTGAAAAAACTCTATTTCCTTGGATACATGCATATAGTCCCTAACGTTGAAATTTAAACTGACACGGAATGAAGCAAATTCACAGGTCTCATCAACGTTTAAGTACCAGTTTCTTATAATTGTAAAAAATTGCTGTTTTCTTTAACTTAAAACATTAGTGAATCCACATTAATTCACAACACCCAATAACAGAGTGAGCTGTGTTTAAAATGTGGTTTTCTAGTAGGTTGTAGTAGTAACATAGTTTAAGTTAATATAGGTAGAAAAACTAAGATAGTGTTCGTTTCATATATTAAAAAGTCATTAAAAAATTAACCTAAAAAATTTAAAAGTAAAGTATTTTTCCTGTTATTCGATTTAAATGGAATAGTAGGGTGGTGATACAATTGTATTATGTTTTAGAAAAATGAAAAAAAAAAAAAAAAAAGAAACGAAAAAGTGGCACATTAAATATTCTTAATCGAATTTAGTAGCACTTTAGAACAAGAAAGATTGGCCACCGTCGCCCTATAACAATATTATAAGGGCCCATCTCCTGATATTTCTTTAAGATGTTTAGTTACCCCTTCTTCTGTAACCCTCAGGAGTAGAAAAGCTCGGAGAGACGTAGGTGTACCCAAAATAATTAATGACATTACTTACACCATCCTGCGAGATATTTTTAATTATTTTCTTCCCACTGGCATTAATTTTCGATTTAAATGAATTTCAGAAATATGACACTTCTAATTTTTATATCGCTGGTAGATGTCTTCATTAATAAGTAATATCAATTATTAACATTTTTACGCATACTTTTTAATCCTACCTCATTAATCTTACAATGCAATGTTCATGTGCGTCAAATCA